CGCGTGCATACTCAAATCACCATAGTATCCATGCAAAACTCGAAGGATCTCGCGCAGTTTAAATAAAAAGGTCTCAGAGCGATGGGAACGTTCTAGAAAACAACTGAAAAAGGGGAGTGTCTAATATGAGCAAGCGACGGAGGCCGCTCCCCGAGGGAGGGCAGGAGAGAGGGAAAAGAAAAAGAGCGATGTCCGAGACGGTCCAGCCGGTGACCGGTCAATATTGCGTCGCCTGCTGCGAAGCCATTTTTCAATCATTTTCTTCCTTTTTTTGCAAAATTTTCTATAACATATCTCTCGAGGTAAAAAAGAATGTCTCTATAAGTACAATAATTCCCATTTTGTAACCAAAAAACAGCTTTAAAATACCGCAATACGGCGTGATTGGACAGGCTTCTTTCATTCTTTCGCCTTTTAATTAGGTTTTTCCTTCGTAAATCTCTAGAAACTGTACTATTTTGAAAAATAAAATCGTTCCAGACAAAAATTAGTGCTTTTTTGGAGCAACTTTGGCGTTCATTTTCTTGAAAATTCACCTTTTTTGGGACTAAAATTTAGGGCGTGTTCATCGGAGAAACGGAACATGCTTCAAAACGAAAAATCTTGTTCATCGGCGCGCAAAAGTTGCTCCAAAAAGCACTAATTTTTGTTTTCTTGCGTTTCGAAGCAATTTTCGTTTTTTCCGATGAACACGCTATTAGATTAGTTCAATCTCTATAAAAAATCGTTTTCAATTGAAGCTTGAAAATTTTTGATCGAATAGTATAACGAATAGTATACTCTACATAATCATGCAATTATTCCCTGTATTTATTTTATTCTTCTACTGGAAACTCTTACTGATATCCTTATTGATCAATACTGCCTTGACGCTTGCCTTCGACGCTACAATAGTTCGAAAAAAAAAAAATCCTGTCCGCCCACCTGGTAAATCTAAAAATAATGGACGTCGGCGGAGAAACCTTTCTACACAAGCCCACGCTTTTTTTCTTTCTTTCTTCATTCTTTCATCACTTAACAACCCTTCGACCATTTTTTGCTTTTTTTCTTTTATTTTTTTCCTTATATTACAATTGTATTTTTTAGTCGTTGGTACTTCGGAGTGGAGAAGCTCTGAGTTCTCATTTGAGGAGCAGAAATTGGTTTTTTTACAATTAATTTTTTTCTCTGAGGACTTTAATCAATGAAAAACTATCATCTAGAAGAGGATTTTTTTAATATTATATCGGAAAAAGAAGCAGTTGTGCTGCTTGAACCTGTCGTTGTTAGGTGTTCAAAAAATGTCTGGAGGAAATTTTGGTGGTATGAAAAAAGACCAGCGAAAATTCGAACGGCGACTTTTTTCCGACTTATTCTTTCCCGACTTTTTTTCACGATAAACTCTTCGTTTTGAATCTTCCTATATAAAGTGGTCAGTTGGTTCATGATTAAAACACAAATGAATAGGAAAAAATGTTAATTGATGTTTTATTAACCGAAAAATATAAGGGAAAAAAGTCGGAAAGGGATTCGGCGGAAAGGTGGCCGTCGGAAAGTTCCCTGGCAATTTGAAAAAATCGGAAAAGTCGCCGTTCGAAAGTTCGCTGGCTTTTTTTCATACCGCCTTTTCTTCGAATCATTTTCAATCGAAGCTTGATAATTTTTGATCGGATAGTGTAGCATTACTCTACATAATAATCCATTTATTTTAATCTTCTACTGGAAATTCCAACTGATACCCTACCTGATCAACTACTGTCTTGATGGCCTTTATGATGCCCCTATGGTTCAAAAGAGCCTGTCCGCCCACCTGGTAAATCTAAAAATAATGGACGTCGGCGGAGAAACCTTTCTACACAAGCCCACGCTTTTTTCCTTTCTTTCTTCATTCTTTCATCACTTAAAAACTTTTTGATCGTTTTTGCCTTTTTCTTTTGTTTTTCCTTGTCAGTCACTTCGGAGTGGCGTAACGAAGCTCTAAGCTCTCATTTTAGGAGCAAGAAATTGGCATCTTACCGTAGATTTCCTCTCTGAGGACATTAATCAATGAAAACTGTCAGATCTAGAAGAGATATATTGGAAAAGAAGAAGCAGTTGTCTTGCTTGAACCGGTCGTTGTTAGGTGTTCAAAAAATGTCTTGACGAAATTTACACTCTAAAACTTTATAAACCATCTTATACAGCCGAAAATTCCGTTCCTTAGAACTTTGGTAGTCGCGGAGTGGCAAATATAGTGATTTGAGTGAATTTCCTGCGCAGGTCGCGCGAAATGGGAAATTTCGAAAGTGGTTTTTGTTCTCGAACACCGACCACTGAAGACTTGACCATTTTTTTTTTATTTTTCATCTTTCAACACTTTTAAATCTTCATTCTTCTTCCTACGCCCTTGTACCGCTTAAGCGGCGCTCCAAGTCAATTAGCCGAGGTCCTATCCCGATGATAATCAGTGGACTGGCTCCAGTGACATATCCGTCCTTGTGTGTGACGGCTGGGGATTATGAAGCCGTGGTTTCTCACTACCAACGTTTCTTAAACCCCTTAGTTGGGTCGGGGATCGAACTTGTGACCATGTGGACCGTAGACAGGCACACAACCTGTTGCGCTATGGCGAAAAAAAAAATTTTCCTTATTATTGGGAATTTATGAACACGGTAGCCGATGCAGATATCAAGTTACTTGATTAGGTTAGTAATCGAGACTTTCTCGGGATGTCTGTTGACCTGGGCCCGATGCCACATGTGTTTTTCAGGAGTTGCGTATGGTTGGATTAGCACCTCACAACAAGTCAGAACGCATAGGGATCATCTTACGCTAGCTTGTCATTTTTTCTGAACAAGACAACGTGTTTTACTTTGATGAGAACTTTTTTTGCACCTTTTCGTCATTTTTTCATGAGTCTCGAAACGAGAGCACCAAAAAAGCTCTATTAAGGTAGCTTTTCTAAAATCTGAATTTTGAGAATGAACCGTTTTTTCGCGCTTTGGCCCATATCGATTAAAAATGTGAAAAAAAATTTTTCAACGCTGCCACTTAAATATCAATTCCATCATTTTTGTTTCATTTGTCCGTTGAGTAATCTTAGATCCTCAATCTACAGTAATATTAAAACGTTAGGCCACATAGATCCGAACCGCAACAGTTGGCCAAATAGAAAAAAAAAACAGCTGCCTAGGAAGATCCAGGTCTTGAAAATTTCCTGGAATCTTTCTGAGATGCACTCGGGACCACCCGGAATTTCAAAAAATGTTTTTCCGCGATTTTCCGCTTCGGTGTCCGGAAATTCTACCTTTCCTAATTTTGTTCACTTCGTTACTCGAAGAAAGCCCTAAAATTCTAGTCAATTAGGTTATTATCAAAGTCAGAACCTATCTTTCTTAAAAGCTATGATTTCCTGAATTTTTGAAATTTTTCTAACACAGAAAAATTTTCCAATCGAGAAGGGAAGTACCTTTTTAGAACATTATTGGAAGCACTTTAATCCAATCCAAACATTTCTTATTGCTTCTTTTTGGATTTATCAAGACCTAAATTTCAAAAATTTTGGTGAATTTGGTGATTTTTGGAGACCTCATACATTTAAAAAAGACCAACGGCAGAAAAAAAATCTTGGTTTTTCTCTAAAATTCCGCTGGGAGATCTCAAAAACTAGAGAAAAAAATCCGGAAAACAGTTGGCTGACGGAAAAAAAAACGGTTGAGTTGTACACAAGTCCGTGGAGCATCTCAGGGTGATACCAAACAAAAAAAAAGTTAGCCAGAAAATCAAGAACACCTGACCTACATGCTAAACACTGCACACCAGCGCCCCAGAGTTCAAAAAAAGGGCCTCGGAAAATAAGAAACAACTGTCTGATCTCGACCGCCGAGTATTAATCACCAGTGTCCCATCACACAAATCCGAACCCACTTTTCTCTCAAAAACGTTCATTTTCTCGTGAAATCAGTTGCAGTTCCTCTTCTTTATTGTCATTTCTTGATTGATCCGTTTTAGAGCCCCAGTTTTCGACAAGTTGAAAAGAAATTTAGCTCAATTCGCTCAGAAAATGTTGAAATGAAGCCGCTTCCTCCAGCTTTTGTTATTCAAATGATGTCATTACCTTTTTTGGCTTGTTCGCTTTTTATCGATTTGGTTTGATACCGATATTTATCGATTTGTTCATCATTCATCTTTTGAAACTTATTTATAGCTGATTCACGGCTGGCTTGAGCCATCGAGAAAAGGGTCCTGCCACGAAAAGAGACGAGACAGTGCCCTGGTTGGTGGAGAGTGCAGACAGGCCGCGCTTTTTTGCGTCCCAAGCCAGCCGTGAATCGTCCATACATATATTCCACGATTCTCGTTTTCCTTAAAGCTACAGAACCCCTCCCTTCGATTCGCACGTCGTTATTACTTGCATGCGCCTTTAATCTAACGGAAGTTAGGCTAAATCAAAGGCGGCATGCACATATACACGCATCGCGCATAGCGCGGAGGAAGACAGCCTGGCGCGATATCGCAAACGTCTTGCGCCATATCGCTCTCTGAAATTTCTCCTTAAACATTTTTTTTCTTCAATTTCGTTAGTTTCATCATCAAAATCCAAGCAAAAAATTTTTTGATCTCAACTTTATAAGAGGTAGCGAGACTTTAGCGATATCGCAACGTGGAGCCTTGGTTAAATCACCTACTCTCCGCTGCGTAAGAAAACTGTATTGAAATTACAGAGTGGTAATATTTTTTTGTCCATCGAAAAAGTTTATAATGGAGAAACTAGAATTATTCAGAAGATAAACATCTAAGAAAAGATTTTTAATTAGGGCTACCATCTTCTTGAAAAAGTTCAGAATAGCAGTTTTTCGGTAAATTTTTCCAAGGCTTTCAATTGTTCTCAATATTATCGACATAAATTTTGATTCAAGTGACAGTTCCGCAATTTCTGCGAGTAAAAACAACATTCATTCCTTCATTTGGAAAAACCTTGAAATGGCGTTTTTAAACACTGAATAAGCATTTTAATACGGTAAAAAGTTTTTCAGAAGAAAATGAACGAAAGAAAGCGCCAGAGCAGCACTGAAGTTCAGGGTTATCTGAAAGTGGTTGGTTTTTTTTTGTTGAAGGCGCTTAGGAAAACTGCAAAACGACTATGTTTTCACGCAGAAAAATGTGACGAAAAAGGCGCGAAATTATTTTTTATTTTCGTGCAGAACAAAAAATAACACCGTAAAAACATATTTCGAGTTAAGGTCACCAGAAAATCTCGATTTTTTCCTCATTCAATAACCTCAACCATTAAATTTCCTCCATTTTCACTTATTTTTCGTTTGTCTTCTTCTTTTGTTCGTGAAGCATTTAATATTTTATTTTGCTTATCTTTTTTTCTATGCAGTATTGCGACTAGTTGTAATCAGAAATAAAGTTTAGCTATATTTACATTTTTTGAACTGTAGAAACGGAAAAAATCACGTTTTCAGGTGATTGACGATGATGATGAGGATGTTGTGAGCCCGAAAATATTCAAAGAAATGGAAAATCCGGCAGACGAGCCGCAAAATGATCTCCGAAAGGTATCCGAGAAGATTTTTTTATTTTGATATCATTAATTTGGAATTAGTGATTCCAAGGCCTACACGGGCTAGTAGAGAACTCAAAATTCAAAAATTAAGGAATAAAATCAAGTTTCAACTTTAGGAAAGTAGTCTTAGCAAGTTAAAAAAAAATTAATTTCAACCTAGTACTGACTTTAATTTTAAAGGCCTTCTGGCCATTTTGAAAAGTGTATATCCCTCAATTTTGAATGAATTTTATCGATTATCAGTTGAAAATTTTTTTCGAAAATAGTATTCAAAAAGAAATCGAATGAAAGGGTTTCTGACTCATCAAAAAGATCAACTTTTTCTAAAAACTTCCCAGAGAAAAAATATCAAAACACCTAACTTCAGGTTGGAGAAGATATAGACACTGGAACGTCGCCAGATGTTTCTTCGACCGAATCCGATAATTTGGACGTTTCTTTTCCGTTTTTCTCAAGGAGAATTTCTGAAATTTCGTTCAGAAGCAATTCGAAAATTTCGTCTTTTTGAAAAATAAGTTGAAAAATTGCGAGAATCGTCTGGCTGATGATATTGAGCTGAAGATAAAAGAGTGTATAAAGAAAATTGAGGTATTTTTAAATCTGTGAAAATAAATCTACTTCATTATTGTAGGAAAGCGTGTACGTATTGAATCGCTTTGACGTTGGCTTCTCTCACAAAGAAAAGGCAGATTCCTCGGTACGTTTTATTTGAATTTAGCTCGAGTTTCAGGAAAAGTTGGTTTGATTTTTTTAAAAAAATGCAACAATAAGCAAGTTCAAAAATTGTTTATATAGACATTGTAAAAAATGATAAAATGAAAAAGTTTGTTTGAAGTCCTTTAGAAGGAGCTGAAAAGGTTCGACTAAAGCTTCAAAAATAATAAGAGAAGGCTTTTAAGCACATTTTTCACAGTCAGTTTTGCCGTCTTTTTGCGCCATTTTATCGGATTTTATGCACCAATTTTGCTGCCTCTACCTTTCTCCACAATTTCTTGAGCCTTTAAAATCCCAGAAAAACTGGAAGGCTTGATATAGTCAATGATTCCCGACTTGAAAGGCGAGGGAGGCGGGGCAAGGGGCGGGACGCGTAGCGTGTGCGTTCGCGGTTCTTGGCACGAGTTCAATTCAATTATCGCCGACTATTTAAAAAGCTCGGCAACCGCTCTTTTTCAATGTTTTCTATTATTTTTTGATGCAGACATGAACACGATCAATAAATAATTGAAAAAGGAATGAAAAAAGCGAAAAACGGGTTTTCCAAAGAATAGATGGCGGTTGAATTGAACATGTGCCAAGAACCGCGGACGCACACGCTACGCGTCCCGCTCCCTGCCCCGCCTCCCTCGCCTTTCAAGTCGGGAAACATTGACTATAAAGGGACTTATTTTGCTGCCTTTCTGCGGTCTTTTTGAGCCCTCCTTTTATCGGTTTTGTACAATCTCAAAATATCGCTTTCTAGGATTCAAGTCGATCGAGAAAAAATTCGGTTTGGCCATCGTTGGAATTGGTGGCGATGGACCTTCTGGAAGTAGCAAAAAATGGTCAACGCCTGCAGCAAATCGAAGAAAATCTCGCTCAAGAGTCCAATAACAATTAATTTTTTACTCCTCGAAAAGTCTAATTCTTTTTTTCACTCCTGTTTGAATACTATATTTTTTTAAAGGTTTTTCGAAACTAACTCTTACTTCTTGTTGAATTTGGATATAATTCTTGTTATCATTTTTTAATTGAATTTATTTTTCTTTGAAACTTGTTAATGCTTTTTCTTGTCCTATGTTGGCTCAGTTAAATTTTTTTTTTGTTACGTGGATTTTTCTGATCCATTTGGTTCGATACCAAACGTTATCTATCGAATTTTCTTTTTCAGGTGATTACTAATTTTCATTAGAGGATAGTTTTATTAGGGTAGTTATAATTTTCTTTACAGAAGCCGCACTAAAAGTGAATAAGTGGGCGTGGCCAGCCAATCCGCGTCTCAATCCGTTAGAGCACACATGTTGAGCTCGACAAGACGTTGGCGAATAATTGGAATCATTGATCACTTTTTTTGGTTTTTATAACTGTATTTTAATTTTCTCGAAACTCATGTGGTTGAAAAACAGTTCTTTTTTTCATTCGTGAAGAAAAGATTTGTTTTTAAATCACTCAACGTTTTTTTAGGAAAATCGTATTATTGCGAAAAAAAGTCTTTTTTTCAGAAAACATCTTTTTTTCAGAAAAAAATGGTGAAATCGCCAATTTTTTTCAAGTTCCGCACTGTGGTGACAAAGTCAGAACGGCGTTTTCGCGATGAGGTTTGTTTTTTTTTCGTTGAAAATGTTCTTAGGAAATAACCGAATTTGTTGAAATAATTATCTAAGTTAAGGTTTTAAACGAAACAAAAATTTTAAAACAGCACTAAAAAAATATTTAACGTCTTTAGTCTGTTCACATTTTGAATGTCAAGCTCCGCCCCTTTTGGCGCGAGCGTTTTTGAATGACGTCGTATCACTGAAATTCAGAATCTGAATGGAAGTTTAAGGACTTAAATAGTTTTGACATCTATATTTTCTTTAGATTATCCAATTTATTTATCTTTCAGTGAGTTCCAAAATCATATAATGCCGTGTTCAAAGTGATCCCGTGAATTTGAAAACAGTCTTCGGAGAGTGAAAAGAATAGTTGAACTTTAAAGAGTCCGAGATAATTTTGAACTCTGCGGAAAGGACTTTGAACGCGGCAGAAGCGAGAAAATTTGCAGGGTGGACGATTTTTTAATGGCTCAGAATAGCTTTTACATTTTTTCCAGATGAACCAATTTCAAGTGGAATCCAGGCAACTATGCGAAGAAGTTGGGCTCGCTTCAAACATTGTGAGAATTCTTCTCGAGGAGGCTCAGAGGAGAGTGAATAAACCCGAAGTCTTGTTCGACCGAAGAATGAACATCATGCTGGCGGATCTACAAAAACAGCAATCGAAGTCATCCTCAGCCGATCAAATCGAAGCCCTCCGACGAGATTTCGAAACCAAAACGGCTGAGCTTGAGGCTTTAAAAAATCGAGAAAAAGAGAACTGGAGCCTGTTTCTGGAGTTGCGGAAAAATAACCACGACCTTCATGAGAAAGTTGTCAGCCAGTTCATGCGCGAGAAGGAGCTGATCGAGAACCTGGTTCGTGAGCTCGAGGAAAACCGGGAAGGATCTTCGAAGGTTAATTCGCATTTTTGATGTTTGAACTCTGAAAACTGATGGTAGGAAGGAACTTTGGGTTCCCGAATATTCGTGAGCGTTTATTGTGCATACAGCAATCTTGGAGGCTCGTATCTTTGAAAATTTGAATCTTTGCAACCGATTCTTAGGAATATTCACCTCTTTTCTGATTTTTTATAATTTTTCCAATGTTTTTGTTAACAGAAGTTGATGGAGAATGTATACAGAGTGAATGAAAATGTGGTAGCCGTTCTGCAGCGAATATTTGACAAAGTGTATGCGAGAAAGACGCATTTTTTTTTTATAAAAAGTTAGTTGAAAAAAATCATACAGTGTTCATTTGTGGTCGAAACACGGCACCTTCACAATAAAACGACAAAGGAAAAAAAATGTAGGAAAAGAAAAGGAAGTTCAAAAAAGAGTGGAATATTCCCAAGAATCGTGTGCAAAGATTCAAATTTTCAAAGATTCGAGCATCCAAGATTGTTGTATGCACAATTAACGCTCACGATTATTCGGGAACCCAAATTTCCTTCCTACCATCTGAAAACTGTTCGATCAAAGTCGGAATGGTGGATAATGAACGGTGATATGAAAAAAGCACCAGCGAAAATTCAAACGGCGACTTTTCCGATTTTTTCATATCGCTAGGGAACTTTCCGACGGCTACCTTTCCGATGAATCTTTTTCCGACTTTTTTTCTCGATAAAATTTTCGTTTTAAATATTCCTATATAAAGTAAACTAGTTATTCATGTTTAAAACACAAAGAAATAGAAAAAAAAATTTTAATAGATGTTTTATAAACCGAAAAGCATAAGGGAAAAAATTCGGAAAGGGATTCGGCGGGAAGGTGCCCGTCGGAAAGGGATTCGGCGGGAAGGTGCCCGTCGGAAAGTTCCCTGCCAGTATGAAAAAATCGGAAAAGTAGCGGTTCGAAAATTCGCCGTATTTTTTTTTTCATACCGCCTAATGAGCGCTAAAACGGCGGCAAAAAGGCAGCAAAAAGATTTTTTTTTCCAAGCCTTCTGTTTTTTCTGGGATTTTAAAGGCTCAAGAAATGGTGGAAAAAGAAGAGGCAGCAAGAATGGTGCATAAGAGCCGATGAAACGGACAGCAAAAAGGAACCTTTCTCGCTTTGAAAGAAAAATTTCTATAAAGCCGTTCCGACGCTTCCGACTTTGCCCATGTGAACATAACTGGCCGGTGAAAAGGAAATATTCAGGCAAAAATGAAAGAACACCTTGTAGTTCCTATTACTCAAAACAGCGCAGAAGTTGCTTTTTTTCGATGCGGAATTCCTTGCAAAACATGGAGTTCCTGGAAAAACAGTTATTTGAATCGAATAACTTTTCTCGCGGCACATAATTTTATCATTTTTTCAAGTTTTCTTGCACGGACTTCATTGTGAAGGAGCTATAGATTACGAAGCTATCTTTTTTTCCTTTGAACTGTTTTTTTTTAACTGAACGTTAATTTTCAGCCTATCTGGTGTTATCATCTTTCCATAAGCAATTTTTCTTTTTGATTTTGACTTTTTCTTTATTTGATAAATCCGGGTTTTGTGTTTTTTTTTTAATTGAAAATTTTCTGGCGAATCGAGAAGGTACCATAATGGTCCCCACAGGTACCTCTCAAAATAGATCGTGAAGGACCCGATAATGTGTCCATCGTGAGACCTCCGGCATACCTTTTATCTATATCTGAGCCATATCGGAGGTACTTCGAAGCCTCTCTCAACCCCTCTCATTTTTTTTTTTCAAAATCCTCAGAGGTGTAATTGAGGTACCATCGTGAGGCTTCAGAGCCTCCGATATACCTCAGAGGGTCTCGCGATACCCTTTCTCGATTCGCCTACGTGGTATTTTTCAGCCGGAAACCCGTAAGATCGTGTGGTCGGCTATCGAAGCTCTGAAGGAACTCTACGAAAATAGACGAAACTTGAGAGATGAACACCTCAATCGGAGAGATTCCCTGGCTGGTCAGCGTTTCGAGTGGAAGAAACAGTTCAACGAGTTGGCCTTCTCCGAAGAAGAAGTCGACGCGGAATTCGCCTCCGTCATGACCATATTCTCGAAAAGAGTCGCCATGTTACGTGACCCTTTCCTCTTGAAAATGTGCTCTTCCCTCGAAAGTTACCTTGGCAAAGCTAATGTTCGCCGATTCCAATCCAACAGCTCTCAGGTGCAAAAAAAACTTTTTTGTCATCGATATAAGTTTTTCAGAGAATTCCTCACGGCCCTGATGGCCGCGTAAAAATTTTCGCGGAACGTCAACTCTCGATTTTAGACGATCCCCTTCCGATAAACTTCCATAAGTATTTTTTGAGAAACGAGGTGCGTTTCTTTTTTTTTCACCGAAAAAATGGACTTTTTTGAAGAATCGAAACGTCTCCGTTTCCGAATCTGATGATTTTTACCACCTTTCTGGGCTTGAGGTAATCTGAAAACTCTTTTTCAAGAAAAATCAGGAAATTTCAGAGCGACAGGGAGAATGATTTCGAAAAGTCGCCGCGTCCTGATTCGCGTGGATCGGTTTTTTATTCAAATTCGAAGAGATTCTCTTTAAAATATGTGTACTTTAGGTTACGGAATTTCGGGGAGAACTTGAAAATTTTTGAAAATGTCGACCAATTTGCGACTGCTCCCATCAAGATTCATCATCAAGACGTAGGCGCCCAAAAAAATTTTTTTATTTTTGAAATTTTTTTATCCTTTAAAAAAATAAAGTGAAGAGGTTTATTAATTTTTTTATTCGAAGATTCTGAACGCCAATAGCAACCCAGCCATCTCCCGAGGCGATTTCGACCGAAATTCTGTACTTCGCCGAAATTTCCGCGTCCAGGTGAACAATTTTTTTCGTTTCGTAGTCGTTGGAATTCAAAGCGAAAAAAATAATTTTTGAAAAAAACTTGTAAATTTTTCAGTGTTCTAGGCCATTTTTTTCGTGTTAAATCTCTGAAAGGAAGGTTTATTCAGGCAAATAAAAAAAAATATTTTTGGATATCCAGAAAATAATTCAGAACGTTTATAAATTTTTTTCCGAATTTCCTACGATTGCTTTTTTTAAGAGAGGAGACCATTTTTTTAAATTTTACAAAATGAAAAAAAGAAGGAAATTATTTTTCACACTAAAGTTGAATAGAATTTATCGAAGAATATTAAAAAAAATTTCAGATCGATACGCTCGAAAAAGCCCGACCATGAGGATGACTACGAAAACGAAGAATTTGAGGTTTTTCTTGTCCTTCTCTATGAGAATTTCTCGAATATTTGTCCAGGAACTTCTGGGACGATTCAGAAATGTTAATCAGGATCACTTAAATTTGAAAACACGTCTCGGGGATATGATGAAGCTGAGGAAGACAGTCATTTTGGATGAAATCGAGGTTTTCCGCAGTTTTGAAAATGAATTGACCTCAAGTTTAGGCCCACGTTGCAAATTTGATGGCGATCAAACGTGAACTCGACTTTTCTTTGGGTAGTTTTCAGGTAATTTTTCAATTTTACAGAGTTAAAATTTCAAGAAAAGCTAGTTATAACCTGAAAAACAAAATTTGAATAACTCTCGAAAAATTCTAAATGTTACCTTTTTACAGGTGGACGATTCGATTTGGCTGTCGTTGAACTCCGTGGCTCGAGCACTGGAAGAAATCGCAAATAAAGGCGAAACGATGCAGAAAATCGAAAAAGAATTTTCTTGAGATCACATTTTTGTCATTTTTTAAACTTTCATGTGCCTTCTAGAACTAATCCAATAATTCTTGTGCCATTTTGATAGGATTCTTGTAAATGTTGTTTTCCGCGGTTTATATTTATCGCATTTTTTTAAACTTTGATTCTTGTTGATTTTCTTTCTTGTTCTATATTGGTTGAATTAAAAAAATTTTTTTTTTGAGGATTATTTTGTTTCATTCGGTTTGATACCGTATTTTTATCTATCCGTTTTTTTCATATATAGTCTGTTCAGATTTTTGAATGTCAAGTCGTCGCTCAAGCTCTGGTGCGATAAACCAAACAGAGCGTTTTCGAATGACGACATTCTACTTGACATTCAAAATCTGAACAGACTATATTTTTTTAACTTTTCATAATAGCTCATTAGCGAAAAAAAAAATCCTGCGAATTTCAAAAAATTGCAATAACTCTTCTTTGCACCACTGCGAAAACGTTTCAGCTCCAGGCTTGTGCGTCAGGCCGGGCGGCCCGGCCTTTGGGCCTTGTTTTTCAGGAAAAAGCCCGCGTGGGCTCGGGGCCGGGCCGGGCTTAAAAAAATTTGAATGTTCATTTAAAAAAATTTTTCACCGAGACGTGACTTTTACTTCCGAAATCATAGTTTTTTTGTTAAACTGTAATAGAAAAAAATGAGCAAAAAAACGTAATTTTTTTGTCGTAAAAAAACTTGATATCCGACTAGAAAAAAATTGCGCGATTCGGGCCGGGCGGGCCATTTTTTTCTTGAGGCCCGCTAAAACCGGGCCGGGAGGGTGACGGGCCGGCCCTCGCACAAGCCTGTTCAGCTCCTGAAAAAATGTTCAGTTTTTATAGAAGAAAATGAACGAAAGACGGCTCCCGAGCAGCGCTGAAGTTGAGGATCTTAAGAAAAAGGTTAGTTTTCTTGTAAAATAAAATTCGCATTCTTTTCGAGACGCTGCGAAAAATGAAACGTTACCAAAGAATTTTTTTTCGCCGGCTGAAATTTTGATGAAAACTTCTTGAAGTGTACTTTAGGACCTCGTTATTCCAGAACAAGTAGAAAATTACTCAAAATCAATCTCCTTTTTAAGATATATGAGGCTTCAAAAACTGAAATAGCGCTTTTCGCTCATAATTTGTGTATTTTACGACCTTTGAAGCTTTATAACTGTAATTAATATCTATTGCGCGAAAATTTTTTTTCTTATTCTGGAATCTAAAGGTCGTAAAGTACACTCCGGCAAAGTTTCATTTAATCGGGGGTGTTCCCTAGTTAAATAGAAAAATTTTTTTGGTTTCTGAAAATTGTGACGCATCCGCGAAATGACCGATTTTTTTATTTTTTTATTACAGTATGAGTTCGATAATGCAAAAAATGCGAGGAAAGTTCATTTTTATCTTAAACGTCATCTAAACTTAGGATTTCAGATGAACGCCGCGGAACAGATGCTCAGGGAAGGCATTGCGAAATATGCTGAAAGCAAAAATAAAATGAGCCAATTTTGGTGTGAAGCCTCAAAGAAAAAGAACGCAGTCCACGCGGCTCATGACCACCGAAAAAAAGAACTCAAAGAAGAACGCGAAAAAGAATCGTGCGATGTGGACGAAACCTTTCGCGACCCGAGATCAACACTGTCCGCCGAAGTAAAACGAAAAAATGCCGAGGAAGAACGAAAACGTGTCGAGGATAAGTATAAACTTGAACTAGAATGTCTGGAAAATTGGAACTTTTTGGAAAGCACGAACTGGGATTTTTTTGATGCAATCCGCAACGAAAACTTCGAGGCCAATGCTCATCATCGCGACCATCTTCACTCTTTGATGATGACGCTCCGCAGTTCATTTTTCCAGAGCCCCACTCAAGTTGTCAAGAAAATTGTCGATTTTTTGAAGACAAGCGAAACGAAAAGGATCAGTTTTTTGGAGGAAGAGTTAGCTAGGCTTGCTTTTTTGCGAAGTTCGTATTCTGACTGGAAGAAACGGGCCCGTGTCGGAAACATCTTCGTAAAATTTATCCAGCCGCGTTTCCAATTCTTCATCTTCCACTCGGAAAAAACGTTGGAGCTGCTGAAGTTCAATCAAAAGGAGCTGGATAAGATCCGGATCAGCCTCGAAGAATTTTTGAAGCCGAAAGAGGTTCCCATTGCACCTGTCGAAGAGAATCAGGTAAAAATCTTTTTTTTTTTCAAGGTTACCAAAATTTTTTCAGCTTACTTCAAATGATCTTTTGGAATCCGCTGCTGGAGACGAAGTAGTGCCAGAATCGAATACTGGAAATGGAGGAGAAGTAGATTAAATGGAAATGCTTCCTAATACATTTTGAGTTAAGGTGATTAACGTGGAAACCGAAGCTGGAAACTCGGAAGTCTTAGACAATTCGTTTGGACAGGAAAAAAGATCCGCGACATCCTCTTCCGCGGGAGAGCCGGAAAAGAAACGACAGAAGGTACATGAAGAAAAATTTATTATTATCCAATCTTATAAGTGTTTTAAATAAACTAACTTCAGGTTGAGAAGCCTAGATTTGTTCCTACAGAAAACGAGGTCGAGAAAGATTTGAATGAGAAGGTTTGGGAGTTTCCGAAATGCGAAAAATCCACATTTTTTTAGAACTTGGGTAGCTCCACTGGAAGCCCCAGGAACGATTCTGATTATGAAGGCCTTCCGGAACCAGTTGATGAACTTTCCCGTAAAGTCTCCAAGGTAATGGAGATCCGTAAGAAAGTAATATTCCAATATCGCAATTGAGATTGAAGAAGAAGTTGACAATCCCGCATTGCCAGTTGCTTCTCCGCGTGAATCTGTAAGATTCCTTGGCCTTCCCAGTTTTCGGAATACATCCTCACTAACTTCAAATTCATTTCAGGTAAATCCTACCAGCGAGCGGAAGGATGAATCTTCAAAACTCGAAGATATCGAGGTTTCTACCGTCTTTCTTGTCAGGAATTTAGAATCATCTTCAGACGGTTTTTCAAGATTATCTTCGTCAGAAGGAAGAATATATAAACTGCAAAAATCGCCTGCTTAACAAAACTGAGCTGGAGATCAAAGATTCTGTAAAGGTAAAAGTATTTGCGGAAATAAATCTGCTGCAATGAATTGTTCCAGGAAAACGCGAGGAAATTGGAAGAAATCGCGAAAAAGTTGGAGATTGGCTGCTCTCAGAAAGAAGTTGGAGTTTCTGCGGTTCGTTTTTCAGTTTTGACGAGTTTTTCAGAAGAAGTAGTTTCAATTTGAGAACGCTACAAGAACTTGAAGATATAGGGGAAGTAAAAAACGGGGTTTGAGTTGAAAGCAGTACCTTATAGAGCTTTATGTTGCGAATTAATCGGTGTACTCTAAGAAGCACAGGTATGAGTACTTTTGAAGAAAAATTCCATTTTATTTTCCCGCCTTTTTAGTTTTGAAATTTGCTTTGAATCGGTGTACAGACAACTGTCTGCAGTAGTCGACCACGCGATATTGCGGACGTGTCGTTAGACTCGCATCTTTGAGAAATAACTGGATATCTGCTTCAAATAAATGGTCTCTTTTTTGAAAAAAACTTAGACAAACAGAAAAATAAACACTGATAATAAAGAAAACGCAAAATATCGAATTCTCAACCGAAAGCTGTATTAAATTATATTTTGCGATCAAATTTTGATGATTATACGTGAATAATATTTCCTTTCTAGGATTCGACACGACCCAGAGACAAGTCGATTTGGCTGGAGCTCGAATCGGTGGCTGAAGATCTTCAGAAAGTAGCCAAAAAGGGTTTTAAATGGCAGCAAATCGCAGACGAAAATGTTTGAAACTTCACGTTTCTGTACTTTTTTCGAAATTTTCATGTGCCCATGCCCCTTTTCTATTATTGTTCGTATTCCAGTAGGCTGCTTGTTGAAATTGTTGATTTACTTGTTGCTTTGTTCATGTTATTGTTATTTTGTGCCTTTAGAATTTTGACAATTTTATTTTCCTTTTGTTTCATCTCGTTCATATTTCACGCTTTTCTGCATGTTAATATAAATATTTTTCGTTTTCAAGGTTTTTTTTTTGTCTCATTTTCATTGGTTTAGTACCAATTTTTATCTATTGCTTATGTCATTTTAAATTTGAGGTTCACTCAAAGGCTCATTTTTCGTATTTCTGTTCTTTTTGTTACCGGCGTGATATTCAAAGTGAACTTGTAAACCATGGTTTACATACATCGGCGAAAAAATCCTCTTGGGTGCGGAGTTGGCTGCGTGACATTCAAAAACAGAACATACTATAGAAGAAAATGACCGAAAGAAAGCTTCCGAGCAGCGCTGAAGTTGAGGATCTTCAGAAAAAGGTTAGTTTTCTTGGGAATAAAGTTCGTTTCGAAACGCTTCGAAAAATAAACATTTTTCAAACCCCTTTGAACTGGTGGTATGAAAAAAACACCAACGAAAATTCAAACGGCGACTTTTCCGATTTTTTCATATCGCTAGGGAACTTTCCGACGGCCACCTTTCCGACGAAATTTTTCCGACTTTTTTCCTTTATATTTTTCAGTTTTTAAAACATCTATAAACATTTTTTTTCCTATTTCTTTGGGTGTTTAATCATGAATAAACTACCTACTTTATATAGGAAGATTCAAAACGATGATTTTATCGAGAAAAATAGTCGTAAAAAATTTCGTCGGAAAGGTGGCCGTCGGTAAGTTCCCTAGCGATATGAAAAAATCGGAAAAGTCGCCGTTTGAATTTTAGCTGGTCTTTTTTTCATACCACCTTTGAACTTTTGATGAAAATTTGCTAAAGTGCTCTATAGGGCCTCCTGATTTTATAACAAAAAGCAATTTCTTGTAGTGGACTTTGGTTTTTTATTCAAAAGCTTAAAATAGCGTTTTTTGTCACATTTTGTAGTGTTTTGAGACGTTTGATGCCTCATGAATCGAAAAGCAGATTTGAAACGAAATTGTTTTTTTCTTCAATCAGAAGTTCCTGAAGTACACTTAAGCAAAGTTTCATCAAAAAAATTTCAACCGGGGGCTGAAAATGATCCTTAGTTGAAGAAAAATTGGCACCGAAGATGGTATTTTTGGTTTCTGAGAAAGGTGAGTCTTGCGTTAAATGACCGATGTGTTATTTTATTACAGTATCAGTTCAAAAGACAAAAAAATGCGAGAAAAGTCTATTTGTATCCTCAATGTCATCTAAACTGAGGATTTCAGATGAACGCCGCGGAACAGATGCTCAGGGAAGGAATTGCGAAATTTGCTGAAGGTGAAAATGAAATGAGCCTAATTTGGTGGGAAGCTTCGAGAAAAAGGAACGCAATCCACGTGACTCATGAGCACCGAAAAAGGAAACTGCGACTCGACCGCCAACAAGAACTTTGGGATGTGGACCAAATCTTAAGCGACCCGACAACATCACTGTCCGTCGAGGAAAAGCGGAAAAATGTCGAGGAAAAACGAAAAAATATCGAGAAAAAGTATATTCTTGACCTGGAAAGCGTGAAAAATTGGAACTCTCTGGAGCGCAAGAACTGGGATTTGCTGAATGAAATCCAATACAGTAGCTTCAAATCCAATACTTATCATCGCCGTCATCTTTATTCTTTGATGATGAAGCTCCGTAGCTCGCTTTCCCAGAGTCCTACTCAAGTCGTCGAAGAGATTCTCGACTTTTTGAGGACAAGCGAGGAGAGAAGGCTCAGCTTGTTCCAGGAAGACTCCGCTGAACTTGCTTCTTTGAAAAAGGTGTTGTCTGACTGGCAGAAACGGATCGAAGCTAGCGATATCCCCGAAAAAGATATCGAACCCGTTTTTCAATTCTTCATCCTCGACTTGCAAAAAAAGTTGGAGCTGCTGGAATCCAATGGAAAGGAGATGGCTGACCTACAGATCAGCCTCGAAGAATTTTTGAAGCCGAAAGAGGTTCCCATTGCACCTGTCAAAGAAAATCAGGTAAAAATCATACGACTTTTTTCGAGGTTAGCAAATTTTTTCCAGCTTCCCTCAAATGATCTTTTGAAATCCGCTGCTGGAGACAAAGTTGCGCCAAAAATTAAACGTGAGATTGGAGATGAAGTAGATCAAATGGAAATATTTTCCAATACATTTTCGAGCTCAGACGCTCAATGGAGAGTCCGAAGCTGGAAACTCGGAAGTCTTCAAAAATTCGGTTAAACTAGAAAGTAGTTCCGTCGCGACTTCACCTTCTACAAAAGACGAACCAGAAAAGAAGCGCCCAAAGGTACAGGAAAAGAATTATTGTTACAAAGTTACTCATCTTTTTTTTCCTATTTCATAGTTTTAAATAAACTAACTTCAGGTTGAGAAGCCTGGATTGGTTCCTACAGAAAACGAAGTCGAAAAAAATTCGAATGAGAAGGTTTGGGAATTTCGGAAATGCGAAAAGTCCACATTTTTGTAGAACTTGGGTAGCTCCACTGGAAGCCCCAGGAACGATTCTGATTATGAAGGCCTTCCGGAACCAGTTGATGAACTTTCCCGTAAAGTCTCCAAGGTAATGGAGATCCGTAAGAAAGTAATATTCCAATATCGCAATTGAGATTGAAGAAGAAGTTGACAATCCCGCATTGCCAGTAGCTTCTCCGCGTGAATCTGTAAGATTCCTTGGCCTTTCCATTTTCAGAATACATCCCCATTACTTTGAAATTCATTTCAGGTAAATCCTATCAGCGAGCAGAAGGATGAATCTCCCAAACTCGAAGATATCGAGGTTTCTTCCGTCTTTCTTGTCAGGAATTTAAAATCATCTTCAGACGGTTTTTCAAGATTATCTTCGTCAGAAGGAAGAATATATAAATTGCAAAAATCGCCTGCTTAACAAAACTGAGCTGGAGATCAAAGATTCTGTAAAGGTAATCGAAGTGTTTCCGGTAATAAACCTGCTGCCTCGAATTATTCCAGGAAAACGCGAGGAAATTGGAAGAAATCGCGAAAAAGTTGGAGATTGGCTGCTCTCAGAAAGAAGTTGGAGTTTCTTCGGTTCGTTTTTCAGTTTTGACGAGTTTTTCAGAAGAAGTAGTTTCAATTTGAGAACGCTACGAGAACTTGAAGATATAGGGGAAGTAAAAAAACAGGGTTTGAGGTGAAAGCAGTAACTTATAAACTTTTTCATTGCGAATGGATCGGTGTACTCAACAGATATGAGCACTTTTAAAGAAAAATGCCATTTTACTTTCCCGCCTTTTATTTTGAAAATGCTTCGGATCGGTGTTTCAACTTTTTTCTTTCAAATCGAAACATTTTTTGGCTAATGATGAGTTACCGTGTTTCATATAGCAAAGCCAAGTTGAAGCTGAATCGAATAATTTTGAGCAAAGTTGTTGCCAAAAAAACACGGTCTGCATTTATTTTTGACCAGACTGTAGGTCCAAAAAACGTTATAATGTTTTTTTAGAACTCCTACTAACTAATAATTACCTTTCAAGAATTCGACTCGACCCAGAGACAAGTCGATTTGGCTGGAGCTCGAATCGGTGGCTGAAGATCTTCAGAAAATAGCAAAAAAGGGTTTTAAATGGCAGCAAATCGCAGACGAAAATGTTTGAAACTTCATCTTTCTCTAATTTTTCAAAACTTCTATGTACCGGTTTCTTTTTTTCGTTCCTGTTCGTATTTCAATCGTTGACAATTCGATTTACTGGTTGCTTTGTTCAAATATATTTTCCCTGTTATATGATCTCGGTCATTTTTTCATGCTTTTCTGCATGGTAATATAAACATATAAAGATTTATCGTTCTCAAGGTTCTCTTTGTCTTTCTTTGATTTCATTGGTTTCGTACCAATTTTTTTATCTATTTTTTTCATTATTTTTAGATTGGAGGTTTGTTCAATCGCTCATTTTTCGTTTTTCTGTTGTTTTTGTTACCGGCGTGGTATTCAAAGCGCACTTGTAGGCTGTAGTTTTCATACATAGGCGAAAAATTACTTTTTTTTTGCCAACTGTCGCTGGAAGTTACAAGAAAAAAGATCAATATATTTTCGCAAACTTAGACGTTGAAAGTAGAGAAAAGTTTCTATCAGTTTTGTGTGATTCTATTAATTTTTAGCGGCCTTCGTTCATATTGTCTGTTCAGATTTTGAATGTCAAGTCATCGCTCAAACTCCGCCCCTTAGATCAAACCAATCAGAGAGCGAGCCATCCACAGAGCGTTGTAGGATTGGAGACGGAGTTTGCTGCTTGACATTTAAAATCTGAACCTATATAGGTTGTTCATATTACTGGATTTTTTTATTCAGACTTGAAACTTCAAAGTAAATTTTGCAGATAGGAACAACCGAAAAAATGAAAGAAGATCAGCGTCCTCCTTGTTCTACCGAACACGCCTTTCGGAATATTATATGGAAGGTGAGATTTAAAATATTGACAAAAACGAAAAAAGTTAATCTAAAAAAAAAGTAGAAATGTAAATTTGAGAGCTCAATATTTTTTTTTCCGAATCATAGAAAATTTCTTGAAAAAAAAATAATAAAACGTTCCCTAGTCAGTTTTCTCTTTCACAGGTGCAGTCATATTGAAAGGCTGAGTTTATAGAAAGAAATTGACTGACTCGAATTGGATATCCAGTTCGGAAGATTATTCGAAAATATTCCAGGGTTCAGTTGAAAATATCCGAATAAGAAAGAATGGACTCATTTAGAAAAAGGCCCAATTTTTCAATTGAAAATCGAAACGTATCCAAGAATATTTGAAAGTTTTGATTTTACGGTAGATCTTTGAATAATACTTGAGTAATGCGTGAGTTTGCGAAAATAATTTTGGCGATTGAAACTTTTTTCAACGTTGTTTCGAAATCATTATTTCAGATAGCTGCGTTGAAAATACATCTTTCTGGTAGAGTTGAAGAGGTTTCGGGCGTCAAAATGGAAATGGCTCGGTTATTGAAAGAAGCCATTGATGAGAAGAACACGGCCGACAAATTTTATTATCGGCAGTTAAATGAATTTCAAGCCGGATTCAGTCGTGAAAGCTGGGATTTATGTTCCGGACATTACGGCCTCAGCCTCCCGCCATCCGTTCAAACAGACCTCGCAAATCTTGAAAAAGAATATGAAAATAAAGAACGTCGGCTAAACTATTCGAGACAACGGGAGCACGAGAATTATGGATTATTGGTCGACGTTCGACAGTCGGACTTCAATCTCAACGAAAAACTTCTGGAGCAACTTTTTCGTGAAAATGAAACTTTTGGAACAATCATGGATCAACTACGTTTCGACCGAGAAGAGGTTTGTTTTGAACCTTTTGAATCTCAATTTCAGTGTTTTTTTATTCTTTTACTGTTGTCGAATGAGGTCAAGATTTCGGTGATTTAAAGGTCAATTTTTCGGCATGCTGGAAAAGTCGGTCGGTTTTGAAAACTATGCCACGCCGCAATTTTGCTCCATGGAACACTTAGAATTTCAATCTGTTTTTTTTCCTCTCAGAATTTTTTCTCTCTTTTTAAATGTTACCAAGGTTTTCCCTTTTTCTCATTCAAGTCTATCGTTTTCGCGAGCAAAATACGATGGTTACTACATTCAAAATTATAAACTGATTCAGTTTTTTTGAGAATTATTATTTATTTTTTTGGATCAAAAAAATAACTTCATATAACCAAATGAGTGAAATTGAGAATCATAAGTTATTGAAAAATGAGATAATGTGTAAAATACAAACAAAAAAGGCAAGAAACAAAATTACATCCAGTAAAACGTAAAACATTGCCGAGAATAACGATAATAAATAAGGAACAGTTCAGTTCGAAGTGAGTAGCATGTGTCCTATATCCTAGAAAACTGATAAATAGAAAGGTAAAATATCTCAGGCACTGGTGCGCGCACGCGCGGGGGTACTGATTCTTTTTTCGCCTTTTTCACTGAAATACGGTTTTGAAATAGATTTTTTATATTTTTGTGATACTACCTTGTGTCCCTGCTCACGTTTTAAAGTTGTTCCGAGCACTTTCGAACAAATTTATTGAAAAGAATTGCCAAGTGAAACTTTGATATTTAAAATTTTTTTGGGCAATCTAATTGTTATAAACTGGTGCAGAGCAATGTTAAAAAGATGAACAGACATGAAAAAAATATTAAATTTATAACTTTTCAATTAGTTAAAAAAAGCTAAAAAAACAAAAGAGACACCCGCGCGTGCGCGCAGCAGGCGGCGCGCATGCGCACTTTTGGCAACAAACACGCGCCGTCAGTGCCTGAGATAGAAAAAGAGAAAAAAAAAAAATCTGAAATTCGATTTTCCATGGAGCAAAATTGCGGCGCGGCCTAGTTTTCCAAACCGACCGACCGACTTTTCCAGCATGCCTGCCACATATAGTCTGTTCAGATTTTGAACGTCAAGTCGCTTCTAAAGCTCCGCCCCTAATGGCCCGATAAGCCAATCAGAGAGCGAGCCATCCACAGAGCGTTTTCGAATGACGTCATTTTACTTGACATTCAAAATATGAACAAACTATAACAGATAACTTCCTAAGTTAAATATTTATCTCCAGATCAATATGATTACAAAGTTCGAACTCGATCCGCGTAAAAGAATACACTTACAAGGGAGATCATTTTACTTTGCGGTTGGGATTTCCCTGAAAATTGGCCAGAACGACCAAATAACCCAAATTGCGCAGAAAAAGTCTGCGCCTAACCGTAAAATACATGAAACTAGGCTATTTTGAGGCTTCAAGTCCTTTTTTTTATCGAAAACTAAGGAGTTTGAGGTTGAGACTTTCAAGATCTTCATCTGGTACATCAAAAAGTGTTCTGGCCAGTTTTCAAAAAATTCCCAATCACAAAGTAAAATGACTTTCCCTGTTAGTTTTCTTGTTGCTGGAACATTTATTTCTCTCAGAAAAGTTTTTTCAGGAGCAATGTATTGAAATCCTCAAATCGATTCTCAGTTTCCTGGAGGAAAACGAGAAGAACAGGATTCAACTCAGGCAGAACTATACGGATCGATGTTATTGTTTGACTGCTCGTCATGCCGACTGGAATCAACGCTTAGATGTCCGCGACATTTCTGAAATGAGCACCGAATCGACTTTCCAAGCCGTTTTGGCCAATTTCAACGCAAGATTAGAAATGATGACAGAAGGCGATGAGAAGATGAAAAGGCTCCGTATTGCGATCAGCGATTTTTTGGAGGAGAAGAAGCGATGTCTCACAAAAGCTCCTATCGAACATTTGAAGGTTTGAAGAGACATATTTAAAGTTTTGCTCATAAGAAAGATAGTTTCTGAATCGCGTATTTCATTTTATATTTTAGATATTCCCCAAATCGTTTTCATGTTGATTATCAGCTCTACATGTAAAACAATAAAGAATCTTCAATTCACATCCATGACCTTTCGAATCATTCTAAATCTTATTTTTAGAATGTTCCGCTATCCACAAATATTCGAAATGAAGACGTCACGCAAGGACTGGTTCCAGCTTCTGATCCGACTCCAGAAGTATACATTTTTTGATTTGAAAAAAAAATTCGAAATTCCTTTAGGTTCGAAAACAAGTCGAAATTCTCTTGCGAAAGGTTGATTCTCCTACTGGATATATCACTACTATTGAAGATTTTCGTCGGCTTTTTGGAGTCAAGGTATCGACAAAAAACTTCTAATTTCTCTGGACTCTAACAAAAGTTCCGTTGTAACCATAAAGTTTTGCATTAAATGCCCATTACGGTACTTATTCCGTACACGATTTCGAAATGTTTCTTTTACCAAGATCAATATTTTCTACATTTTCATCCTAGGATGTGACAGTAGCTTTAAAAAAACTTTTTTTTTCCACCCGGTTGCCCCAGGGGTGTACGCCATCCAGGTCCAAAGCGGGGTGCACAAAAAACTTTCACGAAAAATCCACGTTTTTCGGAATTCACTGCGGGTTCCATTTTCGTTGAAATTTTATTTGAAATGTCCCCTAGAGATATGAAAATATCATAAAAGTGGCCCTTCGAAGTTTCGCGGGATTTTTTCATACAGTCTGTGTGCCACGACTTGAAATTTCACGGAACGACATTCCGCTGTTCCGCTGCGTGCGGTCGCGAAGCGTCTTTCGAATCTAGGTCACGCTTTCAATTGATTGTTATTGCTGTGGGAGCACATGAAACTAGAGCACCTTAATAAAAGCACGACCAAGGTTCGCAAAGGCGCACAGCGGAATGTCGTTCCGTGAAATTCCAAGTCGTGTAACACAGGCTATACTTCTCTTTTTTACTTTCAACTTGAGTCAAATTTAGACCGACGGATCCTCGGAGCCTACACTTGCTCCTATCGAACCTGTGAGTTTTGATGAAGCTGGTTATCCGATGAATTTTTTTATTTTGGCAAAAATAGATACCTTTTCTGACGGGGATGGAACATTTCTAAGTCAAATTTATAAAATGAATTTTAAGGCTCTCGAACATGCTGATAACACGCAAAATTTGGGTCTGAAGCCAGAAACTCGAGATATTTGTCCTGAAATCGTTCCTCCGGAGGAAGAATCAAAGTCTGAGCTTAATTTCCCGTTTTCAAAACTTATCGAAAATTCTCAGGACAGAAAAAACTACAGTTGAACAATCGAACGCCTTGCCAAATTTGGCCTTCGAAACTGAAAAGAAGCGGAATGACGAATCTCATGACAGTGATACTTCGAAGTCTTCTGAGACCAACAGTCTTTTCGCTTCTATCAGAAAAACTTCTTCCGACAGTTCTTTCGAAAGAATTTCCAGTGCTCAGGTCAGAAATGCTCAAAAATTCGTCATACAGCGGAACTTTCCGACTGTTTCTGATGACACGGGGAGTCGGAATGACTTGGACGAAGCTTTTAGCTAACAAGGCAACTTTTTTTACCCCCCGGTTGAAACTTTTATGTTTTGAGAAAAATTTCTGATTGAATTTCAACCGTTTTCATAGATTTCTTCTGTGGGAAAAATAGCAAAAATAAATTTCGTTAAAAGGATTCGAACCCTGACCATAGTCTCCGCAGTGCTGGCACCCTAGCCACTACACTAACCGGCCAACTGGAAGTAAGGGCGCGTGCGCAAGACACATTTCTTCTTGCTGCGTTCCACTCATTTCACGTGCAAACTTTTAGCCGTCATAACTCGGCTACGAGGCAAAAGTCGAGAAATTATGTTCTTGATTTGGAATCAGCATGCCTTAAAGTACATCCCTGCGAAGTTCCGTCAAAAGTTCAACCGGGGGGTAAAAACAGTTCCCTTGTACATTTAGAGCTGTTCAAATATGCTCAATTTTTTATTTTACGTGTTCCAAAAGTTTTTAAGTTCTTAAAAAGTTTCATGTTCATTTAAAGTAGCATTTTTGCCTCTAAAAATATTTCATTTTTAGGTAGAAGGAGAAGAAGAAGACGATGAAGACGAGTTGGAAGAAGAAGAAGAAGAAGATGAAGACGAGTTGGAAGAAGAAGAAGAAGAAGAAGAAGAAGAAGAAGAAGATGACGAGTTGGAAGAAGAAGAAGAAGTTTTCGAAAAGCTGGACTTATCCTCTTTGTATCCCGTGAGTTTTTTCTAAACACCTCAGGTCATATTGTTACATCCTTGGTTTTGATAATTTACCATAAAAGGAAATATTGAATTATTCAGTATATAGTACAATTTAAAGTACAGAAGAATACGTTTTGCTAAGCCGCGCTTATAAGATAAAAACTAGATCTTCTTATAGTCTGTTCAGATTTTGAATGTAAGCAGCTAACTCCGCCCCCAAGGCTACAATGTCTTTCGCGTCAGTGTTTTATCGCGCGTGACGATGCTCCTTTAATAGTGCTGCATTTTTGACTCATTTTTCTAGCCTTCTCTGACATGGGCGCAAAAAGATCGCCACAAGTCTTTCTTGTCGTTTCTCGCAGCTAGATAATGACGAAATAGTGAGTGTCAGAGAAAAAGTTTCTGCGATCTTTTGGCGCCTCTTGTCTGAATTTAAATTTAAGAAAAAGCTCAAAAATCATCACGCGCGATAAAAAATCGTCACGAAAAGGTACTGTACCAACAGGCGCGGTGTTAACGAAATTCAAAATCTGAACATACTATAGACCCATACCGTAACGCATTTTTTGATAATTTTGTGCGAAAAACGTTACGCAATATGAAAAAAATTATATTGTCTGTTCAGATTTTTAATTTCAAGTGCAATGACGTCATTCAAAAACACTCTGTGGCCGGCTCGCTCTCTGATTGGTTTATCGCACCATTAGGGGTGGAGCTTGAGCGAAGTCTTGACATTTGAAATCTGAACAGAATATATTCACATGTGTACATTTTAACATTCATTTTCGACGTTTTTCTAGTTTGCATGCCGATTTTATCAAATTATCAGCCATAAATTGATCAAACCTGTAATATTTCCAGTTCAACTCGCTCAGAGTCTCAGAAGATGACATCAGTCCAGAAAATATTCAAAACTTCAAGGTTTTTCTTTTCGATCTTCAGAGAATATTCAAAATTTTCTCCAGAAATGTTATTCCGTGTTCCAAAATCTGCAAGAAATGTGCACGATTGGCAAAAATCGCCTGGATAAATTGACTCAGGAAAACCAGAAAAAGTCTTTGAATAAAGTCAAGGTATTTTGGCTCTTTATGGAGATATCAAAATGGATGATTTTCAGAATGATTTGACGAATTTGATGGAAATCTTGACTAAAATTGAGCTCAGCTTCTCGGAAGAAAATGTTTCGGTATCTTTTTTTTCAAACAAAATAATGTGCTCCTTTATTTTTCTTCAGGTCCCAGAAAGCTCTAGCGACGATTCAATGTGGCTTTCCTTCGAATCTTCCATTGAAGACCTGGAAAACAACGCAAAAAACCTCATTTCCATGCATAAACTCAAAAAAGAATTTTCGTAAACTCCTTTTTTTTCATGTCAAACTACTAACTCGATTACTGATTTTTTCACCGTTGACATATCTCTTTGTTATTTTTCACTTTCGAAGTTTATTTATCTATTTTTGTACATCGAATTTTTCACACTCAATACTCATTCTCTCATTTATTTTGATTTTTTTTTTCTGCCTGAAAGATGTTAATAAAGTTTCCCATTTCATTTTTTTTTCATTCTTTTCCATTAGTTCTGTGCCATTTTATACTTTCAGTTTTTTACACTAATTTAGCTCCTTCAAAAAAATTCCTTTTAAGCATTGCCTGACCAAAAAGATGAATGGTAGGAAGCGTCATCTAGACGACCAAAGCGGCAGTGATACGCTGGAACTTCAGAGAATGGTTATTCGTTTTCTTTTTGTTGGATAGGGGTCTCAAAGAACTCGTTATTGTTCTATGAGATGTATTAAACAATTTTTTTCTCAGATTTTTATCAAACATGGGCGGGACTGAATTTTTTTATTTTTGCGGAATGTGAAAGCCCTCTAGGTACAAAAACTAATCACAATTTTTTTATACTGTAGGGGTGAAATTTTTCTCTTTATATGGTTTTTTCGTTTTTCGACAAGTAGAAGGTGAGAAAAGAATATTGGACTCAAAAAAATTTATAAATAAACAAGTGAATTTTCGAGAAATCCTATTGAAAAAAACGCTGGACACGGAAATCCGCCCATCACCGATTTAAATAAAAATCAAGGAATTTCAGAAGAAATACATGTTATTTACCTGTAAATATAGCCTGTGTACCGCGACTTGGAATTTCACCAAACGACATTCCGCGGTGCCGCTGCGCGCCTTTGCGAATCTCGGTCGCGCTTTTATTTTATTTTTTCTTTTATTAAGGTACTCTACTTTCATGTGCTCCCACAGCAATAACAATCAATTGGAAGCGTGACCTAGATCCGAAAGACGCTGCGCGAACGCACGCAGCGGAACCGCGGAGTGTCGTTTCATGAAATTTCAATTCGTGGCACACAGACTATACCTGAACTTATTTATTGAAGACTTTGCGTTAATTGCGTACTCTATTCGTCGCTCTGGACGCGTAAAAATGGCTCGAAAGGACGCGTCTGGGAAAAAAATAAGCCTAAAAACGTTGTTCGCATAAATGTAGGAGAAAGGTTTATTTAACTCAAAATCCTATAAATATATGTGTAGAATATAAGTTCAATTAGGCGGAAGGCTACCAGCAAGCAGAATCTCTTCGAAAAGCTTCATCTATAATAAATTAGGATTCCAGATGGGCGCCTTGAAACAGACGCTCGAGGGGAGACTCGAAGAAGTTGGCCAAGTCAAAGATGAGATGACTTATTATTCGGAAGACGCCTCTGTCAAGAGGAGCAAAATCCACGACATTTATCAGCGGCGGAAGAAGAAAGTGCGATCCGACTACGACGCAGGCCTGCGGTGTTTGAACCGAGGGCTCTACGGCCCAACAAGATCGACGGCAGCCGAGGAAAGACGGAAATCCGTCCAGGAGAAGTATAACCGCGAATTGGAACGACTGGTCTATTGGAAGGACCTGGAGCTCGAGAATTGGAGCTTTCTGGGCCAAATCCGAAGGCAGAATGTCCATTTCCACGACAATCTTCGCGATCATCTTTCTTCTTTGACGACCACCCTCGGCTATTTTCTGAACGATCTCCATTGCGATCTCGAAATGGTTCGTTTCAATGTTTTTTCAATCTGAAAAAGTCAGTCTTTCCGATTTGAAAGCCGAGATCGGGCAAGAGTGACGCGGCTTTTGGTGTGTATAGTCTGTGTGCCACGACTTGAAATTTCACGGAACGACATTCCGCTGTTCCGCTGCGTGCGTTCGCGAAGCGTCTTTCAAATCTAGGTCACGCTTTCAATTGATTGTTGGCTCTGGGAGCACTTGAAAGTAAAGAACCTGAATACAAGAAAAAATAAATTAAAGCGCCGACAAGGTTCGCAAAGACGCGCAGCGGCACAGCGGAGTGTCGACTATAACTGACTATAACTAGTTCAAACGCAACATTGGGAAAATCTTGGAAAAAGTAATTTTTCATTATTTTGATATTTTTATTCGTCCAATTAAATTTTTTCGAAACCATTAATGATTATAGTTTAATGGAAACCTGTCAAAAAAGGAAAAAAAAAAATCTATGTTGTACCTTCAAGGTCACATTGGGTTCTCGAAATATCGATTTTCCGGTGTTTAGTCATTTGAAACTTCAAAAATTCATATCTCAGCTCAAAATTCTCAGAATCGGGTAAACGCCGGGTTCAAAAGGATTCCGCTAAATCCAAAATACCCGTCAGAGAAAGAGAAAGATAACCCAATTTCGGAGAGTCAGAGATAGTTTTTCATTCCGCGGAAATTACTTTGAAAATGGAAAAAATAACATTCGCGTTTGAATCCGAGTTCCGCCCCAAAAAGCCGCGCCGCGTACACAACGCGTCACCCTTTCCAATCTACCCATCTCGCCTTTCAAGTCGGGATGGATTGACTATAACTATCAACCTTTTTCCAGAAACATTCCAATCAAATCGTCATGTCAATCCTCAATTTTTTGAAAAGAAACGAAATGACCAGGATTCGACTCACGGAAGAACATGCCGACCGACTGAATTCCTTGAAAGTTTACTGTTCCGACTGGCAGAAACGGATCGAAGCTGGGGATATCACCGAGAAAGATATCGAACCGGCTTTCGAAACTTTCTTGATCGACCTCGAGAAAAGGCTGGATTTGATGAAATCTGATGAAGCGGAGCTGAAGAAGCTCAGAATCAGCCTCGAGGCCTTTTTGGAGGAAAGAAAACGGCTTCTCATTGCGTCTTTTCATCAAAAGTCTCAGGTAAAACTATTTCCGACGATTTTTTTGAACATTTTTCGGCAAAGATTCAAGCTTACTTTTTCGAAATATTCTTCCAATATTTTCGAGTTTAGACGATTTACGGAAAGCCTTCAAGGATAGTTAATGAAAACCCGAAAACAATTCAATTCAATTTGAAAATTTCTTCGATAGTTTCAACTTTTCTCGAAACAAAAACATAAAAAAGGTGTAGGAAAAAGATTTTATCGAGAATTCGAAGAATCTATAATTCCAAAATTTTAAATGAACTAAATTTAGGCTGAAAAACAACCTGAAATCATTTTCGTGGAAAAAGTCGTCAAGGAGGAGCCGGGTGGAGAAGTTTTTTAAAATTTTGAACAGCAAAATATCCTTCTTTTGAAGATTTTGAGTACTGAAGATCCAAAGGAACGATTCTGGTTTTGGAGGCCTTCCAGAATCTGTTGATGAGCCTTCTCGTAAAGCCTCCGAGGTAATTAAAATAAAGGAAAACGATATTTTGGCATCAAACTTCAGACAGACAACGAAATAGAAATCATAGAATCGCCAGTTTCTTTTTCCTCGAGGCAATTTGTAAGTTTTTTTTTTGAAATGAGAAGATTCTATTCTAAACTATAAAAAAATATAAGAATGGACTCTAAAAAGATCTCGATAATTAAACTTTTTTGACATGAACTAACTTTTTTTAAGCAATTTTTTTCAATAGGAAGCAGGTTCTGATGAATTTTTCATTTTAAAAAAATGGTGGCCTTTTTTTCAGAAATCGACTCCGAAAAAAATCGAAATAAAATGAATGGAAAAAAATGGCATTAATCAAGTGTGGCAGAAGGACCAAAAAGACGATCTGCAAGAGATTTTGGTAGTTTAGAAATAGAACGATTCTCCAAAATCAATTATTTTCAGGTCAGATTGGCTAGTTTGTCGGAAGACGCGAAGAAATTCATACTCGGCTTTTCTGAAGTGAGAATATTTTAAAAATTAAATGCAAATAGTTCATTCGCCGCGATTTGAAAGTGCTCGAGTGTCTGCGTCTCTCTGTTCCCTCACCGGCGAGGTCAGAGAAACGTGAAAACAACACGTCAACATGAGAGAGTAGCCGAGAGAGTAGGGAGAGCGCAGAGAAAAACAGCAGTTTCAAGTCGCGAAAAACGAACTATAGTTTTGTGAAAATTTTTCAAAAGTTTACTCTTTATGATAGTCTTAGAATTTCACCGAACGAAATTCCGCTGATCCGCAGCTTGCTCGGCCGCGCCTTTGACTTTTTAAATTTAATTAAGAACAACTCGACCAAAAAGTGTTCGAACAGCCCATCTATCAGAAATAAGAACCAATTCAAAGTGAGACCGAAGCTCGCAATGACGCAACGCAGCGGAGCAGCGGAAATTAAAATTCCAAGTCCTCGCACACAGACCACGGCGTTCCCAAACGGGGTGGCAAGACGTCAAAAACATTTGGCGCGAAATTTGAAATCTACAGTACTTCAGCCGAAGGCGATCGAACAAACAAGTTATTAACGTTGAATATTCAGTGTAATTGTGACGTAATTTTATCCGTAGCGCGCACTAAATTTTTTCTGTAAATTCAGAAACTTTGACGCCTCGCTCACCTTCACCCCCATTAGGAATGCCGTGCAGACTATAATTATAGGAAACAAAAATAAACGCTCCAAGTTTTAAACGAGATCGTCAGTTTTCTAAAAATAGAAATATTTTCCAGGTTTCAAAGAACCCCGTGGACAGCTCCATGTTGTCCTCTTTTGCATCTTCGTGCCAAGATGTCTGGAAAATCGCCGAAAAAGTTCTTTCTATCCAAAAACTCAAAGAGAAATTCTCCTAAGTTCATAAATTGTCTTTTTCAAATTGCTCTTTTTATCAATTTTGTCATTTTTGTTTTAGATTTTCACTATAATCAATGGGTTTGTTTCTATCTAATTTTCATTGAATTGCCTCAGGGAATTTTTTATCATATTTATTGTCCCATCATATTCTTCTTTGTTAAATTTTATGTGAAAAAAGTTTTATTCTTCGATTTTTCATCGCGACTTCATTTGGTTTTACCAAGTGTCTCTACTGCAGAATTATGAAATGACAGCTTTTTTCCTATAACTGCAGGTCTATTTTCTTTCGAGAAATTTCAGAATGAGCGAACTGAACTTTGATAACACAGAAAGATCTTTCGAAGAGTCCAAAACTGGAAGAAGAAAATGAGTTTGAGCCAGAAATTTTCTAAGGAATGTATGCCTGGAAACACGATCGTTGACAATTTCTCTAATCTTCGCTTTTCCTTCCAAAAGATTTCGTCTCTTTTCTACAAGGCGTCTTTCAATCTTGCGATCCGCCTGTATGAAAATCGTCCCGTGGAGGAAAGCGAAAAAACTTTCCGAGGTTTTCTTTTCTGAATGAGAAAATCCGATTTGTAGGAAAAAAAGCTGAGCTGAGTTTCAAGGAGTCTGAAATTGTGAGTTCGGCAGTTACAAATTGCATCGATACGTATGTCACTGTGCATGGAAAAGAGCGATTCAGTTATCATAGGAAAATGCAGGTCTTTTTTTCTTGGTTTTCAAATTTGATATTCATTTTCAGATGTATGTACCGTCTCTTTTTCGACTCATGAATGAGGTTAAGAATGGCCTGAAGGAGTTCGGAGACGAAGAGGTGGACGAGTTTCTATAACCAGTTTCGAAGAACTGAAGAATAAGAAAAGAAACTCGTATTCGGCAGTGAAGTTAACAGAACTTCCTTCGAAGAAAAAAAAAACCTAGATTTGTAGTTTTGGAAAGCTTTTAAGCTTCGAAGAGAGTAGGATAGTTTTCATTTGACTAGAAAGAATCTAGTTTTTTTCCACTATATATTCGCGTGACTACAAAAAATTTAATTACGCTCAACCTTCCACCGATCGAAAAATAAATGAAGGCTTTTGGTTTTTTTTCAGATTGAGAAACATCTCAGCTGGAACGCTGTTGCGCAATATTTGAATAAGTCTGCCCAACGAAAGTTGAAAAATGAGATTTCTGATTGCAATCAGAAATTCATTTTGCAATCAATCAATATTGATTGATTAACTAGTTTTTCATAATTCTTTCAATTCTTTCATTTTCAAATTGCCAAACGTTTCATTTTAGTCACATAAATCTTAAAAATTTGACGATTGAGAGTTTTTTTGTTTCTTCCAGTTTGAAAGTCGATTTTCATCAAGTTGATCAAATAAGCTTCTGAGAAAAAAAAAACCGCGAAAAGGTAGCCATGACATAACCTGAAGGCGAACGCGCTTTTTGTGATACAAACTCTTTGAAAAAAAGTTTAGAGTTTTTCATTTCTGTTCTACAATTCTAATAACATAAAGTAAAAACAAAAAAAAGAGAAAATTTTTTTATTTTTCAAAAATTAAAAAAAGCAAAAAAATGAAATTCACGAAAAAAATTTGATTTTTTTCGTCTCTTTTCCGTAGAGCGCATGTTCACAATCATTTTTTTCAGCCAGCGGCGGCAGAAACTCTCGAGATCTCGCTGCTCGTTTTTCTTGATGACTTTTTCGTTTTTCTGTTATTATTCTAGTTTTTCGAAAAAAATTGAGAAGGGCAAAATAGGTTAGAAAAGTCGTTGTTGACCTTTCAATATGGAATCAATCTCGAACCCTTCAAGTTTTTTAAGTTTGATAAATCGAAGAAGAGCCTTTGCAAAGCTTTGGCTTGGCTTGTTTTTGTTTCACGAAGTTTTTATGATGTCACTTGTTTTCTATTATCTTATTTCACAGATGGTGCCCTGATTTTTTTAAACATTTTTTTAATATTAGTTTTCAGATCATTCTGAGCCAAGATGAGCGATCCGATGCAGAATGACCTTTTTGGGAACCAGGAACGTGGAAACCAGGAAACGAATGCAGAAAGTCAGAGCCAAAATGTCAGCAAAAAGCCCCCGGCCGACATTGTGCCGACTCTCCGTTTTTATATCAACAACATAAGAGAGCAGTTCTACAGGGCCACTGCTTACCTTGCAGAGAACATTCAAAAGCGCGGCTTTAGTTGAAGCCAACAAAGCATTCACGGTTTCTCGTCGGAAGTAATAAATATAATACAATTTTTTGTAGGAAATGTCTATTCGCACGGATATCGAGCTCAACACTTTGAGGTCATTGTGTTTGTTCTGCATCGAACATCTCAAAGAATTGAAAGGATTTGACCAGTTTGCTCATCGGATAAATTTTCAGGTAACATACATGGATTTTGCAATCTCAATTTGAAATTCAGAAGGTCATTCCAGATCTGAAGGGGCTTGCGAGTGAAATGACCTACAGATTGAAGGAGTTCGGCAACGATTTTGTGAATAGTTAACATTTGAAAAAGTTAACAAGATTTGATAAAAAGGAAAGTTAAAAACGATCCTCAATAGATTACCGCAGAATTAAAAAAACTCTAAATTAAATTTTGCACTTCAGAGCCAATCAAATAATTTTTTTGAGTTCAATTCGAAACTATGAAAGAACTTTCCGAATTTTTTTCAATTTCAGTATATACAAAAATAAAATATGAGAATTTTTGCAATACAAATTTTTCCAGATTGAAAAAAATGCGAGCTGGAAGAAGATTGTGGACACTCTGACCGGTTTAGCCGAAAAAAATGGCGAATACTTGATTCGCAGAAATATTCCTTCGATTCTGAAATACTTGCTTATTTTTGGCACATTATTCATGTTAAATGTATTTTTTTCATAATTTTGTACAATTTAACTTGTCTACTTGCTCATTTTTTTGATTGCATAAATGTTGGAAGTTTTCACGTCGCAATTTTTTTGGTTCCAGTGGTTGAAAACCATGCTTATCTATTTTTTCTTTCAGTTATTCATTTTTTTATTTACTACTTTTTTTCTTGGCGTTTTTGAAAAGAAAGAGTTTATTAATATATCAAAATGAACACCTTTTTCCATTCAACTAGTCTGTTCGTTCAAAAATTTTACGTATTTCCTTTCGGACTTGCGGTGAGGTCATTTAGAAAAAAATGTAGGTCAAGCTAATTTATCCTTGGTCTCTATCGTTTATTGGAATGATATTCCATACTTTTTTCGAACTAAAGTTTTGTTTTTCTTTTTGTTGATAACTTGTGTATGTATCATTTTTTTGTTCTAGAAGATCTTTTTCGCTCTTTGCTCGAAACAAAAAATCACTCTTTCTTTGATTTTCTTGAAAGTTTATTCGAAGTGCTGACTCAGCAATGATGTGGTAGTTTTTAATGGTTCATTAGTTCTTAGTTTCAAGTACCACTAAAATATAAATTCGAATGGTACCGCAGTTTTACGGAAAGTTATTTTTTTGAATCTACTTGTCTAATTGTGAATCCATTAAGTTTCAATTTTTTTTTCCCTTATTTTATTGATTTAAGATAGAATCTCTCTCGTAAGACGGTTCATAACGGGTTATATTTCTTTCAAACATTCTTATTATGTATCTTCATATTTCACGTTCAAGGGCAATAAATAAATATATAAACGTTGGTCTCTTTTCAGGATTTCGTTGCGAGGATGGCGGAGCCGGATTACTGGGATGAACAGCTACGGGACCTTCCTATGATCGATTCCGGTATCGGAAACGGGGAAGAATATTTGATTCCGCTCCGCCAAACAATCCTCAGAATCTCGTGCTATTTCTACAGGGCTATGGCTGACCTTGCGGTCAATTTGTTCAGAAACCGAATTCAGGGACCCCACGATTTTTTCCTGGTTTCTCTCGCAATTAAAATGCTTCTCAAGAATTTTCTTGCAGAAAATGGCTCACTTCGCCCTCAACGAATGTCAGGCCATCCTGTCGATCTGTAAAAGCTGCCACGACCGTCTCGACGAATTGACTTATGATGCGAGATTCGCTCACCGTGTTAACATGCAGGTAATGTTCTAGGATCTTTCATTTTTTTCACCTTGGGATTCAGGCGTTTGTACCAGACGTGTTTGGACTGATTACGGATATCAAAAAAGGATTGGAGGATTTTGGGATGGAACAGGTGAGAATTTCCTGCAGCTATTTTTATATTTGATTAATGGTTTGCATCAAAAATAGATTATCCAGTAATTAAATTTAGTGACACTATGAAAATCTCGTCCAAAAGTTCGCTATGGTTTATTTGAAAAAAATGTCGGAAATTATTCTTTTTAAAACGAACATCGGTTTTTTTATATTTTTTTCCAATTACCTTGCTGCTTTTTTTGATGGAAGTTTTGAAATAACACTGAAACCGCTTTTTTTTGAAATAAATCTTTCCTTCGTGATACTTCAGAAAATAAATGTCAACAGGCTGTTTAGTATTTTTTTCTCTGTTAAAAAAATCCTTTCTGGGCTGTTTGAAAGTTTTAAGGTCTTTAGACGAAAAGCGAATATAAAACGAAATTATTATTTTCTTTTTTGGAGAAATTGCTACCAATCAAGCGAAGAAATCGGAACAGTTTGAAAGAAAATTTTTCGCAGTTTTTTTTAAAGATGAACCTTCCTGCTTTGAGAAATTTAAGTAAACGCGGCGAGTTAAATTGAAGAAGTCACTTAAGAGTACTGAGCAGCCCAAGAACTAACCCTTGAATCTGATTCGCCGCGCGAGCTCTAAAAATGATTTTCAAACATTTTATTCAGGTCGAGAAGCATCAGGGCTGGATGGCGGTTACGGATACTCTGAAAATGGCCGGCGGCAAAATGCTCTACACCAAAATATCAGATAAAGAACGGATGAGACTACAAGAACAACAAAGACTCGAGCAACAACAACAGCAAAATCCCGAGGAACATCAGCAGCAGCAGCAGCAGCAACTACAACAACAACAACAACATCAGCAACAAGATCCCCAGCAACTACAGCCACTAAATCTGCAGCAACATCAACATCAGCAACTGCAACATCAACAACAGCAACAGCAACTACATTATCAACAGCAGCAACTACAACATCAACAGCAGCAACTACACCCGCTGAATCTGCAGCAACATCCGCAAATGCTACATCAACAGCAACATCAACAGCAACAAGTACATCCACTAACTCTGCAGCAACAACACCAGCTTCGACAACTACAGCTTCAACAACTACAGCTACCACATAATTTTCCACGGATCCCGCAGCAACATCAGCAGCAGCCACAACAGCACCATCAGCACCATCAGCCGCAGCAGCAGCAACTTCAGCAGCAGCAGCAACATCAACTACAGCAGCAGCAACTTCAGCAGCAGCAACAGCAACAGCAGCCGCAACCGCAGCAACCGCAGCAGCCGCAACAGGGACATCTTCCCCAGCCGGAAAATCCGAAATAAATAATCTTCTTGTACCATTAATTTCATACTTTGTAACATTAACCACGAGTGTTTCCACTACAGCTTTTTGTGATTTATTATTATTATTATTATTTTGCAATAACTTTCTATGTCGAGTTAACATCCGCGATTGGATAAATGTTGAAACAATTTCGAGAGTTTCGTGATCCCATTGGTTTTTAAAGCAAGTCTTATTTGTTATTTATATTTAATTCGCACACATCTTTTTTTAAAGTTTTTTTAGAAAAATAAAATTTATTCATGAAATTCACGGAAAAGAAACTTTCTTTTTAAAGAACGTTAAAATTCAGAAGAATTCAAAAGTGTCTTCTATACAAGATTTTTTTTTACGAATTGACTTGCCATCAATAATATGAAATACATTTGTAACAAGGCGCAAGTATATCGAGCCCAAAAAAATTATGCGATCAAAACCTTTTCTTTTTGTAACATCGTGTTCAAAGTGAATTCGGCGATTTGAAAGTTGACGCTTTATATAAATAAATTCATTTGTCCAAACGATTTCGCGAAGTAGACATAATTAGAATCTCGCGAAACAATTTAAAAAAAATAAATAACACATCAGATTTGAAGTCGCTGAAATCACTTTGAACACAGCTCGTTTTTTTTATTCAAAAGATTTTTCATCTGTTTCCGCTCATATAAAAAAGTCTAGGAGAAAAACGCAACTTGATAAAATTTGAGTACTATTTCTCTCCACAGAAATTGAGTTCTACTTTTTCAAAGACAACAGTGTTTATACCCATGTAGATTATCAAAGGGCATCGAAATGATAAAAAGTTGTTTTCAGTTGGTTTTCTCGCTGATTTTCAATACTAGCAAACGCGATGAGCAACAACTTATTTTTTTATACTGTAATTTTTTTATCTAAATTATTAGACGCTTTTTTTCTCTTACAATGAAGCCCTGGCAGTCCATTTTAAGTATGAATTGCTTTTTAAAAAGCAGTAATTATTTGTGAAAAAAAGTAATTATTTGTTTTCGAACATCAGAGTATGTAATAGAAATCTTCCCACGGTTTTTAAAAGATCTGAATTTACTTGCGACGTGAAATAACATATAAGAAGGCTTTTTACTTTTTCAATTTGCAAATTTTTTTTTCGAAAATCTTCAGGATCAGACTGAAGACGCTCTTTCTTTCTGAGCTTCTTCTGTGTTTTCTCGCATTAGATTGTCCGAGGAAAAGACGTGGGAAAGTAAAAAAGAATTGTTGTTCCCTACAGTGATTCCCGTGCGGTGTTTAGTATGAGCAAGCCTCCTCCCTTTTTTTTCTATCCAAACGGAGAATTGCTCACGCTTCCATTTGTTTTTTTTCTGTTTAAAAAATTGTTTTATGCTTCTTTACTTTTCGCCTCCTTTTTTATATTCTCTTTTTTGTTTATTAATTGTATAAATTTATCAAAAAAGGCATTAAACCTGAAACTGCATCGTTGAACACTTAAAAAGGCGTAAAATGATTGTTTTTTTTTATTATTGAACAATTTTTTTGTTTGGTTTCGTTTATGGCGCGTTCATCGGACAAAACGTAAATTGCTTCGAAACGCCAAAAATTTGCTCCAAAACAAAAATTAGGACTGTTTTGGAGCAATTTTTGGTGCGCCGATGAACACGTTTTTTTCGTTTCAAAGCATGTTCCGTTTCTCTAATGGACACGCCATTATTAAATTTCCCCGCCGGAGATTTTCCTGAGCATAGACAATTTTATTTCTTGTATATGAAAAAGCTTTTTTTTTGGCTTTCGCGCGAGTAAATTCAGATAACAGGCGTAATACGAAAATTAATATAATTTTTTTTCGATTTCTCTCCGTGTTGTTTTTTTTCTTATTTTTAGCAAGTTCATGGCCACTCTTTTCAGGAACCAATCTACACGAAATGGATCCTTTCGCGATGCTGCTGGCTCAAGCCCAGCAATCCGCCGATCAACAGAATAAGGAAGAATCGGAGCTCGAACGTCTTGAAATGCTCATCGGCCAGGAAATGTCGATGCTCACCCAGCTGGAGCTCACCCGGGAACAACGTCTTCAAGAAGTCGAAATGAAGTTCCAATGCGAGCTGGAAGGACTGGAGAGAGATCAGGAGATTATCCGTGGGCGGAGCGAGCAGAAGATCGACCTTCGACGGGAAGTCGTCCTCAAGGAGTTGACGACGTGGGAAGACGGCTTCCGGAACAAACAACAGGTCAAAAAGGATCGTCTTGAAGCGGAGAAGGCGTCGTTGGCCAGAGAGGTCGAGAAGTTGACCAGAAATGTTTCCGATAAACAGAAGGAGGTAAAGGCAATTTTTTTAATATGGGAAGGTTCTGTAAAGACCTGAGAAAAGGTTCCCGGAAATGCCCTCATGTAGAAGTTTCAAGCGCTTTTTTCCATGATTTTTGTGCAGGTTTTTTTTTCAAAAATGGAACTTTTTTTTTTACAATAAATAAGAAAAGTTGGAGCTTCTTTGAAAAGTTAGTTTAGCCATTTTTTTACCTTTTTTTCAGAAGTTACCCCTATTTTGTGAGAAATCGAGCGAGTTCAAAAATAACAATAGACCTCCCAGAATTTTTCAGTTTAAATATATATGTTTGCGGAGAATTTTCTTTCTGTCAAAGTGAGTCAAGCTCCTTTTTCGTGCTTTATCGTCAGTAAATTTTTTGAAAACTCAAAAAAACCATAGTGAGATGACCAGACTTTTAAATATAATTACCCTATGGTTTCTAAGTTAGCCTTTTTATTTTTATATTTACGGTTTCTTTCAGTTGCTCGACCGCCAGATAGAGTTGAAACATGAGGCGCTCGATAGGGCCAAAGAACGCGCTGAGCACGCCGCCGAACGAAGGGCCGCCCATCAGACCCAAATCAAGGAGATCAAGCTGAAGATCGCCGAGAAGAAGATGAACTCGCACAAGGCCGACGGCATCGCCGAGTCGATTTCCTGCAGCGCCCACCATCAGAACGTTATCTCTGCGCGTTGTCGCGGTATCCGCCAGGCTCAAGATGACGTCACCGACGCCTGGAATCTTCTCCGATCTTCGGTGCGTCTGAATCGAAATCAAGACGTTCCTGAAGGGGACAGCGCAGTGGACAAAAATCAGTCACAAAGTACCGCGCCACAGTTGCAGAAAACTGGGCGTGGTTTCATTCGCAAGTTCAAAACCCTACTACCTTTTGCTTGTTTGTTTCTGAGTGTTACTTTTGTGTTCGGATTGTTCGTCAGTTTTGACTTCATATAAATTGGTTGTATAATGTCGCTACTTGGCCGTTTACCGCTTTAGTTGAGAAAAAACGAAAAAAATGAGAATTCGCAGTTTTTTTAAAAATTAATTTGAGTTCGTTCTGCTCGATTTCTGTGCAGAATGTGTTTTTTTCTACAAACCTTAACTTTTTTTCAAAAAAAGTTTTATAGAAAAAAATGGATTTTTATATGATTTTGTCAAAGTTTTTGAGAGTTCCGCGCGATAGGCAAAAACTTTGTGGTATGTCTATATTTCAGTTTGATAGTTAAAAATCTTCACACAAGTTCATTGGAAATAATTTGGTTGATTAGGATATAGGAAAATTTTTAGAAACCACCTCCGAAAATCGCAGAACTACGTAAAAATGTGTGTTACTCCATCGTCATTCGATGTGATTTTTCTCAAAAATTCTCGAAAATGTTCCATTCAATCATCATTTTTTTCAACGTTTTTATCATCTCTTTTACCTTTTAAACAATGATTACCATAGGTTTATAGCTGAAAACTTTTCGTAAAACCGAAATGAAGACTGAGAAGGCGGATAATTTCCATTAAAACTCCATTGAATAGCTTCATTATGATTTGAAAGCTTCTAGTATCCCATGGAAACACCGGAAATCGAAAAAAATATTATAAATTCGATCGAAACGCCTCAGCAGAAGATAAAACCGAAATTTTAAGAAATTGTGGGCTTCAAAAAAAAAAGTCTGTTACGCAAGTACGCTTCAACCAACGCAAGGCCTCTTTTAAGACAAATTATCATTATTTTTTTCTAGCCAAAATACCGTATGTTTCCAAATCACAGAAGCACGCAAAATAGCTCTGTATACTGTAGTTTTTCCTGCTTTGAAAAAACCTGTCAAGGACTCGCGAAACTTACTGTAGCGAAAATGGAAGATTTCCCTAAAAATTTTTTTTAAGCTCTCCATCAAAAATTCCAATGGAAAAATTAGTTATTTTAGTAGGAAATTGAATCTCCCTATGCCTTCTTCAAAGTGATTCCGGGAAATTCGAAATGATTTCTGACTCTTCAAATTGATTTTCCTTGGCTTTTTTACTCTCATTTTGAGTATCCCGGAATTACATAATGCGGCGTTATTTCATCATTTTCTTTGAAACAGAAAACTGTTCCTTGATTTTTTTTTTATCGAAAAATATTAAAAGGTTTCAGATCACGAACTACGACGGGAACTCCAACAGAGATCCGGATATTGATGTAACTCAAATTTTTTTCGACTGAAATGAACTTCAATATTTAAGAAACGAGCCCAAGCTCTTTTGGACAAAGTCGAAAGTCTGATCAAATGTGCTCGTTCCGCACGCGACGACTGTGATGCTCTGGTCAGCATTCCGGTCGATAAACGCGTCGCTTTGAAGGTTTTGAAGACGTCCTTTAGGATTTGATAGAATATTTTCAGTTGGTCTGTGATAAAATGATCAAACTGTCGGATCAGATCATCGATAGGATCACGAGCATCGCTTCCGCTGTGCAGGTAAAGCATGGGGGAAAAAAAATACTTATTGTTGAATTAAATTGAAAAGTTTTGTACGAATAAATTACCGGGAAAAAAAAACGGCAAGGTTCTAAAATTGATCCAGTTTTTTTCTACGTGAAAAAAATCATTAAATTTTTTTGAGTGATTTTTCAAATTTTTTTGGTAACATGGAAAGAAAATATTCAGCAAAGAAATTTTGGAACAATCTTGAAGCTTAGACATTCACTTTGTTTTCGTTTGAAAAAGATTTGGCTGTAAAACCTTGAAAATTTATATTTTGCTGACCTTTTTCACCCTTTTTTGTATTTCACTGCTAGCTTGAGCCATAGAAAAAGGGTCCTGACCCGATAATGCACGAGATAGTGCCTGGCTTGTAGAGAGCGCAGACAGGCCACGCCCTCTTAGCGTCCCAAGTTAGCCGTAAATCGGCTATACTATAAGTCCAATGAAACATGTCATTTTCTATTTTTAGGCTGGCCAGAAGCTTCTCATCACTTCGGTGCTGGACCTGACGGAGGCGATCCGGCTTCTGAAGGTCGAGGTCGAACAGATCCCGTCGATGAACACCGTCGACCAGATTTCGCTCCTGAAGACGTCGCTCGACAAGTTGACCTATGGGGCGCCGACCCCCAATTTGGCTATCGAAATGAAGAAGGTGCACCCGGGAATCTGATTAACCGTTTACGAGAATTTCGAGAGTTTTTAGGCCAAAAAGTAATTTTTCGTAATTTTTTTTGATGCGTCTATTTATTTTTCTATTCCTCGGTAAAAGTCTGAATGGTGGATAAAAAGGCCGCTAAAAGGCTCAAAAAGGGCCGCAGAAAGGCAGCAATACGGCCCTCAGAAAGGCACCAAAAGAAGTCCCTTTATCGAACCTTCCATTCTTTCTGGGATTTGGAAGGCTCAAGAAATGGTGAAAAGAGAGAGGCAGCAAAAATGGTGCATAAAAGCCGATAAAATGGCGCAAAAAGGCAGCAAAAAAGAAAAAAAAGTTATTACATGAAAAAAGGTTCCAGGGGGACATTGAAAGAGGAGGCCTTCTTCCGATTCGAAACTCGAGTTCTGAATTTGGAGACCACTGATGAAATTTCAATACTTATGTTTCATGTATTTATTTGTATGCCAAATCTCGCAGTTTTACGGATCTTGCTGTATTTTGTATAAAAGGAAAGTTTTCAGCTTTGTTATTTTTTGTCAGTTCTTCATGCGTTTCGTTAGACGCTTTGATATTTCCGTTTTTTTTTTGTTTTTATATCTTCGAACTTTTTTATTTAGTTCCGTTGTAGAAGAGTGGCTCAGCGGTGCGCCATGACGGTGGGTTATTTTTATTTTTTTTTTAGTTCTTACTAGAATCCAGTAAAAAAAGTGATTTTATTTTTACAGTTTTCACTGGAAAGTTTTTTTAAAAATTTTTTCTTGTTAAAATTTAAGGAAAGATATTGAAAACTACTGTTTAATAGTCTTTAAAAAGAACTTGCTGTTTTTTAGGGGCTTTGACGAGTTCCAAAAAAAGTTTCAAATGTGGCAAGCTTTTTTTCTAGTTTTCTATTCAGATCTTTGTAGAAAGTTTTCCAAAAGTTCACAAAAAAATAATGTTGTTCATCAGAATGAGGGTTAGATAAGGAAGTTAACTTTCCGAATAATTTATTAACCAACTCTAGTATTCTAAAGTATTCTAATTAAAAATCTTTTTTTCAGGGCTCATTCCCGGAATTTATCGAACTTGCCGACGTCAACGTTCAGTACACGTTGAAAACAATATATTCTCTCGGTGTTCATGTTTCTACCAAGATGTCGAATCTGCAGCAGTTGATTTCCGGCCAAAATGACCGTTGCCGAGCCGCTTTTCAAACCTGGCGCAATCAGGTTAGGGAGATGAAAGTTTGAGAAAAAAAAATGACGAATGAGTAGAGTAACATACGAAAAGGGAGGAAAATGAAAAGGAAGTTTCAAGATTCAAACAAAAAAAAAGTATTTTTTTTTGAATTCGTAAAGAATTTGACCCGAAAAACACAACAGATATCTCATAAAAATGTTTATTCAGATTGAAATGAACGGAGAGCCCGCTAATAATCGATATGGACGAGTTACACCCGAAAAAACTAACAGTTATTCGTCCAGCATGAGCCTGAGGCCGACAAAAACGGACGAGGTGGTAAAAATTGAACAAAAAATGGATTTAAAAGTTGAAATTTTGTGAATGTTTGTTTCTCGATTGCCACTAGGGCCCTCACATAAATTTCTAGCGAAGAAAATAATAATTTTTTTAAGAGCTCATTTTAAATTATATAACTTTACGTCTCGAAAATATTGTTGATTTTGATGTTGGCTGTGAGTTTTGAAAGCTTCTCTATATTATTTTTTCAGAAGGAAAGTAAAAATCTCTTATTCAATTCCCTGTCAATGAAGCTTAGTTCCTTACCAGTTTAGAAAATTCAAGTTATAAGCCAAATTCCCTCTCAAGTTTTAAGGAAAAGGCTCAAAAACAAATTAATGAAAAAGTCGCGTGAAAAAGCAGTACTTACGTTTCAATCAAGTCTTGGAAATCCGTAATTTCGATCATTTTTTGCACGAAAATTGGTTATTTTTCAAGGAGAAAGCTCGCGAGGTGGAGAAACTAAAGGAATCGGCTCCGCTGTCAATTCGACGTCTGATGCGCGGAAGTTCTCTTCTGGAGGCCATCAGAACTTTGAAAGAAAATATGACCAATGCAGATCCGTCGACGTGGGACGACTTCGATTCCTGGATGGCAAAGGCGATTTTCTCTAACGTTGATTAAATATGGTACTTTCTCGGGTAGAGTCGGAATGGGGGATAATGGCCGCTAAAAGGAAAAGGCTCGAAAAAGGCTGCAGAAAAGCAGCAAAAAGGCCGCAAAAAAGCAGCAAAAAGAGTCACTTTATCGAGCCTTCCATTTTTTTTTTCTGCGATTTTAAAGACTTAAAAATGGCGGGAAAAGGGAGAGGTAGCAAAAATAGTGCATAACAGCCGATGAAATGGTCCTAGAAGGCAGCAAAAAAGGAACATTTTTATGGATCCTTTTTCGACCCTTCCGCCTTTGCTCATGTTGTAGACGCATCAGGAAGAGTTTTAATTGTTAAAATGATGAAGTTTTTTTCAAATTTATTTCAAATAATATTTCTGCAGAGTTTTTGAAAGCGTTTTATTTTTAATGCTTCGAAAGTTTTTTTTGGAAAAGTAATCATTTTCGCTAGATTACAAGTAGGTATTTGGAATCGCCACAACAAGCTCTATCTGAAAGTTTTGATGCCTGAAATGAAAAATTCCAATAATTTTTACCGCCCATGTTCGTCTGATACGCTAATCTCAAAAAAGCTGTTAAATTTCGGAAAGTGGTCATTGAAAATGAAGGAAAATGAATTTTTGAGATAATTTTCAGCGGATAACTTTGAAACTTCAATGTCTTAGAGGGCGTTCTGTCGTCAGAATTTTCCCTTTTGGATAAATTCTAAAAAGTTTGCAGCAAATAGACTTATTGGCGATTTTTTTAAACGAATTCTATAATTATCTAAAAAAATATAAAGATATCGGAATTCTAGAAAGTCAGAGTTTGCATTTACCAGAATTTCTTGAAACGCTGCTTATATAAAAAATGAAAAATAGAGTAATTTTTCAGAAGTTCCCCGGCTTCACGCCCATGGAACGGTTCCCTTCGTTCATCGCCAACGCCCCCGGACCAGCGAAAAAAGAACTAATTGACTTCTACAAAAATGAAAATTTGAAGATGGATATGAAAATCAAATGCTTGGATGAAATTGTCAAGGACCTCAGCAACGAGGTCCAGCACGATTATCAAATTTGGAGGCTCATGGTGAGTTTTTGGTGGTGGGAAATGTGTAGCTTAAGTTTTTTTCAAAGTAAATATAAAATTTGAGAATTTCTAGAAAGAGGTTTGTAAAAACTAAAGTGGCCACTAAACCCATCTCTATAGTGGCCACTATTTTCCGTTTTAGTGGCCACTTCAGTAGTTTTTCATCCAGTATTCCTTACAGTAACTTCGATAACTTTTAGAAAAAACAAATTGGACCAGTTATATTGATCCATTGATCCCTAAAGTGGTCGCTAAAATTTTTTGTGGTCTATTAGTAGCACTTAGACCTCTATAGTGGCAACTTATTTTTAAGCCCTTAAGCGGCCACTAATTTGACTATTATAGTGACCACTAAAATGTCGAAACCCTATAGTGGCCACTAAAAATTGTCCCAGTGAGACTGCCTTTGAGATTGTGATTCCTTATTAAAATAAGTTTTTGGTGATAACATGATCTTATCGGTTTTTTGCACGCGAAAGATGCGAATTTTCAGAGAGTCTATTCCATACAACATGAATAATTATTCAGAACTCGTCGGAGTTCCCGTTCTTGCCCATGGTTGAAGATTTGCAACGACGGCGCGGTTTGTTGGAGATCATCGTCGCTCCATCGCAAAGCGACGAAGAGAAACTGAAACGCTTGGATCTTGCCGTCAAGGATCTCAACAACACGGCTGTCAGCACTGTTTATAGGAGCTGGAAGGACGAGATCTTTGAGCCGCAGGGTTTAGAAGTTCAATAAATATCAATTAAAAAAATTTTTTCCCTGCAGCACGACGAAGGAGCACCTACGATCGTGTTTCCGAAACTCGACCTTGCCGATTTCTTTAAGAAGTAGAGTTCAAAATTTTGATAAAGTTTTTCGGGGAAAATTTTTGAAATGAGGGCTAGTCGAGCATCAAGATCATTTTTCAGACAAAAATGATATTAAATTGTGAATTTTTCTTAATTCAAACCGTAGCACGGCCGCAGCGCTCAGAAACTTCAGAGTGGTACCTATAGGGGCGACCTCAGGGGCCCATGGAGCTTCCCCTCTAGGGCCACTGAAGCTTGGAAAACTGGGCCCTAAAGGGGACATGCTAGTCGTTTGTTGTTATGAGCTTTCATACGAATAACTCGATAAACTCGCGTTTTTGAGGGAAAATAACCAACAGAGACCCTATAGGGACCACTTGAGCTTTATGTGGCTTAGGAATCAGATCTTCAACCCCTATAGGGATCAATTAAAGTTTTAACCCTATTGGGACCACTTTGGCGTTTCTAAGCATGTTGATTCTTTCAAATTGTTGATGGAAAAAAAAAATGAAAATTTAGAAGTTTTGGTTTCAGAAAGTCATGTAATATGTTCCAAGGAAACAACTCATTTTTTCATTTCGTCACGTTTTACGAAGAAGTTCAGGCTTCGTCCCACGACGAATATCCTCGTTTTGGGAGAAACTGGCGTCGGAAAGTCGACGTTCATCAACGGCTTGGTCAACTACCTGAACTTTGAGGATTTGGAGGACGCCCTCCATGATGGACATCACGTCCTCATCGAAAGCTCTTTCACTCAATATGTTAAAGTAAAAACAAGAACATTTTCAAAGTCAAAGTGCTCTTGGTGTAGGGAAAGGAGAAGAAAGTTGAGTTGAAAGCGACGATGGGAGAGTCGACGAGCAGCGAAAAGAGCAACGAGGTGATGTCGGCCGGACAATCCTCGACCCAGGAGCCCAAGGACTACATTTTCGAATATAATGACGTCTCGATGCAGAGATGCATCAGGTGCAATAATTTTGAAAAAAAAAAAAATTAAAATTGGCCCAAAGATAAGCCATGAGAATTCAAGTGTGTTTTGAAAATATTTTTGATTTCAACTATTTTTATTTTTTTCCAATTTTTCTAACCTGAGCTTACCGTGGGTTGAGGTTTCAACACACATTCTCTTAGAACATCTAAAAAAAGTTTGGTACAAAAATTTCCTTTTTGCTCCTGAAAGCTCTAGCCACCGGTATTTGTACAGATTGCCTCACGGTAAATCGACCCCAGATTTCTCAACGGGGCGCGCTTTCTTCCATCCCTTTTTCTTTTTCTTCATTGATATGCTTCTGTTCCATTTTTTTCTACTTTTTTTCTATTGCACGGCGTTTTGAAAAGGGTGGACGTGAAGAGAAAAATTGGCATGCGATAAAATGTGCCCTGATGTAAAAGTTCTAACAGCGGACTACGGTTGGAGGATGCAAGTTTGCAATATATTGTTATTCATTTCCCCGTTGTCGTATCGTACTTTCATAGAGCTAAGATTTAATTTTTTTGAAATTTTTTTGGATATTTTTATTCGTTCAGTGAAATTATTACAAAATTCGAATTCTAAGCATAACAATTTTTTTCAAGCGGTTTCGTTCTCATCAGTTTTGAGGCCATGATAAACGTATATTCCTCCTTTGCAAATACAGACTTTCCCAGGTCTTGCAAAGGCACATTCAAAATGCACCTCGCTAGTACCGTTCCGCCGCCTTACCACTGCTCCTCGCTGCCGTTGCAGTCGGCAGTCGCCAGATCACAATACCACACCGCGCGCGCATTCTCTTGTGTGCGGCTGCGCATCGAAAGGTCATATCTTGACTCCGAGATTTTTGAAAAAAATTTGATGATTTTTTTCCACGTTCCTTATTTCACATGACACTGACTATTGGATGTTTTGAAAAAACAGCGCATACTTGCAGAAAAAAATAAACCTAAATTGAGGCATATTTTTTTCAAGAATTAAAGATTCAAAAAAATCTCAAAAATTGAATCTCAGCTCTATGAAAGTACGATACGACAAGGTGAAAATGAATAACAATAGAAATAGTAGAAAAAAACTAGAACAAACATATTTGCAATGAAGAAACGGAAAAAGAAAAAAATGGGATGGAAGAAAGCCCGCCCCGTTGAGAAATCTGGGGTCGATTTACCGTGAGGCAATCTGTACAAATACCGGTGGCTGAAAGCTCTTCTATCTATCGTAGATAGTGAACAACCTCTTGAATATTTAGAACCATGATTTATTAGGCTCCGTCCACTTTCAGGCTTACTGTTAAAAAAATACCGTAAAAACCAAACTTTTTCCCTAGTGGAGCCAATCGGTCCAAACTAATTTTAAAACATCCAGATGAAATTTTTCGTACCAAAGGTTATTCGAAAATTCCAGAGAGTGTGTGTTAAATTTTCTGGAATTGAGAGCCCAGTTGAGAAATTTGAGGTAAGTTTCCCAGGTCCATGTTTAAAGGGGTTCCGCGAAATTCAGAAAAAGCCGTAGAGAGGTAAAAAGATAACTAAATTTCGGATAATCAGAGATAACTTTGAATCTCATTCTGGACGCGGCATAAGAGATTGTGGACCTTTTTTTTTTTTTTTTGTACCTTCAAATTTTCGTGGTCTAGTGGTAGCACTTAGACCTCTATAGTGACCACTAATTTTTAACCCGTTAAGTGGCCACTAATTGACTTCTATGGTGGCCACTAAAAATTTTCCCAGTTTTCATAATTCAAGTCAACCATCCAAAAATTCATTCACTTTCCAGAATCATTGACACTCCCGGCATCGGCGACACGCGCGGAATCGAGCAGGACAAGAAGAATTTCGAGAAAATCCTTCAGTTCTTGAGTACTGTAGATGATCTTCACGCGATTCTCATCCTCATGAAACCCAACTCGGCCAAACTCACGACTGTCTTCCGCTTTTGTCTCGACGAACTTCTTGTTCATCTCCACAAGGATGCGTCCAAGAACATCTTTTTCTGCTTCACTAATGCCAGGTGCCTGAAAGAGTCTGTAATCTCAGAAATTTAGTCGTAGAAAGTTTTTTTCGAAAAAAAGTGAAATTAAGGAAAAAAACTGGTTGAATTGAAGTTTCTCAGCGGCTTCCACCAGTTTAGTTTTTAAAAACGGATAATTACGGATTTTGTAGATTTTTTTCACTAAAGTTGAAATTTTTTTGAGAAAATTGTTCATCCCGAATCATTTTTTTCTAATAAGATGATATCAATTTTTTTCTTTTTCCTGGAGAGTTGAGCATGTGGATAGGCTCATAACGGCTGCAAAGGCAACTAATTTGAGCTGCTCCCGACCAAGAAACGACTTGCGCGGAGTCAGCCTAGACCACAAAACCGTGACCGCGACGTTTTAAGCCATTTCAAATGCGGTCGTGAAGTTTTACCTCAAAAAGATCGAAGTAAAAATTTAGCTGATTTGGGATCCTAACTATAGCTGATTCACGGCCAGCTTGGGACGCTAGGGGGGCGTATCCTGTCTTCGCTCTCCACGAGCCAGGCGCTATCTCGTGCATTATCGTGTCAGGACCCGTTTTTCGACGGCTCAAGCCAGCCGTGAATTAGCTATAGCCCCAAATCTTCTGGAAATCGTGTTTTTATTTCTTCATGAAGCTTACGCATTTTCTGTGGAACTCTCTTTTCTTCCTTCTCTGAAATTAATCAGAAAGTTTTCCAGAGCCTCGCGCTATACTCCCGGTGAGTCGTTGCCGACCATCAAGGAGCATCTGAAAAAGTTGGACCAGCGGGGAATCCAAATTCCACTGGATGGACCCAACGGAGCGAATTATTACTGCTTCGACAACGAATGCTTCCGATACCTGTGCGCCAAATCGCAAGGAATCGATTTCGGCGAGAAAGAAAAGGAGGACAGTGAGGAGAGCTGGAGGCGAAGCGTGGCGGAAACGCAGCGGCTATTCTCCAGAATCGCCACCACGCACGTCCACGAAATGAGCCAGACTCTTTGCCTCAACAACACTAGGTTTGTCTGGGAAATCTGACAGAGAAGGTCATTTGACTATGTGGTGGGGTATATTGGGCAGAAAACTCCTTGATGTACCAGATGAAGATTTTGAAAGTCTCAACCTGCCCAACTTCCTAGTTTTCCAGAAATAAGGATCTAAAAGCCCCTAAAGAGTTCATTTTAATGGATTCTGAGCGTTTTCTTCGGTGGTATGAAAAAAACGCCGGCGAGAATTCAAACGGCGACTTTTCCGATTTTTTTCATATCGCTAGGGAACTTTCCGACGGCCACCTTTCCGACGAAACTTTTTCCGACTTTTTTTTCTCGATAAACTCTTCGTTTTAAATATCCCTATATAAAGTAGGCAAGTTATTCATGTTTAAAACACAAAGAAATAGAAAAGAAATGTTCATAGATGTTTTATAAACCGAAAAGCATAAGGGAAAAAAGTCGGAAAAAGTTTCGTCGGAAAGGTGGCCGTCGGAAAGTTCCCTAGCGAAATGAAAAAATCGGAAAAGTCGCCGTTTGAATTTTCGCTGGTGTTTTTTTCATACCACCTTTTCTTCGAACAGTCCTGTCTGTGCAGCCCTTTGGGCTAATCAGTTCATCGAATCTTCATTATCTTTATTTTGAACTTTTGTTCGATCTTTAGAAAGGTTTACAACACCACTGCAAAAAAAGAGAATAAGCTGAAAAAAGCACTTGAATCCCATGAAACTATCACGAAATAAAAATCCAATAATATTTTTCTCAGAAATGCCATCCTGGCCCTTACCCGACCTCTGATCGAAATCGCCAAAGTGCAGATGACCAACGAAAGGATCATCAACGAGAAAATCGAGGAGGCCCAGAAATGCGAGACCGAGGAAGAACGACTTGCGCGTCAGTTAGAACGCGGAATATCTGTCTGAATTAGATCTCCAGTGAATACGTTTGTCGAGCAAGTTCAACTGAAGATCGAAGAGTCGAACATGCCCCATACGGTCTGCACGGCGCCTTCCTGCGTCGAGTACCGGCAACTGAGCGCCAATTCGCCGTACATGCAGCCCGTCTTCAAGCGGATTTGCCATGACCCGTGCTATTTGACGGGTGTTCAGGTCAAGATGATAGTAATAAATAAGAGCTTCATCAGCAAAAATACAATAAAATCGTTAACAATAAAAAGTATTTTTTTGGGCCGGTTGAACCGTTGATTAAACTTGGCTGGAAAGTATTTTTAAGATCCTATAATAATAATATTATTTATTTACAGGCAGAACAAAAATAATATGTACAGAAAAAAAGAGAAAAAAATTTGGCATTAAGCCTGAAATAAATAAATAAAAGGCACTTGAGGCCCTCACGAGCCTCTGAGCCAGTAATGAAAGAATAAGAGGTGAGGATTTCACAAAGGTAGTAAATAGAAAAGAAAGTATAAGTTATGACACAGTGTAGCACAGGTGAGTGGGGAATTTAATCGTTTGTAATGATATAGACGCGCATAAGATGGATTAGAGTAGGGCTGAAGCACAGGGTGCCTGGTTCAACGGAGTCTGCTGGGAATAGATACAAAAAGGAAATTGTTATCGAGGGATAGTAACAAAGACCTGAAACGTTCTGGAGAAACATTGAGGTTTCCCCAATGTAGCCAGTTTATTCCAAAGAGGGATGAACGTCTCAAAGAAATTTTTCGAAACGAATCCCTACTCTGATAAGACGTGATGGAGCACGTACCGAATTCGATCTCCTGAAAAACACTGTGAGCAACTGGCAAATGACTCTCCTTAATATAAATTTTTATGTAGTGTTCTTAGACAAAATTCGACTCGTCTTCTAAAAAGAGAGTTTGTGTTAATCTGAGCTAACCTGTCTTCATAACTAGAAAACCTAATGTTTGATCTCATGAATGTTTGGCGAGTAAATTGACGGAAGATGTTTTTCGAGGGTGTAAGATAGTTCTGAAGCTAGGGGGACTGAACAACTCACAACAGTAGTCCATATAGGGAGCAACGTAAGTAAGAAAAATCCGGCTCATTAGAGCGGGAGACAGGGCGCGGAACGCTCTGATGATTTGTTTACTTTTTTTAGTTTGCATAAGGCTATAACTTTGCGAAGGTGAGGCTCAAAATGTTAGTTTGTTATCAATAAGAATGCCTAGATCGCGAACAGCTTCCGCGGAAGAGATAGTTATATTATTTATAGTATACAGAACATGAGGGTTGCTACGGCCTAGATGGAGAAAGGGTGGTTTTTGTGTTCGGCCAGGGGAAGACCCCATTGACTAGACCATTGGAAAACGTCGTTGAGACCTTGCTGAAGCGCTATAGGATCGTCAGAAAAAATTTTAAGATCATCAGCAAAAAGATAAGCCTTTACATTATCAGATAAGTTGCTGATAATGTCATTAATGAATATTATAAATAAGAGTGGGCCGCAGACTGTTCCTTGCAAAAACTCAGATGTAATGTTAAAAAGCCGAGCTAGATATGATACCTTCACTAATGACAAATGATTTTCTGTTGGATATGAAGGATGCAAACCAGCTAATAAGTTTTTGGTCGAAACCGAAATCTTGGAGCTTGGCGAGCAGAAGGTTATGGGGGAGCATGTCGAAGGCTTTGAGAAAATCAATATATACTACGTCTACGTTATTACCAAGAGCTAGGGATCTCTTCCTAATTAAGAACAATATTTTTTCTTGAAAAAGCTTGTATTCGAGCCATGACGCTTCATAAAATCTAGCGACCCTTTTTTCAATTTTTGTCTAATGAATGAAAGGAACTTCACTAGAAGGTTATTGTTCTCTCTTGTTCTGAATTTTTGAAGCCCTAAAACTGTTCTCAGCCACGTTTTGATAAAAGTTCAACGGACCACCCGAAAAAACTACCTTCGTAGGGAAAAAATAGCTAGTTTCAGTGTTTGTAGTGCCTAGACGAAATTGATGAATGTCTTGAAGTGAAGAGCCTTTTTTAGTCTTTTTTTTAGGTCATAAAAGGATTCTGCGTTTTTCTCACATCGCGGCAAACATTTCTGATCGGGTCTGGCCGAATTATCGGCTCGGGCAAAGTCGGACTGGTGGATAACGGTCGCTAAAAGGGAGAGGCTCAAAAAAGGCCACAGAAGGGCAGTAAAAAGGCAGCAAAGAGAGACGCCTTATCAAGCCGTCTATTTCTTCTAGAATTTTAAAGGCTCAAGAAATGGTGGAGAAAGGGAGGGGCAGCAAAAATGATGCATAAAGGCTGAGAAAATGGCGCAAAAAGGCAGCAAAAAAGAGCTTTTCAGCAGCCTTTATGAACCCTCGGAGGGATCTTCCGACTTTGCCTATGAGAGTCGCATGAGTTTTAAGTGAACTAGTTTCGATAAAAAATAATTCTAACTCAATTTTGTTTTTTAAAGGCTGAAACGTGCCCCAACGAAACACTGAAATTTTGCTGGGCTATGGGTGGCTGTGGAGCAAACTGCCGAATGTGCGGCTGTCCCTGGAATACTCATATGCATATCCGGTCGGATTGTTCAAATTGAAGGAGCTTATCTTCTGGTTCCAGCTACAAAATCATCGAAGAACTGGTTCGAGTGGAGGACGAAGACGTGAAGAAGATGCGGATCAAGGAAGGAAACACCAAAGCGACCATCAACATGTTCATTGAAAAACAGAAGGAGAAGGTTCAAAAACATTCCGCAAATTGAAAAAAAAGGGGATTATAACATTTTCCTGGTAGGACTTTCGGCGTCGAAACTTTGCATAGAATGAAGTTGAACATTTAAAAAAAGGGAAAAAAATCATGAGTGCAGGTTCATTTTTCAGGAATAGAAAAAAATAAAAATTTATCAGAAATTCAATCGGGTTTTTCTGACGTTGAACTTGTCTCTTTTCTAGTTTTTGACTTCAAATATTTTTTTACCTCATATTCTAATTGTGTTTGACTTCCCACATTGCTTTCCAAAAAGTTCAATTTTGCAAAAAAATAATTGAAGATGAATTACCGTAATCCTTTGAGCTACTGTATCTCGGAAACTACTCGAGTGATGATATTCTGTTTTTTTAATCTTAAAAATCGCGTTTTTACAACATATCTAAATTAGAGAAAAAAATTTATCATACCGCTTTTTTTCCCAGCTCAGCTTAAACCCAAATGGCGCAGAACAAGTCTCTTCTTAACTTTAGATTTTATTAGATATTTCTGAAATTTTGAGTTCAGCTGGAAGAGTATCGAGCGGAGATGAAGAAGGTGATGACCTTTGCGGCGGAGTTCTCGGCGTTTCTGAAAACCAACTGCATGCTGACCCACAACGACACCTACGGACAGTACCTCGAGTGGAAGATCGGCCAGGAGAAGGGCGTTTCCGAGCGAACCCAAAACACGGAGTTGCTCGAAAAGGCTCAAGCAGCTCAAGGAGAAGCACGACTTCCAGGTCCGTCAGTATATTAACCGACTGAAAAAGAAAGAAGGAAAATATCAGAGTGATAAAACGAAATTCCAGTTGTTGATGAAAAAAAGAGATAGCTGTAGATGGATCTAAAACTGTTCAAAGCTTTGGTAAAAGCTCGTTGTAGCAGTTTGATCCGAAACCAAAGATTCAAGATTTGTCGTTTCCGGCTCAGGCAATCTCTGTAAAGATTTAAAATGATTAATTGAGGGAATAAAGAACAGCTGCCTAACAATTTCAAGAGCCGATAAACTTCAGAGACGGGTTCACCTTCTGAAATCACTTTTTGAAAATGAACGCGCAAATGGACTTTTTGGTACTACGTTACTTATATGCCGTGTTCAAAGTAATTTCCGCGAAATGCAAAATACCCGTTAGAGAAAGGAAAAGATCACTAAATTTTGGAGAGTCAGAGATCATTTTGCATTTCGCGGAAATTACTTTGAACACGGCAATACCAAATTCATACCAAAAAATGCGCCGGAACACCTTTTTTTTTGGAAAAAAAGCCGTACGAAAATTATTACACTAAAAATGAAGTACAAGCCAAAAAAACAGCTCGAAATTAATTTTTATCACTTTAAGAGAAGATATTTACAAAATCACTCTTGGAACTTTCCAAGGGCGCGTTTTGATAAAAGCAAAACGTGAACACTTTGAAAAAATTTCAAAGTTAAAAGCCAGAGAGATAATGAAGAGTTGAAACTCTCGGTAAAAAAAAAACATTTTTGAAATATATCTATCATTTTTCGATTTTCATGATCTGTTTTAGGTCAAGACTATCACTGAAAGCGTCAAACGTGGTTCTGTGAGCACGAGAACCCCTGCTGAAATCGAGGACATGATCAAGGAACTTTCCCATTTGAAGCACAGTGGAAAACAAATCGAAGACTTGAAGAATATTGAGCTCCTCACGTCAGTTCTCCAGAAATTCTCTGAAGTACAAGGAAGTTTTCAGGGCGAAGGTCTCTTCGGCGCAAACAGCGACGAAAGTCTTTGTCAAAAAACAGCAGTCGGGGAGGGCGGCCCAGAGGGAAACGCCAAAGGATAGTATCGGCTCCAAATTTCTGGGCGGATGGAAAAATATAGCGATCGAAGGGGGCAAAACGGTTCTTGGAGTTGCCACGAACGTCCTTTTCGGCAACAGCAGGCCGTCGATTCCGGCGATTTCTTCAACTCCCAATAAATTTGACACATTGGCTTCGAACGAAGAAACGGAGGATACTGCTGAAGTTTCCGAGGCTGAAGAGCGAGTTTTTTTGAAAGTTTTTTAAAGAACTCTAGTCCAATAAAGACTCATATATAGCCGCATCACGTCTATCTTGTAGGCGTGGTCTGCCTGCGCTCTCCACCGACCAGGCACTCTCTCTTTTTCTTATCGTGTCAGGACCTTTTTTCAAGATAGCTAAGCCAGTCGTGAATCGGCTGTATCTATTCTTTTTCAAGCTAGGACGGGGCAGAACATTCAGAACACTGTCCAAATCGGAAATTTCAAAAAAAATAAATTCGTAGACCAAAAAGGTTCTTTGCGAATTCAGGTTCCCCTGATTGATTTTTTTTAACTGGTGGTTTTCAAATTTCTGCTTCATCACATGGTGATTCATAAGAGTGAAAGAAATTAGTTTATGCGGTTTTTGAAAAAACCTTCCAAGCTTATATTAAACCCCCAAGTGTAAAGTTAAAAGAAACGGTATCTTCTCAAAAAAAAATCATAGAGGACAGAGAGCCTTTCCAGATGAGATCCCATTTTTTATAAATTTTGATAAATTCTCAGTTTTCAATGAATTAACCAAAGGTAAATAAACACATTACAGGGTTATGGAGGTTGATGATCCCACGACTTCTGAAACACCTTCTGGTCCCATCGTATTGACATCTTCTTCGGCTGCCGAGAAGAAGGACCAGCCGAAAGCTCAGGAAAAGCCGAAAAATCAGCAGAACAACCGCGGGAGGAATAAAGCCAACAAGAAGGGCAAGAACAACCGACGGCGCTGAACTTTGTTAATATCACATTCCCATTAAATTATAAATTGTTTTATTGGAACGTTGTTTTTTTTCTGTCATTTTGATGAATGTAAATATTTTTCAAATTTTTTTCGAGCTGGTGAAATCGTTCTGTCAATCGTTATTTATTTATTTTTTTGTCGTGATTTTTTTCAAATTTCGGTTTTTTTGTTAGTAATTTTTCGCCTCAGGCGAAGATGTCGTCTTTGGAGAAGCCGACTTCACATCAGGTAAGTAATTTTTAACTAAATAGTGCTAAACGTGCGATTTTTTTAAATATAAATCAGAAATCTAACTTGTTTTTTAAAACTCATTGTTTACCGTTTTTGTTAGTTTTCAATATATTGAGAAAAAACTCCTCGGAAATTTCGATTCTTTTTGAAGTCTGAAGGAAGATTTTCGAATGAACGGTTTAAAAATATAACACAGAAAAGAGAAGAAAAAGAAATCGATGAAAAGTGGAAAGAGTATGATTTTGAGTCCGTTTGGGTTTCGCAGCGATAATATTTCATTGGACGAATTTTTCTCACGAAAAAAAGTTTATGGTGTTTTATCGGAGAAACAGAACTTTTTAATGGGCCTACCAAAGTTGCTCCAAAAACAGTATCAATTTTTTTGGATCAATTTTTCTCGTGTTTCAAACAATTTTGTTTTTTTCAATGGACACGTCATTAGGTTTTTCCGATTTCTAAGTCCGTTCAAAAAAATATGTTCTGAATTTTTTTAAAATGCGTAAATTATAGTTTTTGGAGATGAGTCTTCGTTTAAAAAAAGTATTCATTAAATTTTATCCATGCTCTTTGTCGATGATTTTTAGAAAAGAGAAATCAAAAGTTTATAGAATAAGGCTCAAGACGTCACAAAGCTTCCCATTTTCGCCTCGGCTCCAGCGTCACTTAAACCCTTCATCCAAGGGAAAACCATAGTTGAAGTGATTGCGAATCTCAAAGACAATGTCGAGAATGCCGATGATAATATTTTGGACGATTTCGACGCTTGGATGAGGAAGGTTCATTGAGCTTTTTCGTTTTTCTTTGTGAATATGATCAAATTACAGTTGAATCCGAACTATTGTGCGCCAGTCCGTGACCCTCATTTCATTCGGATCGCAAAAGACAAGGAAACCCTAAGAACGCTTTTCCGAAGCGACCGATTTGAGCTGAAACAAAAGACGGCTTTCATGGAGAAGACGTTGATCAACGAGAGTCGCGACGTCATCAAGGAGTTCTGCAGTTGGAAATTTGAGGTATGAGCAAGAATTTTCGATTGAAAATGTTTTTTTCAGAACCTCGGCGAGGACTATCCTTTCCTCTCTCTGATCCGTGACGCCGCTTGTCGCAAATTGTTGCTGAACATCATGTCCAACCCGGACAATGGCGATACTGTGAAGCTGGAGAAGCTGGACAAGGCGTTGAGCGGAATGAACGATCGATCTGCCAAGATTATCTATGAGAATTGGAGGAAAACGATCGATGCGGAGGTTTTTGTGTGAAAAATGTGGAATAAAGTGGGAATTTTAGAAAATTTTACGTAATGGACGTTGTAGGGAACCTAGGAAAAAATATTCTTAAAAACTGTACCACGAAAAAAAGATTTTTTGTAATGTGGGATCCTTGAAAATTTAATTTTTTTTAATGATGAAGTTTTTGTTTTCGTCATTCAACGCGAAAAAAATTACAGATTATATAAATTTTGCTTTTTTTCAGCCTTTCCCCATATTCGATTATTTTTTTATTTTTATAAATTCTGGCTGAAATATTGATAAGCATATTACACTCATAATTTTAGAAGAAGAGAATCTTATCTAATAGAAAAATATTCAAAAAAGAATAATAATGTCTTTTTCAGAGAAAAACTGATGAGAACGGATGAACCGATGTTCGTCGATACTTTTTCAGAAGTTTTAAAATTTCAATTCAAACTTGTGAATTTATAAATTCTAAGAATGCGACCGGTTACCAATATTCTCATCCTCGGAGAGACCGGTATCGGAAAATCTACGTTTATCAACGGACTTGTGAATTATTTGCACTACGACACGCTGGAAGACGCTGAAAATGATCAACTACACGTTCTGATCGAATCTTGGATCACGCATTACAATGAGGATGTGAGGAATGAACGGAAATTCGTTTCGAAAAATTTTCTTTCTGTAGAATTTACCGTAATGAGGATTTTTTTTTGATTTTAATAAAAAAAAAAGGAAAAATTAACCTTGATAAATTTTTATCGAATCGAAAAATCTTGATATTTTAATTATAATGATAACTTTTTTTAAAAAGAAAGACAGTGTTAAATGATGCCTTCTATGTACAAAATATTGATTAGCGGATCGAAAACAGTGAAAAAAAGCCGTGGCGACTTCTAAATCTCTTCGTTTTCACGCTATTTTCTTGGTCGTTCCAGGACCCTTTTTTCAAAATTTCACCGATTCTTGTAGACCTTGCAAGCAGATGCATTGAAAAAAATTCCAGATCGAATTTCCAGGGCTCATCTCGGAAAATTGCCATCAGACCGACCGGAATCCCACAATACGGACAATCCAACGAACATACGATGGTCGGACAATCTTCCACTCAAGACCCAATGGACTACATCTTCGAATACAACTGCGGCAAAGTCAAACGTGTCGTTCGGTGTGGAATTCTCCCGATTTCAAAAAGTATACTTCGATTCCAGCATCATCGACACGCCTGGCATCGGCGACACCCGCGGAATCGAGCAAGACTCGTTGAACTACGAGAAAATCCTGCAGTTCCTCTGTGGAATCGACAAAATCGACGCGATCATGATCCTGATGAAGCCGAACTGCGCCCGACTCACGCTGATGTTCCAGTTCTGTGTCGATGAACTTCTTGTCCATCTTCACAAGCACGCCGCTAAAAACGTCTTCTTCTGCTTCACCAATGCTAGGTGCAGAGTTTTGATGATGATAATCACGATTTTGCTCATAAAAATACAAAAAGGTGCTGTATTCAGATGGTAAAAGTTTACGGAAAAAGGATTTCTAAAGAAAAAAAAAGTTGGATAAAAGTTCAGTTTCATTGTTTCTGATATATGAAAAAATTAATAATTAAATCCATGTTTTTCGAGTCTCAGTTGGGCTATCCCGTGGAAAAAACGGGTGCAAAAAGAAATAGGTTTTCGGAAATCGTAGATTAAACTGCATCAAAACGATGACTCAGCTGTGGGACGAAAAATGTCAAAAGTTTCACCGGCTGTGTTTATACGAGATGAATAATACACTGGGAGAATTTTTAGTGGCTATAGTTGTCTAAATGCTACTATTAGACCACTCAAATTTTTAGTGGCCACTTTAGGGGTCAATGGATCAACATAACTGGTCCAATTGTTTCAAAATTATCAGAGTTACTGGAAAGATACTGGATGAAAAACTACTGAAGTGGTCACTGAAACCAAAAATAGTGGCCACTATAGTGTCCTCTCCAAGTAGTCCGGGGCGAGCCTCACTCAAAATTGTCCAAGTAGTTTCAATATAGGGAGAGGTGGATGAAAAAGGCCAATCAAAAAAAAGTGGATTTGAAAAAATTGTTCTTGGGAACTGAGAAAATGATATCAGCTTCCAGAAATTTATAGACAATAGATTTTTTCCCTGATAAGATAAGGGCATAAGAAGTATGACTGATTCACGGCTGGCATGAGCCATCGAAAAAGCGGTCCTGATACGATGATGCACGAGATAGTGGCTGGCTCGTGGAGAGCGCAGACAGGACACGCCCCCTTAGCGTTCCAAGCTAACCGTGAACCAGCTATAATAGAATTTATCACCCTCTCGATAAACCATGAAAAAATTTAATTTACAGCAGAATCGCATCAGTGAAACTATGCATAATTTGATCAAGTCCTTGAAAATTTGATAATTCTTTTCTTTTAATTGACAAATTTCCATTTATAAAAACAAAACTAATTATCATTTCAAAACGATTTAGCCTTTGTTTGAAACGTAAAACAATCGAGATCGCAGATATGAAAAGTAATCTATTTTTCTATTGCCCTGTTCAACGTGATGTTTTGAAATGGGCGTCAGAGAAAGAAAAAGATAACTGAATTTTGGAGAGTCAGAGATAATTTCGATTTTTTTTATAACCGAAAAGCTTCAAAAATGTCGAAAATGCTTGCATTCGAAACCTTTTCTCAGTGAACCGGATCTTCCCCCGGTCGATTCCACTGTCCGAGAGTTGACATTTCAAAGGCTGATGCTTCTCGAAAAAGCCAATAACCTTAAAAATTAGAGTTGGATTCACTACCTCCGACCCATTGATATCCAAGTAAGGGATTTTGCACTTCTAAAAAAAAACCATATTTCAAGAAAGAGCAGGTAGGAAAAAAAAAACTTCGATATGACAGTCCTTGAAAAAAATTGGCTAGGACTTTTTTTACAGTAAGAAAGTTTGAAAATAAGTTTTCTAGTTGATTTTTTTATATCAAAAAAATTCAGGCCGTGAAAAATGGTTTATGAAAAAAATTGTCGATTAATATTCAATTTGGACTACGGAATGAAACATTTTACGGATTTTTGTCGTATTTTGGCTACAGTAATCCTCAAAAAAAGGCGGAGCTTGTCAAAACCTTGACTGAAAAGTGTCAGAGACGTGTGTAGTTGTTGTGAGAAAAGTATGAGCTCGAAAAACATGAATTTTTTTAGCGCCAATGATCGAATATTTCAGAGAACAAGTGTTTTAAAAAGTTAAAAAAATTTTTTTAATCCAGATTTTTCTGAGAAAATCAACAAATATTTTTTTCAGCGCCTCTCAATTCACGCCTGGCGAATCTCTGCCAGCTCTCCGTGAACATTTGTCGAAGCTCGACCTTGACAAGATCCAACTCAATTTGGGAGAAGAATCGGAAAGATTTTTCTGTTTCGACAACGAAAGCTTCCGATACTTGACGGCCAGAAATCACGGCGCCAAGTTTCCAGTAAACAGAACGTCGAACCTACGCCGAAAGTTGGAGAAAAAGTCGTCCCAACAGGCGATTCGGCTCTTTGAAAGGATCGCCGCCACTCAGCCGCACGATGTCGAGCTCACCTTGAATCTAAACAATTCTAGGTACTCACAGAAGTTGAAAGTTTATGCATTCAACAAGGAAAACTGAGAAAAATCAGAGATTACAATAACTCATATTTAAAGATGAACTGAAAATGCCGTAGCCAGTCATTTCAAGCTGAGGAAAATGGATTAGATAACTTTAAGACTAGATTGGCCTGGAACCTCAAAAAATCGAGAAAAAAAAAAAAAAAAGAAAAGAAAATGTAGAGAAACAGGCATCAAGGTAAATGAATTTTGAAAAATAATTATTTTTAAATTATTTTTCAAACTCATTTTTCATGTTTTCAGTTCAATTTTGAGCCATTAGTGTTCAGGCAGATCGAAGAAAAACAGGGTTAGGATGATTTTTTCTAATATTTAAATACGTTTCTTAGATTTGACTGAAAAATAGAAAAAAATGGAGTAGGAGGGTCAAAATTTATGCTCACCAAGGTCAGAATTTTCAGTTGAACCATTTTCGCACTGTTCTGGAATCTATGGATATTTTTATTCGCCTGCAAAAAATACAAGACTTTTTTCTTATTTCTGATTATTTTTTGAGCTCAACGTCACACAGTTGGATTGCTATAATTCAATCAACTATTCAAATTTTTAATAAAAAAACTCTTTTACCGACTCTCATGCCATGTAAAAAGTGATTTCGCGAAGTTCAAAATAGCCATCAGAGAAAAAAAAAGTAATTGAATTTGAAGAAAGTCAAAGATATTTTTTTGATTTTTCGCGAAAAGTTCTCTGAACACGGCATAAAGTCACAGATAGCTAAAAATGAGAAGAAGTTTTTCAAAGTCGGACTTCAGAGCTGCGATTTTCCGTGTGACTGAGCCTCTCGCTGATCTCGCTCAGGCTCAGCTGATCAATGAAAGGGTCATCAACGAGAAGATCAAGGAGGTCGAAGACTGCGACAACAGCGAAGACGAGGACGAAAGTAGGCATTTCCTTCGAAAAAAAAAACTGATCACAGCCGAAAAATCAGGAAAGATTTAAGCTTGTGAAAATATGCTTCGGAAATGGCCAAATCGACCTTTCATAAGGGCCGTGAGAAGATTTTCGAGTCCTAAAATAACCGTCGAAAAAGGAAAGCCGGCCAAGGAAATCGATGGTTTGTTCGAATTTCGAAGGCCTTTCTTCATATTTTTTTGGTCGCAAATATTAAAAATCTTTCTATGAAAAATTTTGCAATCGAAATTTTTGCAATTTTTTTCAGTTCAAATATGGATTTTTTTGCACCTGTAGTTTTAATTTTTCTGTTCTGCTTCATTAGAAAAATAGGATTAACCAATAAAAAAATGAATGAAAGTTCAAGCTTTTTCCGAAAATATAGATTTTTTTTTACTGTCGAAAATCGTTCAGCCTGAATTTTAACTCAAAGCCCTCGAAATGAGTTGATTAAATGATGTTTGTGTCGGAAAATTGAAAGTTTTCAGAAATTTCTTGTTGAAAAATGAGAACTTGTTTAGTTTTACCTGCAAAAAAGCATTTCCCTATAAACTGAATCTGCATGATCTTCTTCAGTCGATTGCATCCAGAGCTACGGAAAGAGAGACAGCAACGCGCCCCGGGGAGTACCGACCCTCACATTGTCGAATGAGACATTTTTCACCCATTTTCCACATATCACGGCACTTTCCCAAACGGAGTGGGGAGACGTCAAAAACAATTGGCGCGAAAATTCAAATCTCATGTACGCAGCCAAAAGCGATCGAACAAACAAGTTATTAACGTTTAATACTCAGTGTAATTATGAGCTAGAATGGAATTTTGACGCCGCGCTCGCTTTCCCTCACGCTATTAGGATTGCCGTGATATCTATACATTCTCAACTTTGCGGATCGGGGCGATGGCTTCGAATTGCACTTGCGCAGCTCTAGTCACATTCATGATCAAGCAAAAAATAAATTTCGATTGATTTTCCGGTTCTCATCGCTTCATTGATTGATTGCTGGTTTGCAAATTCAAATAAATTTACTAAAGTTAGACCTTATAATGAGTTCCATTTTTCAGTAAATTTTCCCGAAAACTTTCAGTGGACTTGTCCGTGGAGAGGACGGTTTACAAGAAAAACCCGACACAACTCCCGCAAATGGTCTGCATGGCGCCTTGTTGCGTCGACAACGTCAAACTGCGGCCAGAAGAAACGCGGACGACGCCGGTCCCGAAAAGGGCTTGCCACGCCGATTGTCCTACTCAAGGAATCATTGTACGCAATTTCGCGACAGCTGATACCTTCTGATTTTGATTTCCAAGTAAAATGACGTCATTTGAAAACGCTGATTGGCTTATCGCGGCATTAGGGGCGGAGCTTGATGGATATCTGGATATTCACATTCTCAAGACGTTCCGCTTAATATTCATTTTTTGAGGACTTTTTCTTATCTCCACTGTGTTTCTAACGTATGATAGTTGCCGCAAACATAGAAAAAAGCCTAAAAATTAGATTAATTCACATTTACAATCCTTCATCCCGAAGTGTACAAAGAATGAAACTTAGCAGGTTAGTAAAATGAAAAAAATTATCTTTTTTTCGAGATGTTTAATATTTTTTTCTTAGTACCCAGAAACACAGCGAATTCCAAAAGTCAATAAAGTACGATCGAAATCAAGCGAAACATCTGGAAATCTACGACCATTTTTCGAAACATTTGGAAGGTCTTGCATGTTTAATTTCAGCCGGAAACCTTCCCGAACCCTGGAATCCAGCAGTGCGAAATCATAGATCTGTCTACTCTACAGTGTCGTGTTTGCGGATGCTCGTGGAGCATTCACACTCATCTCATGTGAGATAAAAAAAAGAAAGAAGTTGTTTTTGGATTCATGTCTGATCCAATAAATGATCGAAAAAGGGTTCCTTTGACGAAGAAAAGCCGCAAAACAAGTAGAGAAAAGGTTCCTCTAAAGATTATATTGTTATAAATAACAGTCATTACGACTCCAGAAAGTTTCAGACTGATTGAACTCCATACAAGAAAGTTTTGATCAAAAAACTGGTTTTTTAGTAAATTATCTAAAGTATAGTGTTCAGATTTTTGATGTCAAGTTCAATGACGTCATTCGAAAAACATTCTGTGGATGACTCGCTCTCTGATTGGTTTATCGCACCATAAGGGGCGGAGCTTGAGCGACAACTTGACATTCAAAATCTGAACAGACTATACTGTAATTTCAAAGTAAGATTCAATTACTGATTCAGGTACACTTATGAGAAGACAACTGAAAAATATGTGGACCCGCGGGTGCTGGAAATGGAGCAAAAGGAAGGAAAAACCAAGGAGACGCGGGAGCTTTTCGTCCAAACTTTGAAGGCGGAGGTGAAAAGAAAAATGAAATTCGAATTTTTTCCATCAATCACCGTCTATCATTTATTGTGTTGTTTCAGTCTTAGATGTAGTAGAAAAACGTAAAAGCTCTGCATTTATCTCAAAAAATACGACTTCAGCTCACGGCTCAAAGCGCGAAGAAGCAGGAAATCATGAACGTTGTTGGCGGAAAAGTCTCGGAATTCCTCAAAGATTGCATCGTTTCTCACAACGCTGCCTATGGCGACTATCTGAACCTCGAAATCAAGACTGAGAGGGACAAGGAGCAGTCCGAAAGAGTCCCCGGCTATCTGGATCGCCTCAACAAGCTCAAGGGACGGTTCGATGCACAGGTTTGGTGGGCAGAGGAATGGCTTGGAAACTTAGAAAAAAAAATTCAAACAAGCAAGTTTTGAAATGAAGGCCTGGTGGGAAAGTCTTCCGACAGAAACTCTTTGAAAAATAATGAGAAATATCAAAATCAGCTGAAAAATAAACTTGAGAAGGTATAGTCCGTCCGCCGCCATTTGACAGTTTTCGCGTGTCTGCGTCTCTCTGTTCCCTCAGGGTCAGAGGAACATGAAAATAGCGCGTCAACAAGAGAGGGCGCAGAGAAGTCCCGCCCTTTCAAGTCGCGAAAAACGGTCCATAAAAGTCAAATGAAAAATGATTAGCACAATAAAAAGCTCTAGTCAGTTAGAAAAAAACCCATATAGAAGTAAATTTAGTATTTTTCAAGTTCCAGTCGTATATCGCATCAAAACAAAAAAAAAAAGATCCACATTTTTCTGATAAACTTCTTGTTTTCTTGTTCGAAATCTTCATTCGCATCTGTTAAAAGTGTTCCTCTACTCTCGATTTTGACAAGAAAAAACTGTTTTCAGGTTGAATTGATTAAGAACACAGTTTACAAACAAAACGTACCTGAGTCTTCTTTTTTCTATTCGTTGTTTTGGAGATTCATCTCCAAAATTCTAGAATTTTTTTTTAACCGAAAAGTTTAATATTCTTATTTGATACCACCTAAAAATCCGACTTTTTTTCCAGGTTGAATTGATCAAAAATTGCTCGAAAGAGCCGCGGAAATCGCTCAAAACTTTTGATGAGATCATCATGGAGTTGGGACTCGCTTCAGACGATTCGACTGTTTTGAAGTACATAAAAGTCAAAAGTTTTCTTTGAAATCAATAGTTTTAGGCCCAAACCGACGCCGCCGTTTTCTGGTGCTTCGATCACTGTGAAAAGGACCCCGCCACTGCCGAAACGCGTCATTTTTGGAATTAATCCTTGATTTTTTTTGTACATACATTTTATAATATTTTTTGATTTTGCATGTCGCTTGGTACTTATTGTAGTAAAGAACCTTCTTTCATCTTTTTTTCACTTTTTTGTTCGTTTGGCTTGTTAATAACACTGCTCCAGAGCTACATTCATATACATAAGTACAGTCGGAAAGGGTGGAAAAAGCTCCATAAAATGTTTTCCTTTGAGCGGCGAAGGCTCTTTTTTTGCTGCCTTTTTGCTGCCTTTCTGCGGTTCTTTGGAAGATACGTGAGCTTATAAATATCTGAATTGATAAATATAACAACCAGTAAAGTTTTTTTTTTTTGGTCTTTAATCAATTTCATGACTTTCAATTTTCCTCCAATTAGTTATTTTCTCCGACTTCAACCAGTGTTTTAAATAAAAACAAAGTTTTTTGATATATCTGTTTTTCGAGATGCTGTACAAAAAAATTGTCACGGTGTTTTCTGAAGAGATGTCGGGTTTCAAAAAAATAAGTCCCACTTCAGGTAAAGTCTTTTTAAAAATTTTTTTATTTTTAATCTAATCTTAATGAAAGATCGGTCCATTCGGCACGCCAGTTTTTACCGATTTTTAGATTCATGACTTACCTGGGTACGTACTTTAAAAAAAACTAAAAAGAAAACTGTTCGATTTTTTTTTCTGCACCCGAAGACGTTTTTCGATGGGACCCGTTGTTTGATTGATTTGGCCTGTTGTCCGGAAAACCGGATGGGAAGTCAAGGCCTCCATAACTATTTCCTGCATCACTGATGCGCTTCAAAGTCCAGGAGCAGTTCGTTCATTTGATCTGAAATAAATCTCAAAAAATGGGCGAATTTTTAGGCTCGCTGTACTTTTAACTTGCAAAGAAAATCAGTTCGAATCATTGTTGAAAAGGTGGGGATATTATGTAAATGCTCGCTTGAATTTAGGAACTCCAGAGTGGCCCCTATAGGAAGTACCTTGGGCACCACTTTACCAACCCCTATAGAGGTCACTGAAGCTTGCAGAAGAATGGTCAGTTTATCATTATTTAGTCTGTTCAGATTTTGAATGTCAAGTCATCGCTCAAGCTCCACCCTTGATGGTGCGATAAACCAATCAGAGAGCGAGCCATCCACAGAGTGTTTTCGAATGACGTCATTGAACTTGACATCAAAAATCTGAACAGATTATATTTCACTTTTAAATGTGATATCTCTCTGTTTCTCATGTGACTGGAAAATTTTTCACGTGGAATCTAATTTTATAAATTTAAAACGTGAAAAATAAATCAAATAATATGGCTGCGTGTGCGAATTGCCAAATCAAGATGACGTCATGTCACGGAGTAGCGCTTTGCGATTTAACTCGAAGTAAAATCAATAAAATCAACGTGGCATACACATTTGTGTAACTGGCATACCGTGTCACGGACCTTCACCGAGGCACCAATGGGTAAGTTTTTGGATTTATTTTTTTTTACCAAAGACTTGGCGAGTTCCTAGTGTCTGAGTCTTGAGATATCGCAGGGCTCTCACGCATTTTGAGCTCACTAGTGAATATTAGAAACCACTCTTTAAATTGCCGTAACGGGTGTGCCCGTATTAAACTTTTAGGGACCGCATGCAGATTTCTAGAAACCATTAGATTTCAATGATTTTCATATGGCCGTGTAGCCCATAGTCCTGACAATTTAAAAAAAAAAAAAGGGATCTTGAAAAAGATCGACTCTCAACGAACCATTAAAGCGCGCGTTTCGCGATTTCAGTTTTTTGTAGAAAATTTCGTCGAGGTAATTTTTTGGCACTAAAACACAGTAATGATGATTTTTCATTATTGGAAACGATAGAACAATGTTCAAAGATGAGGACCTATCCAAACTACCGTAATACGACCGGTTACCTTAAACAGGCGTGTTGCTTTGAAAACTTCGCGAATTCGGAACTTTTGTGGGTCGGTGTAATATATTCGAACGTTAAAAAAAAATTTGTTTCGTAGACTCGTATGCTGAGGAGATTAACCCGTGGATGACACGTTTTATTTGTGGTATTTACAGTAAATAATTTTAATATACTCCAATTTAATATTAATATGTTTCATAAAGTTCAATTTAGTTGAAATTATTCTTGTTAGTTCGAAACTTTGTTTTTTCAAGGTTCTTCCAAACCTCGTCTGAAAAGGCAGCTAACCTTCGCCTTCGGTATCCTGTTTTGCACGCTGTCAAAGGTTACGAGTGAAGGTACACTTTCTTCCTATGTACAATGCATTCAACAGGCCAACTCCCGAAAGGCTTTGAAAAAGTTCGAAAGAATGCGCACTTTCCATGGTCTCTTTTTTTCACTGGTGAATCGAAAGATCGATACGAGTAGGTACCAAGTAGAAACTCAAGTCAATCGGCGTATGGTAATCGGTGGTCATTTGTTTACGACCGGGTACTATCTCTGCAGTGGTATCTGGATGGTACCGGTTCGGTAACTAGATGCTACCGGGTAGGTACCTGAAGCTCGCGATTGATACCGGCTGGCACATCGGTCGTTCATATACCACAAGTTTTTTTTTAAACCTTCCCAAGTCAGCCAGGATCTTATTGGCTAACGCTGAAACAAAAACCACCCGGAAAGCAATACTAGGCTTTCCGGTAGCAATCGCGAATTTCAGGTTGCTACCCGGTAGCTATTTGTATCGAGCTCCCGATTCAATTTTGTTTATGAGTTTACTGGAAAAGTTTATAGATGAAAAAAAGTTTCGGACAAATGGTAGAAACAATTATTGGATTCGAGAATATTCGTGAGCGTCGATTCCCCACAAACTTTTGTACACAAATTTTGCTGAAGAAGCCTTTCAGATCCATGAAACACGGGCAAATGCGATTTCGCAATCAACAATCGAAATTTAATTATAATTAGCTCACAACCTTGAAAATATGAAACAAAATGTTGTTTTTAGTGCAATTCTCAAAAACCTTGCCATCGAAGTATAAAAATAAAAACTAACCCAGTCGCCATCGTGGGGGAGCCACGAAACGAAAGGATTTGGGTTTCCCCCGCAGTTTTTCAAAACTTAATCAACCTGAACTCAACAAAAGTTTGAAAATTCAAATCATCGAAAATTTTTTCTCTGAAAAACATATTCGAATATGTTCGACTTTCTTTGAAGCTTATTTTTTCTCATATTCCGGAATATTCCCAAATTGTGTGCTCACTGGTGAATCGAGAGGTAGATACAAGTAGGTACCGGGTAGCAACTCAAGTCAATCGGCGAATGCTAATCGGTGGTCATTTGTATGCGACCGGGTACTATCTCAATGGTACCTGGATAGTACCTGATCGGTATCTGGATGCTACCGGGTATGTACCTGAAATTCGCGATTGCCACTGGCTGGCACATCGGTCGTTTATATAGCATCAGTGTTTTTTTACACCTTCCCAAGCCTTCCAGGGTCTTATTGGATGAAGCTGACACAAAAAATAACGATCCGGGAAGCAATTTCAGACTTTTCGGTTGAAATCGCGAATGTCGGGTAGCTACTTGCATCGACCTCCGACCCAGGTACCATAGAGATAGTACCCGGTCGCATACAAACGACCGCCGATTACCATACGCCGATTGACTTTTTCAAAAGTTGCTACCCGGTAGCTATTTGTATCGACTTCTCGATTCACCTTTGCTATAAAATTTGAGTTTTCCTGTCAGTAAAAGCTTCACTAGAGTTATTGGGCCCCTCAAAAGGTTAAACATTCGACTTAATCAAAATATGATTTCTGAAGCTTCTTTTCATGATGATGATTAATTAATTTTCAGTAAGGCACACAATTTGGGAATATGTTTTTCAGAGAAAACATTTTCGATGATTTGAATTTTCAAACTTTTGTTGAGTTCAGGTTGATTAAATTTTGAAAAACTGCAGGGGAAACCCAAATCCTTTTGTTTCGTGGCTGCGCCCGGCCTGGCCCGGGCTTTGGGCCTACAATTTTAAAAAAAGCCTGCGTAGGCTCGGGCCAGGCCGGGCTTCACAAGAAATCTTAAACTTCATTTTGAAAAAAAATTTCACGGGAAAATTATTTTTTTACTTGGTAAATCATAGTTTCTAATGACTCTATGAGAAAAAATAAGCAAAAATACCGCTTTTCTCGTTACAAAAGCGAAAAATTCGATTTGAAGAGAATTTGAGTTTTTTGAGCCGGGCCGGCCATTTTTGCTGAAGGCCTCCCTAGGGCCGGGCCGGGCTTGGGAAGTGACCGGGGGGCCGAGAGGTTGACGGACCGGCCCTCGCACAAGCCTGGCGGTACATTGACGAGCTCGCAAACATCTCGCGCCGGCCTTGCATTTTTCTGGGCGCGAGCTCGCATTTCTCTCGCAATTTGAAAATTTCCGAAATGCAAGATCGCACTTTAAAAAAAAAGCGAATGTTTGCAAGTTCGTCAATTTATACTCTTTGTACCATGACTTAGAATTACACCAATCGACATTCCGCTGTTCCGCTGCGCGCCTTTGCGATTCCTGGTCGCGCTTTAAATTTTTTTTTTTGTTAAGGTACTCTACTTTCATGTGCTCCCACAGCAATAACAATCAATTGAAAACGTGACCTAGATTCGAAAGACGCTTCGCGAAAGCACGCAGCGGAAAATCGGAATGTCGTTCCGTTAAATTTAAAGTCGTGGCTCACAGACTATGCCGCCACCCAGAGGTGGAGGATCGGGAAGGCAGCCCTTGGCTTGGCGGCCAAGCCAAGCCATTTAGCCAAAAGATAGAAATGAGTCATTATTTACGTGGTCCTCGCATGCTGATCAGGTGTCTTAACGGATGTACCCGTATTAAACCCGTGTTTCTGAGGTTATTTTTGTCTCAGTTGGGCTAAAACGGGGGAACAACGGGTGTAAGAAAAATATGTAACCCAGCTGGCTGTGCTAAAGCGGGGTCTTAGTTGGGCTAAAAATTGCCAAAAGTTCTATCAGCTGGGCTTTTACGGGTTTAATACGGGGGCACCCGCTGAGACCCCGTGTTAGCACGGCGGGGTTACCCTGCTCAGCATGCGAGGTCTTTGGCAACTAGGTCAAGTACGTGGCGATAATGCCCTGAACTAATCATTATTAATTTTGTGAATTTCGAATTGTTTTATTTACCGCAACTCCGTGATAACGTTTTTAACTTACTGTAACAGATATTTCAGCAGGAATTTTCACTCCGACGGGTCAGTAGGCTACATTTTCAGGCTCACTAGAGAATTAATCGGACCAAAAAATTGAAATTTTTGATTTCAAATCGCTAAGGGACTTTCCGACGAACCTCTTTCCGACTTTGTTCCCTTATATTTTTCGGTTTACAAAGCAACTATTAACATTTTTTTTTCTATTTCTTTTTGTGTTTTAATCATGAATCAACTATCTACTTTATGTAAAAAGATTTAAAACGAAGAGTTTATCTAGAAAAAAAAGTCGGAAAAGGGTTAGTCGGAAAGTTCCTCAAAATAAAAAATCGTTATGTTCGAATTTTTTTAACGATTAAAAATTCTGATTCCCTTGTGTACGCAAGTTCCATACATTGCTCAAAACAAGCGCTTCTAGATGTTAGGGCAATTTCGCCTTACAAATGACCGTCGCATCACGCTGACTTTTGAAAAAGTCATTTCTGCCTTTTGGGCGTTTATGGCTTGGCAGGCAGGGCGGCCAGTGGGCATCCATCCTCCACCTCTGCCGCCACCGATCTCGCTTTTATCTCGGCAGTTATTCTTAGTGCGATTAGAAATAAATCCACGAAATCCTCACAATAAAACAACAAGATTGGTGCTCACATAAATGACGCTTCCGAATATTCGCGGACTTGTTTTTATCAGCGTCATTTAAAACTCAGGAAACTTTCGAAGGAACGAAACTTTTAAGTCTGTTTTGTCTTTGAAGGTCTGTCGAAATTTGCTCGTGATGATAGAGACATCTTCAAATTTTTTCAGGCGTGTATGAAAACAAGATTTTCAAATTGATATTTTTAGGGGCATGTTGCAAAAGATGTATCTCGGCGTATCCATCAGGGGAAGCTGTTCCACCCGGATGCGAAATCATGGATTGCACCGACGAATCGATTACGATTGAAAAGCCGAATGGTCGAAAAGTTTCGTCCTTTTTGGCTAAAGCTTCAAGAACTGGGGCTATAAGCATATTGGACAACACAAGAATAGAAATATCGATCTCGGCGTTGACAGAAATCGTCCATAATGGTCCAGGTTAGGGTTTTTTGAAGTTCGAAAAATACAAAATTATTCGGTTATACAAAACAATTCATCTTTTTTCATGCTTTATCGAAAAGCTTTTTTTAGACTTAAAAAAAAAAACTAATTACCAACTCTGCTAACACGCCAATGACTGGGCAAATCTAGTTCACTTCTAAAATATCCTTGTCATTTTTTTAAAATGTAGAAAAAAAATATCTGTGAACTTCGGGTATATGAACTTTTTTTGGTCGCAAGCGGATTATGAGGCTGAAAAAGAAAGGCTGCTTTCTACATGTTGAATGAATAACTCTTTCTAGGTAGAAGTTCAGCTTACTCTAATCGCGGTTTTTTTCGCGATATATTTTTCTAAATCAAAAAAATAATTCTTTGTTTTTTTATTCAAGATAAGTAGGCTTTTTAAAACCAATCTTCTAATATAAAAAAATATTTTTTTAAACAAAAATGGAGATGCCGATTTTTTTCGTTTTGTAAAAGTATTCATTCGAGTTGAAATGGAAACTCCGCGATGGTAGGAAAAAATTTTGGGCCCGCGAATATTCGTGAGCATGAATTGTGCATACACCGATGTCGGGGGCTCGAATCTTTGCACTCTACAGAATTTGTGCAAAGAGCAGTGCCTATGCCGGCATTCTGCAAAAAAAGCTTCATGCATCTTGCAAATCAGTGCTTTGCATTTTGCACAGAAGTACCTCGCATTTTGCACTTTTTTTCGTCTGTACAAATGTGTGCCCAAAAAGAAATGCAAAATGCGAGGAACTTCTGTGCAAAATATTTTGAATGCAGAACTCTAATGACGTGTTCAATTTGATTCCGCGAAATGCGAAATGATATCATTTTGGCATAATTTGCAGGATGCATGCAACTTTTTTTTTGCAAAATGCCGGCAAGGTACTGCTCAGACATTGGTAACGCGAAACGGATGTGCTACGGACGTTTCTGGGCGATTTTAGGGATCACTTAAGAGTGCTGAGGCTACTAAAGTGGTCACTAGAAATGCCCCGACACGTCCGATTCGCGTCCCGTTCGCGTTACCAAGATCCGAGTGCTCTTTGCACGAATTCAGTAGAGCAAACTTGAATATTTGCAAATTTTTATTACTTCTTCAATTTTTTGTTGTTTTTTTTTTCATTCAATTTTTTTCTCATTTTCTTTTGTGACAAATTTGTGCGTAACACTCCTGTGAACACTTCGTGACTATTTCATCTCTCTCCGCGAACAAACAAGTTATTAACGCACTGGTGAATCGAGAGGTAGATACAAGTAGGTACCGGGTAGCAACTCAAGTAAATCGGCGAATCGTAATCGGTGGTCATTTGTATGCGACCGGGTACTATCTCAATGGTACCTGGATAGTACCTGATCGGTATCTGGATGCTACCGGGTATGTACCTGAAATTCGCGATTGCCACTGGCTGGCACATCGGTCGTTTATATAGCATCAGTGTTTTTTTTTCACCTTCACAAGCCTTCCAGGGTCTTCACTAAGAATAACTGCCGAGATAAACGCGAGACACTGGCGTTACATTGACGAGCTCGCAAACATCTCGCTTTTTTTCTCGCGCCGGTCTCGCATTTTTCTGGGCGCGAGCTCGCATTTTTCTAGGCGCGAGTTCGCATTTCTCTCGCAATTTGAAAATTTCCGAAGTGCGGACCTGCAACTTCAAACACTCTGATACATCCGTTGGAAAAAAAAATAAACACGATAAATTCGAAATTGGAGAAAGATTGAACTTTTTTTTAAGTTCAGACAATCGAAAAAATTAACTTAAGGCTTTCATTCGTACTATTTCTAAAATCAATAACTTTGAACGGGTTGAAAATTGAAAAATAAAAGAAAAAAATCATCTAAAACTGAAAAAGAAGAAAAAAAATTATCTCGAAATTATCTCAAAAATCGAAATTCGCTAATTTCGAAGTATCGCCGTGAACGCTCTTTTGAATTTCGAAAAATTTCGCGTTTTGCTCCTGAACGCGCCATAATGAAAACAATAATCAAATCAACAAAAACAAAAAATTAATTGCGAAAATTTTGAAAATTTCCTTTTTCCGCGTTTGATCGTTGCGAGACCCAACTCGCATGCTGAGCAGGGTAACCCCGCCGTGCTAACACGGGGTCTCCGCGGGTGCCCCCGTATTAAACCCGTATAAGCCCAGCTGATAGAACTTTTTGGCACTTTTTTTAGCCCAACTGAGACCCCCGCTTTAGCCCAGCTGGGTTACCTATTTTTTTCTTACACCCGTTGTTCCCCCGTTTTAGCCCAACTGAGACTAAAATAACCTCAGAAACACGGGTTTAATACGGGTACACCCGTTGAGACACCTGCTCAGCATGCGAGAATGCTGCAGCACCCGCGTAGCAGGCGCGTCGCGGCCCCTCGAAATGCCAATTTTCAGGATTTCGGGTTTTCAAATTAAACGAGAAAATCGTTATTTTTTTTTATTTTTCGATTCCCCGAAATTACTTTGAACACGGCATTACTTTTTCAAATTTAAAACGTTTATCGTTGAATATTCTTTTTTTCAAAAAAAATTGGAAAAATATTTTTCACAGCTATCGCGAAAGAGAGTTTGTCAAAGGAACGCTTGAATAATATTCCTCATCCTGTTATTGTTGACTAAAATAAAAATATTGGAAAAAAGGATGATTTCGGTTCATTCTTCCTACTTTGCGGTATTCTGAAAAATTTTTTTCGAATATCAGGGGTGTTTTTGACTTATTCAAACTAGCAAAAAGTATTAAATTTACGCTTTGCTTCTTTTTTGAAGTTTTTTTTCTTGTTACATTGCTCGGGGTAGAATGAACGTGAAGTTTTCAGCTTCATTTCAAGAAATTACCCATTTTATATGTTACAAAAACTATCAGAGCAAGAATTGCAAATTTTCTCATATAAAATAACACCTGTTTTAATTTATACTGGTTCGATTGAATAACCTCATTGTTTCTATCGATTAAGCTTTCAATTTTGTATGGCTTCATTGTTTTTATATGGTTCTTCATATGGCGATTCCATCGCAACATATTAAAATCACCAAAAAGTCTTATTTCATTTACAGAATCGTGTTTCAAATATTTTTTTAACAGAATTTGTAAGCGCGCCCGAAAATTGCATATAGCCCGTTCACGGCTGGCTTGGGACAGTGAACAGGCGGTTTTACTTGCGCGGCGATGGTAGATCGTGGCGGTCAAATATGCGCCTTTAATAAGAGCCTCATTTGGTGAATTATTTCTATTTCTATTGAGTTTATTTTATGTTAACATTCATTTCATTGGTTTTTAGATTTTCTCAAATCGTCGAATAATCAGAGAAAAATAAATAAGTCATAAAATGGGGCTTTGATGGAAGGCGCATATTTGACCGCCATGATCTACCTTCGCCGCGAAAATCAAACCGCCCGTTCGCTGTCCCAAGCTAGCCGTGAACGGGCTATACGGTCATGTTCGAGATGAAATAGTCACGAAGTGTTCACAGAGTGTTACGCACAGAGTTATTAAAAATGAAAATGAAAAAAAAAACAATAAAAAATTGAAGAACTCGAATCCTGAGCAGGGTAATCCAGCGGTGCTAACACGGGGTCTTAGCGGGTGCCCCCGTATTAAACCCGTATAAGCACAGTTAGTAGAACTTTTGGTAATTTTTAGCCCAACTGAGACCCCGCTTTAGCACAGCTGGGTTAAATATTTTTCTTACACCCGTTGTTCCCCCGTTTTAGCCCAACTGAGACTAAAATAACCTCAGAAACACGGGTTAAATACGGCATGCTGGAAAGTGCGCGCTGTGCGCACTCTTTTCTCGTGCGCACGTAAGGAAAATGCGCACTCTTTTTTCAAATTTTGTACAGGAAATTGCGCTCTCTTTCTAACAACAGGAAAAATGCGCACGGTTATCAAATCTTGTCCTTTCGGATTATTTGAAGTTTATATAACTGATTTTTTTCAGCATTCATCTTTTTTTCAATATTAATACCAGGCGGTCACTAGACTGGTCAGACTGATTTACCTTTCACGCGATAATGTGTTTTTAAATTTTTGTAATGTTATTTTTCCGAAGAAAGCCACAGTCGGCGTTTATAGTTTGTTCAGAATTTGAATATCAAGTCATCGGTCGAACTCCGCCTCTTATGTGTAGATCAAACCAATCAGAGAACGAGCCACTCACAGGCTTTGTTTGGGGCAGAGATTGCTGCTTGAAACTCAAAATATGGACAAACTATATTATAAAAGGGAAATATGTGAAATACAAATCGAAAAGGACCTTACGAGGCTCAAAAATATTTCTGAAGAAAATTTACAGGGTGATGAATTATTACTGCGACAAAATGAAGGAGCTGTCAATATGTCAATTGTCAATAGTCAATAAAGACCGGGAACTCACAATTATTTTTTTATAAAGTTTTACAGGGATTTAATCAAAAAAATTAACATGAACTGCCGCTCGAAAATGTAGTGGCACCCAATTGACTGCGGTACGCAGATGGTCGAAATCAGTTTTTGTTTTTGAGCAGAACGGCCAAAAGTCAGTAGGCAAACTGGTGTGTACTGTTACAAGAGGCACATTGAAGTTTCTCAGAAATTTTGGAGTCAATGGGATAACAGAAAAAGAACAAGACTCCATTCTTCTAACCGGATAAGACCTTACGATAAGGACTCGAAAATTGGCTTTGAGCTGACTAGGGAACTACGCGAACTCGCATTCAAGGATCGAGTTAAAACTTTGGTGGCTTATAGACCCGGGTAAAAGTACTTGGGAACAAGAGTGTTTATATGCTAAACCCTATAGGCTTCTGAGAAAAAGCTTTTTGAAAATGAACAGTTTAGGCTTGAAAACTATCAAATTTTTGCTTTCATCCTTCTTTTGGCTGGAAAAAAGTTTTTTAGTGTTTATCATAGCCGGATCATTCAAGGCGATTTTATTAAAATATTAAATAAGGTAAAAAGCAGTATTCTGAAAATTTTCAGGTTTAATTTTCACATTTTCTACTAACTTTTTCTCAGTTCTCTATTGGGTTTAGCAGATATTCTCACTTGTTTTCAAGTGTTCCCACCTAGGTCTATAAACCACTAAAGTTTGAACTCGATCCGCGTACCCGAGTCCGAGTAGTTCCCTAGTAAGTAAGGGTACTTAAAAACAGGCAATACTATCTGCTAAACCCCATAAGGTACTGAGAAAAAAAGGTACACACCTTTCAAATTATTTTTGTTTACTGCTCTCTGAGTTGACCTCATCTCTTACAGAGACTCGAAAAAGCTGATTTTTTTGCCGTTTTTACGAAGTTTCAAGCAAAATAGCGTATTTCGGATGAAAGAATAGTAAAATAGCCCAATCATTAATATTAGCAACAGTGAGTGTTGCTGCAAAATACTCTGGGGTTATGACCGTTCTTGAGAGCTTCGATGATGTACTTTTTGTCTGTACAAACACAGACGAATCAGAAGGGCACCTTGATTTTTTTCCACAAAAAAATTCCTCTCAAAATGGATCGTGAAGGCCCCATAATGTGTCCATCGTGAGACCTCCAGCATACCTTTTTAGCTAAATCTGAGCTATCTCGGAGGTACTTTTAGAGTCTCCCTCAAGTCTATCTCATTTTGCTCAAAGTCCTCAGAGGTATACTCGGGTTACCATCGATAGGCTTCAGACCCTGCGATATGCCCTCAGAGGGTCTCGCGATAACCTTTCTCGATTCGCCTATGAAGAGCATCCAAACAGCGTGCCATAGGGACCGCAAAGCCACGCCCCTTTTCGCGATAGAAAAAGTGGCTTTTTTTTGGTTTTCAACTTTCATTTTGTTGTAGTTGTAAAATATGTGGAACTGGCGAATAAAATTTGACACACATGTACAGAAAAGCTTCCTCTTTCGTTTAAAAAAATATTTCACGCTTTTTTTGATGCGTTCTCGCGGAATGTCGTACAAAAAAACGTGAATGGAACTAAAAAAATTTTGTCATTTTTTTGCTTTTTAATGTGTTTTTCAGGTCGAACGCACTCTAAATAACGATTTTTGATTCAAGTAACGGGAATTTTAAAACAATAAAATAAAAAATTCGTCTTTGCCAAAAATTTTAAGGAGTGCCGAAAGTCATAATTCAAAATATCGTTAATAAGCGAAGATAATCGAGTTTTTGTTTTTTCAAAAGTTAGACCATAGGCTTACTTAAATTTTTCTCCACAGCATATGTGCTGGAAAAAAAGTTGTTTAATACGCAAAAATGCACTTGAAAAATAGAGAATAAAATTAGCGGCGTTTATCACACAGAAAGCGGTCGAACGCAGGTTTTTTTCAAACGATTATATACATTTATTAGTAAAAAATCTTTCAATTAAAAGAATAAAATAAAAAATTCGTCTTTGCCAAAAATTTACGGGGCCGTTTTAATGCAGTGATCGTTAAACGAGGCAAAAAGCACTGAAAAAACTGTTTTTTCGAAGTGAATTTCCACGGAAAATTTGAGTAAAGATTTGCGAACATATTCTGATAAAAAAATAGCTGAATTACTTCAAATTTTTTTATTTTTTTGAAATAGGCAATCTGTGCTATTCAAACGGCTCAAGGCTATGGCGGATGGAAGTTCCCCTCGCCAGACCTAACAACTTTAGCGCAGCGCGTGCGCTGCGATTTTTTTCATTTTGAGGTCGCGAGTTCGATACCCGCAAGCGTCAGTTTTTTTGTTTTTCTGGAAAATACCGACTTTTTTTCGGCAAACTAGCTAATTTTTCATCATTATAGAGCTCTATTATGATTTCTTACATCATAATAGACCAGTATCAAAACTTGTTCTAAAAAGAAAAAAATCGAGAAAAAAATGTCTAAAATGGATAACACCAAAATTTCAGTACTAAAAATGGTGCGCGGCGCGCCACATTTTTCGTCATAACTTTTTTCATCCTCATTCTTTTCCGAAAAACTAAACGGTTCTGAGTTTCGAATCGAAACAGCTATCAAACCATGCAAAGCTCAATGCTGAAAAAAAATTTTCGAAAATTGGTCTGCGGTCCCTAGCGTGCCAAGTAGAGACACATGTCTATTTTTCGGAAAAAATTCCTTCAATTTTTTTTTCGATTTCTGTCAATTGACAGGCTTACATAGACGTGAATCGTTATCAATTTCGAGAATCGAAACCTTAAAAATACGTTCAAACTGAGCTTCAGGGCGACCTTATCGAATAATCAAATTTTTCTTCATTTCGAAATTTTAGCTGTTTTTAACGAGAAAAGCGGGGTTTTTTTGCTTATTTTTTTCTTCATTGAGTTATTAAAAAAATGTGATTAAACATGTAAAAAAATAATTTTTTTCGGTGAAAATGTTTTTAATGAAATAAAAAAAGTTTCTTGAATCTTCTGGCTCGAGCCCGCGCTTTTTTCGAAATTAAAAAAATCAAGGGCTAGGGGGCTTTAGGCCTTCATAGCCAAGCCTGCCTGCTTTTGCCATAAACGCCCAAAAGGCAGAAACGACTTTTTTCCGAAAGTCATGTGGCACGGCGGTCATCATATTATAGAAGAAGGCTTGATGAAGGTAGGAATAATGACTGGAACAAAAAAATGAGCTCGGGTCGGCGAGAGCAAATGCTTAAAAAAACTTTTTGTCGCAGTAATTATTCCTCCACCCTGTATTGTTTAATGTTATCAGATGGAAAAAGATCTGTATATTTTTGAGAGCATCTCACTTTTTAGCAGATTTTTGCGGTAGCTTTTTGAGACCAAGCTTGAATCAGCTTGGTCTCAAAAAGAGAGCATCTCACTTTTTGCAAAAAAATACACCTGGTCTCATTCCGAAATGACCGCAGACCATTTCCTGATAAGAAATATTCTCCATAAATTATCAAATAATCAAAAGATGTTCAATTCATCTTTAGCTGAAAGATTTCTTCATGACAAAGAGAAAAGTGAGATGGTTTATGTGGACTTCAATCTTGAAAAGAGCGGAATTTGATAACCGTGCGCATTTTCCTGATGTTAGAAAGAGCGCGCAATTTCCTGTACAAAATTTGAAAAAAGAGTGCGCATTTTCCTTACGTGCGCACGAGAAAAGAGTGCGCACAGCGCGCACTTTCCAGCATGCCGTTAAATACGGGTACACCCGTTGAGACCCCTGGCCACTATGCGAGGATTCGAGTCCGCAACATCGGTGTATGCACAATTCACGCTCACGAATATTCGCGGGCCCAAAATTCTTTCCTACACTAAGAATAACTGCCGAGATAAACGCGAAAATTTTCTGAAATTCAAGATAAATGCGAGGTCGCGCCGAGATAAATTCAAGATCGGGCATAGAAAAAAGTGAAACTTCCGCCACCGACCTCGCGTTTATCTCGTCACTTGTTCTTAGTGATACCATCAACTCCGCAGTTAGAAAAAAATCATTTTGCAGGTCCGGCTATTCATTTGAGGAATCCCAATTTGATTGGCAGCAGTTTTTTCAGTTTGGAAAAAATAACAGTGGATAATCCTTATAAATTCTGCAAAAATTGGGACCTTATTCGTCTGGAAAATAACGTGACGACAGAAGTGAGGAACTGGCTGGAGAAAGTGGCCAATGAGGTCAGTTCAAAAACGGAAAATAACAGGTTTTCAAGAAGAAAAAAAAAGTATGAATGCCTAACGCCTGGAAAAAGCAAGAATGAATTAGAGACTACCTCTGACTAGGGAGCTACTCGGGCTCGGGTACGCGTATAGTCTGTTCAGGTTTTGAATGCCAAGCAGCTAACTCCACCCCCAAGGCTACAATATCTTTCGCGTCAATGTTTTATCTACAGGTGGAGATGACCCTTCAATAAGGCCGCATTTTTTGCCTTCTTTTTCTATTATTTAGATTAAAAATCGTCCCGCGCGATAAAATATCGACGCGAAAAGATACCGTCTTAGCAGGAGCAGAGTAAGCTGGTTGACATTCAAAATCTGAACAGACTATATCAAGTTGAAAACTGAGGTGGCTTGTAGAATTGGGTAAGAGCTCTTAGATTTAGTAACTACACTGCTCCACATAATTATATATCCACCTAAGATTTTTCGAAAAATCGAATATTTTGAGAGTTTTTGAAAATCTTTTTGTTGTCAAAAGATGGAAAATTTGATCAGATTATTATAGCTATCAACAAAGTTCCTATTGAAAAAAATAAATATTTTTAAAAAAATTTCAATTTCTCAGAAAAAAATCGAGTTTTTCCGTTCCACATAATTATATATTCACCTAAGACTTCAAACTTCTTGGACCTTTTTTCCCGGTTTTTTGTATCAGTTATCATTTTCTCATCATTTTTTTGTTTAAAAAAATAAGAAGAATACGAGCAAAAAGATTTTCTAAAAAAAGTTGAGGAACCTTGGATATGATCAGAAGACGGTCGCGGTGCTGTTTTGTACTCCAGCTCCACAGTCATCAATGTAAGGGTTGAATTTTTCATAATCAGGGTTAACTCAGAAATTTTTGAAAAAAAGTTTATCACAAAAAAAATATTCTTAAATGGGCGAAAAAAATCAAATCTCAAAGCTGGAAAAAAACTTCAGAGAAACAAGAGTCAAAAAGGATATTTCGTGATTTCGATTGTGTTGACTTTCTGTTCAATTTTTCTTCGCTGAATAAGGACAATTATGGTTCATTATATGTTTTAAAACAAAAAAACAACTGTAATCTTTAATCATGAGAAGAAAAAAAGAAATTTAAAATTTGAAGAAAAAAATTCAGATTCCTATGAATTTGACTTGAAAGTTAGTTATTTACCGATTTCGGTGACTCTTCTTTGCTAGAAGCAGGATTTTTTTGATGAGACTAACTAATCTTGAAGTTAAAAACAATTTTATCTCAGAAAAAAATATTACAGAAATGGTCCGAAGACATTTTTAAGCTTCCTATTTTTCGGCAAAACTGCAAAAAAATTCATAAATGTTATCGGAAAAACTCCCTCTTTTCAATGCACAGAAATATTTTTACTGAAGTTTTTTTGAACTTAAATTGTTGCTCACAAGTACAAAGGTACTTATGAAATCGAAATATTCACATCATAATCGATTCAAGAGTAGTTGATGTAATGAAAAAGCACCGCGACCGTCTTCTGATCATATCCAAGGTTCCTCAACTTTTTGGAAAAATCTTTTTTTGCTCGTATTCTTCTTATTTTTTTAAACAAAAAAATGATGAGAAAATGATTTTTTTCGAAAAAAATTGAAATTTTTTTAAAACATTTATTTTTTTCAATAGGAACTTTGTTGATAGCTATAATAATCTGATCAAAATTCCAATCTTTTGACAACAAAAAGATTTTTCAGAAACTCTCAAAATATTCGATTTTTTTCGAAAAAAATCTCAGGTGGATATATAATTATGTGGAGCAGTGTAGAAGGGAGTTCTTCAAAAGTTCTCCAGCAAAAAGCTGAAAAAAACTCGGATTTTTTTCGTCTTTATATAGAGCGGTATTTGCGCTCTGAGGTCTGAAAAACCAGGAAAAATTTTTTTTTCTGTCAGTTTTGACACCGTAGTCATGTTGACATGGACCAGTGCAACTTTTTAAAACAAAAAAAGGAAAAACCAAAAAAATTTTTTTCTTCGAAAAATTTTTCAAACTCCATGCTCATACACATGGAAAATCACGAAAAAAATTTTATGAATAATATTTTTTTGACAAAAAAAGAAGTCCAGGTGTTCATAAAGGGTCAAAACGAAGTTTTTCTCATGTTTCTACGCTTCAAAAACTCAAGAAAGGAGCACTTACACGAAAGTTTCAAATACGGAAAAAAATTTTTGCGGAGGATAGGGACCGAACCTTTGACCTCGTGCTCCCCAGTCGGCCGCCTTTCCACTGCTCCTCGCTGCCGTTTCTTTGACGGTCGCCGACTAGCAATACCACACTGCACGCGCATTCCATTATCATGAGCGAAGATTTTGAAATATCATATCAAGGCTCCCAATTTTTTTTTGAGAAAAATCATTTGATTTTTCGTGACCGGGGGAACAAAGACTATATACCCTCCAAATAAGAGCTCAATCGGAGACATCGAAAATTTCGACTTTTGAGAGTCCATAACTTTTTTCACAGACGTATTGGGCAACTTTTGAAACCAGATTTGGAATCAGCGTAAAAAACTACATCTAGTTAACTTGGCCGCATTCAGGAGTCCCATAGCGTCCCGAGACCATTCCCTGGTCAGAAATAAATTTGAGTTTTTCTATTTTCACATGTCATTTCTGGTCGGACGCTTTTACTAACGACCTCTCGAAATCCGTCCAAACTCTGTTTGTTAAACTTGCTTTCCTAGACCAAAGAGCACGAAACAATTTTCGAATTTTCGAACTCTATCCTATTCAGACGCTCGCCGTGTGTAATACTGTTACGACGCCAGCGCCAACGGCAGTACCGTCAAACACCAGAACGACGTCGACGATCAGCAGCCTTTTCACGACATCGGACGACACCGCGGGTGTCCCGCCACATTGTGCTCAGAGCGTGGCTTCCGCCGCCGCCGCTGCCTCAGCCTCAGCCAAGGAAAAGGAATGTCCTAGCAAAAGTAATTTAGATGGTTTTTGTGTTTTCAACGGGGAACCGAAATCCAGACGGGCCGCTGATCGGAGCGGTAATAGTCATTGTGGTGCTTTTGGTCCTTCTGGGCATTTTGGTGTACATGTACATCAGGCTCTACTTCTTCAGGAAGAACGAGGACGCCGCTTTTGCCGCATATGGTAACTATTTCATGTAGTTTAATTAAGCTAGCGTTTGAAAAAAAAACTGTCAAGTTTTACAATACGGTTGGTGATTATTTTCAACACTACTAGCTGGAATATCCCTTGTTGTAGTATCAAAGATTCCTGAAAGTCCTATTCGCAAACTTTCTCAATTTTCGTGAAATGAGGGCTCAAACTTTGACAATGACCTTTTTCAACGATTTCTTTGGTTTTTTTTTTGAACTTTCTATCTAGACAACTAACAGGATTTTATATTCTTAATATCAATAAGTATTCTGGTCGATTTTCAGAAAATTTTCAAGCCCAGGTAGTATGACCTTCTTTGTCAATAGTATACACTGCGCGTCATAGTTACGTCATAGTTACGCACCCCCATTTTTGAAGTTTTCAAAAGATACGTTGAACTTCTTCAATCAAACCTTTTTTATGATAAACCTTGGCTAAAATAACTAACATCGGAAAGAGAACTACAGAAAGCTCAGTACGAAAAAATTTCAAAATTCGTCAGAAATAGTTTTTTGACCGCGGGTCATAATTATAAACGCACCCTGGATCAGCGTTCATTTTTTGCTTGTGTTAGAACTTTTGCCTTTCTCATTGATTTAAAAGCAAAAATCAAGTGAGTAGGAGGCCACATCATTTTAAGTAACTATGATTCGAGCAATTTTATTTTCAAACCATGCGAAAAGCGAAAAAAAAAAATCGAAAGTTTCAGAAAAATCTACCTCTTCTGAAACTATCAAGAGATTTATATTTGAGTTTGCGTATGAACATTTTGAATGACGTTGTTTTGAACAATATCTGAAAATTTCGAGACGAGAAATTGCTTCTACGGTACGAAAAATGTCTTTGAATCAGGTGTATTCACAGTTCAAAGGACGTCTGGCGTTTTTTAAACCGGCCTCTTCCCCCAATAAAATTTTGACATGATGTTTCTTATATGAAAATAAAATTGCCTGAATCATATGTACTTAAAAATGCTGTGGCATCCTACTCACTTGATTGTTGATTTAAAAATCAAAAAGAAAGGCAAAAACGTTCTAACACAAGCAAAAAAATGAACGCTGACCCAGGGTGCGTCTATAATTATGACCCGGTCAATAAACAATTTTTGACGAGTTTTAAACTTTTTTGGTACTGAGTCTTCTGTAGTTCTCTTTCCAATGTTAGTTATTTCAGCTAAGGTTAATCATAAAATAGGTTTGATTGATGAAGTTCAACGTATCTTTTGAAAACTGCAAAATAGGGGTGTGTCCATAACTATGACGCGCAGTGTATATACTTTGCGGTAAAAAAATTTTCACAGAATCGGTAAAAATAGCTAGGAAAACTGATTGTTTTTTTCCAATTTTTTTTCCAATTTTGAAATTCTCTAGAAGAATGTGAATCTCTACAGCGGTTTCAAAATCTGCCAGACAGCTTTCTTGGAAATTTTTTCTACCGGAGTCAATATAGACTGGACAAGGAAATTTTAACAATTAAAGAAATTCGAAAAATGTTTTTTTAGCGTTTTTTGCACACTGTGATTTTGAAAAAACTCATAAACGGAGTTTTTTTAATTGTTCAAATATTCATAAATATCGAGACGATTTTTCATAAGACGTTGAATTTTTTTGAAAAAAATAATAGCATTTTTCATAGTAAGAAAAATTTTTTTACGCCAAATAAATTGACCGCATCATACTAAAGGCACTATTAACTATTGAATTTCGTATCTCGAGCAAATTTCGTCCCTTTTTCGAATATGCAATCTACTGCTGACAGGGGAGATCATTATATAGCCCGTTCACGGCTGGCTTGGGACAGCGAACGGGCGGTTTAACTTGCGCGGAGACGGTAGATCATGGCGGGCCATACATGCGCCTTCAAAAATATCCTCATTTGATGAATTATTTTTTAATTCAATTGAATTTACTTTTTCGTTTACATTAGTTTCATGAGTTTTCAGGTTTTCTTTCAATCAACGAAATAAAAAATAAAAAGGAAAAAGTCATAAAATGAGCCTTTTGTGGAAGGCGCATTGATAGTACCTTCGCCACGAAAAATTAAAACCGCCCGTTCGCTGTCCCAAGCCAGAGCCATAGTGTAAAATGTTTAATTCTTCAAAAAAACTTGCGGGAATTTCTCTGGAAGGTCGCAAAGACAGTTTCTACCTGCCCAAACCTTGAGTTTACGAGATAAGAATTGCAAAATATTGAATGCAGGCCCTAATAATGTGTCGTAAAAAAATACTGAAAGTTCATATCTCCAAAAAAAAAGAGAAAAAAATTGCGCAGGTCTGAAGGATTTTCACCTAGTCTTCCAGAGAGCAAAACTTTGAAACTTTCTTTTCAAACCGCGACGAAATTCGCACATTATTTGTGAGCGAGATACGCTAGTCCATAGTATTCTTTCAGTATCATATATCGCGCAACTTATAAATTCGATGATCTTCTTCCAATCCGGCAGAGACAGTGCAATGCGTTAGTTTCCCTATTCGCATCGCTACTTTTATCAGAGTTTTTGTAGTTCATGGCGTTATGATGGATGGTCTCCAGAAGAAGAAAGTTCCACTGCGTAAGTCTGGTTTAACGTTGAATAAGTTCCATATTCCAACAAAAAAAAATATCATAATTTTAGTTTGCAGTTTGAATTTTTGGAAAGAAAATATCATCACTTTATGTACCAAAAAAAATACTATAACAGTCTCCACTTTGGTATTTTTGCGTCTTTCTCTAAAAAACCGAATAAGGGCCCCACCACCCTTTACAACGAGAAAAAAATTTCTCCAAATTTTTGTGATCGGCTTGATAAACGGCAAAGTGTTATATGGTGTGTGATAAGATCATTTCTTAGCCTGTCCAAAAAGTCTTCAAGTTCAAGTTCAACCGTCAGCCGAATGGTCTCAAAAATTACTTTTTTACTTGAAGCGCCGGTGTACGGTGTTTGAATTTGGTTGCGGTTTTTTTTTGGCGTTAGTTCCAATTTTGCAGCATGTCCTTTATAGTCGTCAATTTCAACCGTTCAATCTTTTTTCAACCGATGACCTGGTGTTAGACAGTTGAGAAAATTTTCGGTCGAAATTCAAACGTTTCGGAATAAAAAAAGTTCAAACGGGTCAAAGTTGGAATTTGACGGCTATAAAGTCCTTATAAATTATTTAGTTCGAAGGCGGCAAAATAAATTAAAGAGTTGGGCACAATTAACAAAGAACGTGACCAAGTTTTTGGAACAGAGTTCATGGATTCACGCCAAAAAGGGCCAATAACATGATCACTGTCATATCATCATCTTTTTCTAGAGATGCTTTCGACAAAGTTCCACGATCGGGCCATCGGACGCAAGAAGAAATTCGAAGAAAAGCAGCCTCTAGACCCGATAGCGGACTTCTTTTCGGAGCTTCCATATCGCTGCAGTGAAGAACTTGAGTCTAGTGGTAAACGGGAACTGACGGAGGAGTTTATCGAAGCGGGTCAGAAATTCGAGGCCGTCAAAAAAGCGCACCAAGCTGGAAAGGAGTTTGAACCGCCGCAGGGAACTCGTATCTGGTCGGATCTTCGACTGCAAGATCGTGATAAAATGGAGATAGCCAAACTGCCCGAACAGCAAATGGTCGAGAGGAAGCAACTACGTTATGTGCAAAAATGTCCACCGGCGGCTTTCTTGAAAAGACGGCAAAAAGCTGGACTTGATCCGCCTTCCAAAGCTACCACCAGCGTCGTCAAAACTGAAGAGTCCAAAATGAAAGAGAAGAGAAAGGAGGATCCAAAGGCAGAAGAGAGGAAAAAGGAAGGCCCAAAAGCAGAAGAGAAGAAAAAGGAGGATACAAAGGCAGAAGCGCCGAAAAAGGACGAACAAAAGGCAGAAGAGAGGAAAAAGAAGGAAAAAAAGACAGAAGGGCCGAAAAAGGACGACGCAAAGAAAGAAGAAGCAGCCAAACAAGGAGATGCGCCTATTAAGTGCGTGAAACCTGAAGATATTGTGAAGAGGGTTCTGAAAGAAGATCAGCCCAAAATGGTGTTCATTATGCCGCACGAGAACATCCAGCTCGAGAACTGTCATCCGCTGTCTCTTTCGAGCCCAGTTCAAGCGAAGTACGACACGTTCAAGACCAAATCGAAAGTTTTGAGTAGGTTTTTTTTCCTTTCTTCGACAGTAGTAATTCACTCACAGTTCAGGAATTTTATAAGATACGTATTAAGTAAGGAAGCGCTTGGAAGGATAATGTATGAAATTTTGCCTTCAATTGGAAGTGAGGGCAGATTATTCAAAAATTGAGAGATCAAGAGGGCGATGGACGGAAAAATATTTTTCGCATTCCGTGTTTTTCGATGTGGCTTCTTAAAAAACATACTTTGGTTCAATTTTTCACTGTCTTATCATTGAAGACGACAAAATTTTTTTTGCTTATAGTCTGTGTACCAGAATTTCACCAAACGACATTCCGCTATGCCGCTGCGCGCCTTTTGCGAACCTTTGGTCGCGCTTTTTAATCTTTTTTTGAGGTACTCTACTTTCATGTGCTCCCATAGCAACAACAATAAATTGAAAGTGTGACCTAGTTTCGAAAGACGCTTCGCGAAAGCACGCAGCGGAACTGCGGAATGTCGTTCGGTGAAATTTCAAGTCGTGGTACACAGGCTATACGTGTTCTGAAAATATGGTCGATGCTTTTGCGTTTTTTGCTCGTTGAAGGGGAGAAAAGTTTTTCGAAGAAATCCGAATAAGTGTCAAAAGATAGATTCAACCTGATGAGCATCTTACGCGAAAAAAAATGTTCCATGACTGAAAACTTTGAACGAAAAAGAAGGCGATTTGGCACGAAAACAGTTGATAATCTTTGTTGAAGCCAAATGTTCGCTTTTTTTAAGCAGGTTATCAGGCGCTCACCTCAGCTCAAACTACTATAATAAATATTTGATAAAAATTCATGGGACTCCATTGGAATGATCTTTTTTTCTGAAAACTATCTTACGCTGTATCGAAATTTGCGCCTGTGAGAAAGAAACCTTGTGATACCTCAAATGTGAAGAAGAAATTTTTCAGAAGATACGTTCGCAGTTTTTTCGTTGGTACTGCAAGAGCTGCAGAAATACTATCATGGACACGCAAAAGGTATAAAGATGCTGTGAGAGAGAGAAAACGTTATTTTTGTTTTGATTTCAGCTTGGGAGCTTATTAACGCAAACGCCAACCAAGTAGAGATCCAAATGGTAGAAAGAGTGAGAAACTTCGCTTATTTTGATATAATGAATCCAACTTGGCCCGGTACTTGTGCTGTTGTAAATCGAAAGGATAAAAATACCGCAAGCAAACGTCCCCTCTACGAAACTCCATGTGAGTTTTTACGAAGAAGTTTCAAAGTCAACTTTCTACCCGCTTGAAATGTTGTGGAAAAAGTTTGAAGAACAGTTTTGGTTTCTTGATGCTAATACCTGAAACAGACACATACTGTTTCTTCGTTTCCCGCAGCTAGATAACGACAAAATAGTGTGTGTGAAAGAAAGAGTTGTAATGACCTTTATGCGTCCCATGTCAGAGAGAATGTCATTCTTCTGACCGTTCGTTCAACCGACTAGTTTCTGAAATTTTCAAAAATGACCGACCATTTTTGAAATGACATTCCGAACATGCAAAAAACAACATGTCATTCAGAAGTGACATGTAGAAATGTTGGAACTTCAACCGTTCGACCAATGACCATTTATTATGACATGTTGAAAAAAATATTGATCGAACGGTCAATTTTTCTAAACTATAATCCACCTTAATGAAACCTTTGCAGTCAAAAAAATCTGACTCTTTCAATTAAAAATACCAAACTCTGAGTTAAAACTTCAAATCAAAAATTTATTGAATTGGGGATTAAAAATCGGGAAAAAGTATTTCGGATCACAGTGGACGGAGGGGAATGTTGGAAAAACAGCTCTCTGTTGCTGAACAAGTCGAGAAACTCTTTGAAAGAGGTGGTAAACGTGTTGGGTTGAATCTCGGCATTGAAGGTCAGACAAGTCGTTTTTCAGTAGCCTACGACCATCTCAAAAGGTTGCGCGTTGCCGCCAACCCAAACGAGAAGCGGCTTCTGGAGCTGTTGGAGGCCGGACACGCAGAGATGGCGAACCAAATGCACGCTGAAGGTCTCAACTACTACTACTGGCACAAAAAGTTCGTCTTCCCTCTTTCTTCGCAGCTTTCGACACTTGAAAAAAATAAAAAAATAAAAATTCGTATTCAAAGACTTGAATAAAGAGCAGCAACAAACTTCATAATTTTTCAGAATTCATAAATGTTCCACCCACGGTTCTGCCAGGAGAGTCCCTCGGCGACGCTGCTAGGAGAATTTATAGTAAGTTTATTCATTTCGGTTTGTGATTCTTGTCTCTGTCATTTTAGTGCGCAAACTAAAGGAGTTTCAAGTTTGATCGAATAAGATATTTTTTCAGGGTTTGAAGATCGTTACAAGGAAATCGAAGATCAACTGGCCTACGTTCGTAACTTGGCACATCCAAATGAAAAACCCCGGAAACTGATGAAAGAACTTGCCCCGACCACTGCGAAAACGTCAGAAAAGAAGAACACGAAGGACAAGAAGTCGGAGGAAAAGAATTCGAAAGAGAACAAACCGAAGAAGGCCTGAAAGATGGCAAAAAAAATTTCGTTTCAATGTTTATTCAACCATTTTTCAAATAAATATATTTGTTACACCCTTCCAAACTTTGAATTTTTTTGTTTGTGAGCATATATAGAATTGCTTGAAAAATTCGTCAAAAGGAATTATTTTTGAAAATGAAGAAATCTCAATATTCCATCAAGGGGCCCCGTTGGATCTTTTTAGTTGTTAAAATATCTAACCTTCGGAGTCAAACATGTGGAACTCCTTAAAAAATCGCTATGATTAAAAAAAGTAAAGCTTCGTATCGATTTGCGCGGCACTATTTGTATTGTTTCAATCTCGAAATTTCTCAAAAATCTCGAAAATTCGAGTCTCGTGCATCCGGATTCAGTACTTGTGCGGTGATCTAGGGAAGAGGAATCGCGGTCGTGTTAACCCCATCCCAGAACAGAACAGTCTGTCCCCCTCGAAGCCTTTTTTTGAGAGCGTTTTCGGTTTGGAAGCATTTTTTTCGCGAGAAAGTATTTTTTCGACGTTTTTGAGGGCTGTTGATGAGCGAATTGGGAGTTGAAAAAGGAAAAAAACGAGAGAATCTCATTTTTTTCTTGTTTTTTAATGCAATTTCCACAAAGCGCAATACAGGACAAGCGTGACTTTTTTTGTTTCGATGTTTTTTTGAAATTTTTTTATACACTAAATCGTGGAACTTTTTGATTAGTAAACAACGTCGTATAAATTTTTGTAGGGTAAAAATATTTGGGATAGTTATGATAAGCTATAACAGCTGTAGATAGCCAAGAACCTGTTCAATCGTCGGTATTTGATAGGTTGAACTCGAAGAACTATCCAAAGCGGCGCCTTGGACTATCCAGTGATACTGCGCTCAAAAAAACTTTTGTAGACGTCTTTCTTATAATCGCGATCCAAAAACATCGTAGTCTATTCAAAAAAATTCAAAAAAATCTCTAAAGACTTTTTGATTCAAATTCCTAGTGAACCTTTTTAGAGCCGACAGTTTCCCCTGGACTAAGTGAAGGAACGAAATTGAAAGACTATAAGGACCTTCTCAAGGTAATCTGTATTAAAAAATATATATATTATCAACTTCAGTGTCAGAGATGTTCAAGAGAGGAGAAATATAGTGTCTACGAGTTTGCAAGCGAATATCCGGATCAAAGATGAAATTTATCGAAGACGAGAAGAATTCGGACCCATCGGACAGAGGGGAAACCGAGATCGGACCAAAAAGCGACTTTTTCATCAGTATGTGCCCGTTTTTTTCTGAGTAGCAAGCTGTAAGAGGCGTTCTATATCTTTCGCTGAGGACTTTTGTAGATCTTATTGGAGGAGAACAAGAAGGTTCATAGTATTGAAGGACTTGAAAGGGAGAACCAAAGTCACTATCAATGTTTTCGAGCACTCTTTTCCCATGTTTTGATGTTCCGAGAAACAAAGTTGTATTTTTTTGCCGTTTATTCAAAAAGAGTCAGTTATAAAAAAAGAAAAAAATAAAGCCAGTTGGGATCAGTAGGGTGGGACGGAGTTAGTCGTTCGCGGCCGTTTCTTCCTGCGTGGGACAGATATCTTCCATGATCTCCTGAAAAAGTTCTCTCAAAAATAGTGCAGGTGAAGGCGTAACTGACTGCGCGGCTGACGGGCTTTCGACGGCGCAATTTCGTCGAGACATCCTTCTTATTGAGCTCCCCCTCTTCATTTCCCTGTAGTGACAGGAGTTTATTGCTCGACAAAAATTCAGATTCGAAAAAGTTTTTGTCATGGAACTAAACTCTTTGCTTTCCAGAGTTACTTTATTTCATCACCTTTCGGCATTAAATTTTAACAATTCTTTAATCTAATGAATGTGAAAAAAATAAGTAGAGACGAATTATCAAATTATAATTCAAAGGATAGATTGGATTTAAAATATATCCCGCAGCCGTTTCGAGTCTTAAAAAGTAGACGGCGTAGGAGGTGACACTCATTAGCACTTTCCTCATGGCATTAGTTCAAAAAAGAAAGAAAAGGATAATTTGCGACTAACTTAGGCGCGTAAATCATTTAGAAGAAATATGTGGAAATGATGAGAAATGAAATGAGAAACAAAGCAAAATGAAACCATATTAGGTCTTGGATTGAGGTGGAAAGAGAAGATATGCAGAAATGCAGAGTTAGATAAAGTTAGAGCGAATGCAATGGTAGATAGAAGTTAGGTATAGCCTATTCCGCGCCAGCTTGTCACGTTTTTTTCTTTCCGCCAAAAGACCTTATACCAAATTTGATCAAATTTGACCAACTTCGCTTCACGAATTTAGATTTTTTTGTTCTTTTTATCGAAGTTTTTTGAGAGTTCCGAGCGAGGCGGTCACGTTTTTTTGAAGAAAAAGCAGAAAAATACCCAAAAAACAGCTTTCTTCTTAGTAATTCTGCTTTCGAAACAGCAAGAAACAAAGGTCTTGAAGCGAAGTTGGTCAAATTTGATCTGGCCTTTTTGGCGGAAAGAAAATCGTGACAAGCTGTCGCGGAATGGCCTATAGTTAAAGTACGTATTAAATACCGTTGCGGAATTTTTAATTGAGAACTTTGAATATTGTTTTTCCTGCGAATAGAATTTAGTTTTAGGAATTATTTTTAGTTTGACATATTTTTAAGAAGAGTTTAAACTTTATATCTATTGTTTTTTTAAATGTGGAAATGCAGTCTACTGTTTGGTCAATAAAGTCAATAAGTCTTGTACAATGTCACTTATCGATTCAAATCAAAAAATTATAGTTCTCCGAAAAGTTTCTCACTAAAGTTATCACAAAAGATTCGAAATAAGTTTGTACACTTTCATTTTTCGAGGTCGTATAAACTCACATGGCTCGCTTCCGTATCTGCCGTGACCGTCTTCGGTTCTCCTTCGGCCTGAAGAAATATTTAAATCAGAAACTAGTGTAGACAAATGAACTGACTTTCCTGTGGTCCTTGTAGAGGCCTTTGATGAAGTCAACCGTCTGAAACTTTTCTTGAAATTCGACAAAATTAACTTTAAAACCGTATTCATGTCCGTCCTATCTCTCATCATGTATGTCCACAAATTATTTTTCGACGAATGAACGGAGAGCCGGCGGAGCGCGAGTCTCTTCGAGATTGTTCAGCTCTCCGGTCAAAATCTAAACTCAGAACCTTGTCTGACAAAAAAACGAGTGATTTTAGTATGTTTAGAATTTTCTACACGTTTGCGCTATCATGAAGTCTAATTCTTGATGTTGTGTGAAACTTTCATTTAGGTCTTCATTATGTCTGGACCATTTCATAGAAATTCAAATGTCACCCTAAAGTGTAGATGAAGTAAAAGTTTTTTTTTCTTCTAGTTGAAAGAAAAAGACTATGTTGCGAGTCCAAAATCGGAGACTGCGGAGAATATGAGAGAAAGCTTTTAAAAATTGAAAGTTTTCTTTCGTGATTCCGCCTCCTCTCATCACTTTTAACTGGAAATTAATCGAAAAGAATGGAACAGACCTTGTCTCTGGCATCCGCTGATTTATATTCTTCGTACGGCATCATTCCACCTGAGAAGATTTCGTAAATCAAGTTCTAAAATAATCTATTTGTCTCCCATTATAACCAAGTGAACTCACCCCATAGGCAAAAACAGTCGGACACTTGGCCAAATACGAAAAATAGACAAGGTCTCCGGCGACAAGTATCTCGTCGGTAATTTCTCCGCGTTTTTCATATAAAAATAACTGCCAGAAGTCGCGAGACCAAAGTCAGCGACCTTCAACTAGAAAATATTTCTTTCCAGTATCTGTTGATAATCCCGATCAAACCGTGAGGTCGGCAGTTAGCAAGCAATTTCGGGCGGCTACGTCCCTGTGAAGGACGTCCATTTCGTGTAGGTAAGCTATGCCTTTCGCAGCTTCAAGGGCGAACTTCAGAAGGCGGGTGTCGTTGGAACCGTCGAAGTTGTTGATCAAAAAGCTGTCTAGAGACCCGCCTGAAATTAACGCTTCTTTAGGATCAGCTTTTCAATATAAGTTTATAGCGTTCATACAAAATTGCGACTTCATTCTACTTCAGCCCCCAACAACAGATGGAATCTATAATTTAAAAAAGTAGAGTTTTCTTTTCTCAATTTTTGCGATCTAATTTGAATAACAGCTTTTTTTTGAATGTGTTTGCAATAGCGAAAACGCTCACCGTCCATCATCTCCATTAGAATCATGAATGGCTTTTTGTCGATAGCCCACCCGTAAATTTCGATTACGTGGTCATGATGGAGCGACAACATGATGCGTGCTTCTTCGAGCATTTTTTCACTTAACTGAGAGGAGTTTGGTGCGTCCTTCAACAACTGCAAGAAGAGAAGTTTTTTTTCTAAGAACACTCCTTGAATTGTATTCACCGCTTTCACTGCGACTTTCAGTTCGGCTATTCCTATTGCATTTATTTTTTTCCGAGGAAGACTTCTCCAAAGGCGCCTGATCCGAGCTGAAAAAGAGATTTCATTATGGCAGATAGTTTTTTCGAAGACTACAGCAAAAACGGACTTTTTTAGTTCGAGATACTTTTTCTCAGCCAATTTCGAAATTAGAATTGACTGTTCCCTCTCTTTTCAGTCACTTAAGTGATTTATTTAATTTTCTTGATGAAAACATGGGCTCAGTTCATAATGTAGTGAGGGTTTATATCAGGTTGTTTAATCAGTTATTCGATGTGTTGTTGATCTGAATTTTATGGCGTGTTCTTCGGAGAAAGTGGGAGTTTCTCCAAAACGAAAAATGTCTTGGAGCAACTTTGGTGTGCCGAGAGACATGCTTTCGCATTCTGAAACATGTTCCGTTTTTCCGATAAACACGTAGTTATCCAGATCATTGAAAAAAAGTCAACAATTTAAAGATTGAGAAACTCTCATCATTATTGTTGCTGAAACTGTTCACGGATCATTCATTTTCGTTTCTTATGAGACTTTTTACGCTTTTTTTATAACTCACCGTCTTCTTTTTTTCGATTTGGTTGCTTCTAAACTCGAAGTAGCGCTTCAGACACGGGCGTCGTAAATTTATTTTTTTAGTGACTCCTAAAAAAACGACATAAATAATTAGAACTTTTCAATTTCAATATGAGTTAATTAAACTACTCGTTTTTTTCATTTCTCGAAACTTTCCGAAATCTTACTCATTTTTCTCTATCAATAGCTTTTTACCTTGTTTGGGTGCAGTAAGTAGTAGCTTATCAGTTTTTTTCCAAATTGTCGAACGCTATTTGGCCGTCGATGGACACGCCAACCTTGCTGCGGCTAACTATGTAATCCTGGATCCTCACGGGTTCACGGCTCTCATAGGTATCGTCGAGGTCTGAATTCGGAAGTGAAAGGCTTGCGAGATAAGATTGGAACTGTCAAAAAGCTAAATGAAAAAAACAGAAAAACCTCATTGAAGAACTTTTTGGTATACAAAGTTTAAAAACTAAGAAGCGAAAAAAATCTTTTTCAACCGCTATGAATTTGACTTGGAAAAATTTTACAACTATGGAAAAGATTTTTAAAAAATTACCATCACGCTCATCTCTCGTATATTTCAATAGCACGCCGACTGACAAAACTGTGAAATCATTTTCCTTCGTCTGAATAACCTTATTAAGTAGTCTAAACTTCCATTTTGCTTCACCTTCCCACTTTCTGACCAAAAAAATCGCCTGCCCTTCGAATGAAAGCTCTGGTTTCCGTTTGCGGTAAGTAGCTGAACACAGTCGATTTCGATGTGGTACAATCAAAAATGTTTTACCCATGAAAAATAGAGATTTTTCTAAGAAAGTCTCGTCGTCTATCTGGAAATTTCTCTCTTCTCTCAACGGAACGATTATGTGGTGCAAATCGTCAGCTGTAAATCGAATAGAGAATCCCAAAAAGAAAAAAATTGAGAAATCTATTAAAAACAATGTTTTTAGTTCTTCTATTTTTCTGAAAAATTTGGTGTCTTTATCTGTAGAGGAGGAGCGGATAAAAAAAGTTCTTATGCGAAACTTTGAAAAAAACATTTTTACTCTGGTTTTTGGACAAAATATAATAAAAGCGACTTCAAATTTTATCACACTGTTTGCTCATTTCCTACAAGCTCACATGTTTTTTTGAAAATATTCCAAATAACTACTGATTTTTCAAGCTTTATTAAATTATGACTGGAACTGGACCTTATTCTCAAAATAAATCGATGAATGAGGATTTACCGAAGAAATTCTCTCTTCATTAAGATCTGCAGTTTTTTTAATATAGTTTGAACAATTTCAAACGTGTTTTTAACTGCGAACCAGGGTTGTGCGAGATGGGACTTTTTGAGTTCGAGACGAGATCGAGACGAGCAAATTTTCTCAAAAAATTTCGGGACGAGAGCGAGACGAGATGGCGTGTTGTCTCGATCTTTCGAGACGAGACATTTTCTAAGACCCGTCTCGAAAAATTGAGACGAGATCGAGCGAGAAACTTTTCAGAAATTTTCAGACAACAGTTCTAAAAAAAGTTTTTTTTCCGTTTTGCGCCTGGTTTCCTTCAAAAAAGTAGAATCATTATCATATTAACGGCAGAATATATTTCATGAACACAATTTTTAAAAAATGTTCTCTCAGAAAGTAACCAAACAAAAAAGTTACACAGGCCTAATTACATTCAAAATTTGGAGTTGACCAGTTAAAGTCACCATAAAAAAGCTCGTATCTTGGTAAAATCGTTGTAGGATCCATTGTTTCTAGGGGCTTCCGGAATACCATTTTGCCTATTTCGTAGCATAATTTTAAACGAACAACGATACAATTTTGAAACCGTCCAAATAACTCAGGCACTGACGGCGTGTTTGTTGCCAAAAGTGAGCACGCGCGGGGTGTCCCTTCTATTTTTAAGTTTTTTTAACTAATTAAAAGTTATTAATTGGCTATTTCTCGGTGGTATGAACCACCAGCGAAAGTTCGAACGGCGACTTTTTCCGATTTTTTTCATATCGCTAGGGAACTTTCCGACGGCCACTTTTCCGACGGATTCCTTTTCCGACTTTTTCTCCCTTAAGTTTTTCGGTTTATAAAACATCTATAAACATTGTTTTTCTACTTCTTTGTGTTTTTAATCATTAACCAACTGCCTAAATTATATAGGGAGATTTAAAACGAAAAGTTTATCGAGAAAAAAAGTCGGAAAAAGATTCGTCGGAAAGGTGGCCGTCGGAAAGTTCCCCAGCGATATTAAAAAATCGGAAAAGTCGCCGTTTGAATTTTCGCTGGTGTTTTTTTCATACCACCTATTTCTCGTGTCTGTTCTTCTTTTCTCATTGCACTGCTCTAACAAAAAATGCGGTGCACCCCGCGTTGAACTTTACTGTACACCCCGCAGTGTAACCAGGGGTGCACCGAAAAGTTCAACGCGGGGTGCACCCAATCACGCTGAGTTCAACGAGGGGTTCACCCCGATGGCCGGTTCGACGCGGGGTGCACCGCAACTTTTGTTAAAGTGGTCCAGTTTACGAAAATTCGAACGTACTTAAATTTGCAATACCAAACTTTCACTTGAAAATTTTTTTTTCATAATGTTGTTTTGAAGTGCTCCAAAAAGCTTTAAAAAAGTAAGTTTTTCAAAAACCCTAAAAAAACCGTGTTCTACAACATATTTGATTTCGAGAAAATTTCCCCCTAACGCTCATCGAACTCAGCCTAAACCCAAATGGCGCAGAACAAGTCTGCGCCTAATGAAGAAAATATAAATCAATGAATTATTTGTTGATTTTTTTCTAAAAATCTGCCTCTAGGTTGGAATTCATAACTCGAATTAGTTTCATCGGTGATGAGAGAGAGAATGAAATGTAAAAAAATAACGCTTACTGTCTCTCATGGCGACCATCTTCTTTCTCTCTTCGGCTGTCATAAGTTGTCCCTCCCTAATTCCGCCGCTCCCTTTTCCTTCCGTTGATTTTATTTCCGATAGCACCTTGTCTTCTGTTTTGGGCAACACTCCGCTATGTGCGGCCTCGCTTCCCTCAATCTCGTACCCAGGTGGTGCTAAAAAACTCGAGTGATACAGAATTGACTCAAAAGCAATTAGGTCCTAACTATAAATAGTCTGATGGGATAAGTAATTCATTTCAAGTTAGATGACTCTGAGTTTAATCGAAAAGGAAGTCTTTTATTTTTGAAATGCTATTTGGACATCATATTCGATTTGACTGTAAAATTCATTGATTTTAAATATCCACGTTTTAAATCAAAATTCAAATCGGAACGGGTCATTTCTACACAAAAATTACTTCTTTTTTCAGTGTTTTTAATTATACTTTTCGTTTCTCTTATCTTTCTCAATTTGTTCAGTGCTACTAGCTCAACTTGTCTTACTAGTATACGATTTTCAATTGATTAAACATAATATACCCTCTTGCTTCGAATTTTTGATGTTGCCGTTGGCTAGGTTGGGACTCGTCGGTTCACACGGGGTTGTTGGAAGAGTTTCCGATCCGCCTTTAAGCCGAAACATTCCATCACTCACCTTATGGATGATGTTCTCTAAAAAATTCTTCTCATAAAAAATACTGATAAACTGTAGAGTTGAAGGAGTTCGAGGCTCGAATATAAATTTTCCTATATAGTATTGCTCTTTTCGTCTCGAAACGTTTTTGAATCGATTCTTTGTAAGTTTATCACTTTTCTGGTTGCTTTTCGACTATAAATAGTCTGATGGGATAAGTAATTCATTTTAACTTAGATGATTTCAATCAGATCTGAGTTCAATCGAAAAGGAAGTCTTTTATTTTTGAACTGCTATTTGGACATCATCTTCGATTTTACTGTAAAAATATCTACGTTTTAAAGCAAAATTCAAATAGGAACGGTCCATTTCTACACAAAAATACTTCTTTTTCAGTGCTTCTAATTAAACTTTTCGTTTCTCTTATCTTTCTATCTCAGATCTGCTGATCAGTATTTAATTATTCGAAATACACTGGAAACCGCTTTTCGTACAGTTCGTGCGCATCAAAAAGCAGCTATAATCTGTTCAGGTTTTGAATGTCAAGCAGCTAACTCCACCCCCCTGGCTACAATATCTTTCGCGTCAATGTTTTATCTACAGATCACGATGGCCCTTTAATAAGGCTGCATTTTTGACTTTTTTTGCTATCTTTTAGATCAAAAAAGATCAAAATTAGTCCCGCGCGATAAAACATCGACGCAAAAAGGTACCGTCTCAGCAGGGCGGAGTTAGCTAGTTGACATTCGAAATCTGAACAGACTATATCAGATTGAAAACTGACATGGGAGGTCATTTTAGCGTAGGGTTCAGTATTTTTTATAAATTTGCTCAAACAATCTTTGATGGATTGGGAATCGATCCCCCATAGTCGCTACCTGCACAAACTTTTTGTTTTGGAGATATGATTTTTCAAAGATTTTATCCTTAACCATATGGCCATGTGACGCCGTTTGGAAGCAATGGGGCCGCGCCACCAACTACTGCATGGCAGCTGGGAGCGTGCTGCAGTGGCAAGCGTGTCAGCCTGCGGAGCCTATGATGAAGGTTCAAATCCTTTTTGCCGCTAACTTTTTTGCCATTATTTTTTAAGAGTTCTGATGAGAATATAAAAAAATTTCATGAGTAAAACCTCTCCAAATAAGTTCGATAGCTATTTTTCTTTCTGAAATCGCTTATGGACAATAGTTATGAAAACTTACCTGTCATCCGAGTTTTATTGAAAAATTTCCAAACCCTATTTCCATCCTAATCAGATCAAATCTAAAAAAATCTTTTTGAGCAAAATGTTTTTTTGGGAAAAATTCTCTGATGATGTGAAGTCCGCCACAACTTCAGAAAGTTTCCATAACTATTGTCCATAAAAAAAGCGATTTTAGAAAGAAAAAGCTATCGAACTTATTTGGAAAAAGTTTTACTTATGAAATTTTAATATTCTCATCAGAACTCTTAAAAATAATGGCAAAAAGTTAGCGGCAAAAGGATTTGAACCTTCATATTAGGCTCCGCAGGCTAATACGTTAACCACTGCACCGCGCTCCTAGCTGCCATGCAGTGGTTGGTGGCGCGGCCACATTCCTTCCAAACGGCGTCACATGGTTAAGGATAAAAACTTTGAAAAATCATATCACCAAAACAAAAAATTTTTGCGGGTAGCGACTATGGGGGATCGATTCCCAGTCCATCAAAGATTGTTTGAGCAAATTTATAAAAATTTCTGAACCCTACGCTAAAATGACCTCCCATGTGAGGTGGCTTGTAGAATTGGGTATAGCCTATTCCGCGCCAGCTTGTCACGTTTTTCTTTCCGCCAAAAAGACCGTATACCAAATTAGATCAAATTTCTGCTCTTATAACGGCAAGAAACGAAGGTCTTGAAGCGAAGTTGGTTAAATTTGACCTGGCCTATTGGCGGAAAGAAAAACGTGACAAGCTAGCGCGGAATGGCCTTTAAGAGCTCTTAGATTTAGTAACTAGAAGGGAGTTCTTCAAAAGTTTTCCAGCAAAATACTGAAAAAAACCCTTTCGCGTCGATGTTTTAATGCGCGGGACTAATTTTGATCTTTTTTGATCTAAAAGATAGAAAAAGAAGTCAAAAATGCAGCCTTATTAAAGGGCCATCGTGATCTGTAGATAAAACATTGACGCGAAAGATATTGTAGCCATGGGGGTGGAGTTAGCTGCTTGACATTCAAAACCTGAACAGACTATAACAAGGACTTCACCTCACCTAGGACCAAACTATCTTTTTTGAAAGGCTCATCCCTATTTTCTGAGTACATCTTTTAAAAAAAGACAAAAGGCATTCGCATTAAAAATATTTCGTGTTTTTGAAACTGATGAGTTTTTCAAAGAACCACAGAGATGTTATAGTCTGTTCAGATTTTTAATGTCAAGAGCAATGACGTCATTCAAAAACACTCTGTGGATGGCTCGCTCTCTGATTGGTTTATTGCGTCATTAGGGGCGGAGCTTCAGCGAGGACTTGACATTCAAAATCTGAACCGACTATAAGATAAGTTTGAAACGAACTGGCTATCTGGATCACTCGGCCACTCGTTTCTTTTCGTGCTGTGCTCCTCTTGTCTCCTTCCATCGATTCTATAATTCGAGTAATCAGTTTTTTTTTCGACAAAAATTTGAGTCGGTTTGTTGAACAATTCTCAGCGGCATTCAGTCGCCTAAGTGATAGTTCCCTTTTTGAATCATTTATAAGCACGATCGCGTTTGAATAATTGAATATTTATTTTAACTTGAACTGAATTCCGCAAGTGACTTTTCAAGCTCCTACATTTTTAGAGTGCGCATAATTTATAGCAACAAAGTCAGAGACCGCACGTTTTTTTTTAAATGCTGAGAAAATGTATCTTGTAATATAGTCTGTTCAGATTTTGAATGTCAAGCAACTAACTCCGCCCTGCTGAGACGGTACCTTTTCGCGTCGATGTTTTATCGCGCGGGACTAATTTTGATCTTTTTTGATCTAAAAGATAGAAAAATAAGTCAAAAAATTCAGCCATATTGAAGGGCCATCGTCATCTATAGATAACACATTGACGCGAAAGATATTGTAGCCTTGGGGGTTGAGTTAGCTGCTTGACATTCAAAATCTGAACAGACTATACCTCCTTAAGAGCGCCTTGGGGCGCGCCTAAAGGCGGTTTCCAACTATTATTGAGAGTGCCTTGAAGCGTCCCAATAAAGAGCGCAAAACGTTCAAAAATTTCGCTGCATGTTTCGACGCTGATTCAGTTCAACTATCGCTACTACGCCATCAGAAGAAAAAATATTTTAGAATAGGAAAAAATTAGAAAACGAATCAAAAAAAATGAGAATTCACAGTAAAAATAACCGACCGCGTCGAAACCCACGCCTACTCGCGGTGTGCTCCTTTAATATTTTTCCTTTCAACATTCACCCAATATTGCAATATTGTGGCCACGTGGACTGTATCGCAGCGAGAGTAATGCTATACCGCGGGGGAGCCGCGAGCAATATCGCTCGTCTCTCGCTGCGACCTCGCAAACTTCTTTGCGCTATATCGCTCTCTCGAAAAATCAAAATTGTTTTGAAATTGATTGATTTCATCATGAAAAGTCAAAAATAAAGCATGTTTTTAAAATTTCAAATTTTTGAGAGAGAGCGATATGGCCACGAGACTTTTGACGAGGTCGCAGCGACATGTTGACGAGATCGCAGCAAGAAGCCTTGGCTATATAGTCTGTTGAAATTTTTTGAATGTCAAGTCGTCGCTCAAGCTCCGCCCATAATTGTGCGATAAACCAATCAGAGGACGAGCCATCCACAGAGCATTTTCGAATGACGTCATTCTACTTGACATTCAAAAATCTGAACAGACTATATAGCCTGCGGCCCGCTGCGATCGCATATCGATATCGGCGATTATGTTGGGTGATTTCTATGTCCAGTCGAAGGTTATTTATGATTTAAAGAAATTTGATAATCGATTTTTCATACTTGAAAAAGTCTTTTGAAAATATTGAACTTGATATTTTTCTTACACGGGGGTGCGAAAGGTCGTGGTATTGGAATTTAATAGAATTTGGTATATAGGTACATGGAGCAGAAAAAGTTTTTTGTCGAAATTCTTTCTCAGATGGGCACAAAATGGTGAATTTCAAAATTTTGAGCTGTTCTTTCACTCCATCATCAAAACTTCCTCATTTTCGAAATATTCGCAAAAATAAATTTCACCAAAAAGGGACCGAACCTTCATGGACTTCTGAAGACGCATAATGGGTTACTCATCGTGGGAGACTCCTCCGGCTACCTTTTAGCTGTATCTGAGCCATCTCAGGAGGTATTACTTCAGAGTCTCTCTCAAAGCCCTCTCATTTTAAACCCGCTGGAAATCCGGAGAGGTAACCTCGAGGTGCCATCGTGCGAGACTGCAGTGTCTGCCTGCGATATACCTCCTGAGGGTCTCATGCGATGCCCTTCTCTCGGTCTGTCTATGTAGTTCATTCAGGCTCTGTAAGTTGCGCTCCCTGCGAAAAATTTATGGGTCTCGGTAAGGTAAAGCGAGACGTTTCTGAGGAGTTCTAGGGATCCACTTGAGGAGTTCTGACGGCCGCATAAGTTGGTCAAGAGTCCTCTAGGTGCTCTCTAGGAGTGCCTCACGCAGCTGGTCTGGAGTGCAACTCTCATGTTGGATAGTAGCTGCCCGCGGATGCTACCGCCGTACACCCGCTTAACAAAGCCGAGCTGAAACGCAATTTTTAGCCGCGAATAGACCCTCTGTTTCAAAGCCCACTAGGATCTATGCAGAAACTGCCAATTTCGCGCACCGAGAGCCCGTTTAGGTACAGCGGATCACCCGAACTGTTCTAAAAACACTGTAATCGGCAGTAGAACCCGATGTCCTGCTGAAATTATACCGTATTAGTCCATGCTTACCTGGCCAGAATTCGAGAAGGTCCGAGACATGAGAAAAGTTTTTCGTTAGTTTCGAGGGCGTGAAAAGCTCCTGTAATGCATTTCTTTTATTATTATTCTCATTATTTCAGATTGGTTCGCGTCTCGGATCTAGCATTCACCTTCTTTTGACTTTGTTCGATTTGCCTTTGGTTTTGTTCTGAAAATCTTTTGGGTTTTCTCTCGACTAATTTTTCCACCGCGATGATTATTTCGCAGGGAGAGCACGTGGATACGATGATTTCTCCCGCTTCGTGGTGTGGATATCGCCTGCTGCGCCGAAAACTTCTCGACAGGCTGGAATGTGAAGAGAGCTGACTTGAAAGTAGCATACAGATCCAAACTAAGTATAAACTCCTCTGTTTTGGAACAACTTTGGCTTGCCGATGAACACGATTTTTCGTCTTTGAAGCATGTTCCGTTTCCTCTCCGATGAACACGCCATAAAGAAATCGGCGATGCGAAATTGCTCCATTACAGCCGTCTCCGGAGTGGGATGCGTACGCTTCTTCGTTGGAGGCCACGAGATCAAAGTTTTCGAAATCAGTGGCTTCGAGGGGCGGGTTCCTCGAGATAGTTCTGAATATCTTCAATTTTAGCGCTTGTGATGCACTCCCAAACTTCGATTTTTCCAGTTCTGGAAACAGAGTCATGACAGAGGTTTTCCTTGTAGAAGGTCTAGATTTCCATGTCCCATCTCAGGTTTGTCACATTTGTTGGATATTAATGCTTGCAAACTTTTTGAAATAACTTTTCTTTGCCAAAATTAAGATCGTTTCATTGCCATACTCGCCCGTACTCGCAAAGTAGTCGCTCGACGAAGAAGAAAGAGCAGAAGAACCGAATCCGATCGACGACAATGAAAAAGAAATCAAAGGAATCGAGCTGAAGGACGTCACAGCCGGTGATTTTCGAGCACTTGCGAGCGCCATTTATCCTAGCAGACATGGCATTATCGCAGGTGATCTCACATTCATAGATAAATAAATAAAACCTTATTTTTAGCCGCGAGACGTTGATTGGTCTGCTGAGCCTCGCCGAAAAATGCAGGCGACCGCTCTTTATCCAATGCGAGATACCGCTACTTGCGCTCTAAGAAGAAACACATTAAATTTTGTGAAGCGGTTGAGCTGGGCCACGCCTGTTAGCACTGAAAGATCTTCAGGTCATTCATCGTATTCTCTATTGAATTCTACTCCATTTTCTTCCCAGAACGATTTGTTCAAGTCGCTTCGACTAGCTTGGAAAGGCGTGGAGGAGATGGAGATGATCAGATTCGCTTCCATGTATGACTTACCGCCAAAGAGGGATTCATGGAAGTCTTCTTCCGAATCAAGAGAAAATTACCTCCAACGAATTGTTTCCTCCTATCGATATTGAGACGGCTGTCAAGGTTTTCCTCGCATTTATTATTATCGTTGATCCTGCTTCTTGTTCTGTGAAAGTTGTTGCTGTCACTGCTACCCTGTTTGTTTGTTACTGGATTCCAATAAAATCATGAAAGAGCGATTGGTTTTCACTGTTGAGTTTTCATGGCAAAATATCCACCGAGTTTTTACTGCTTGCGATTTCTTTTGGAAATTCTGAGATTTGCTTAACAGCAATTCCCGCAGGCTTGTGCGCGAGTCAGCCTCGGCGGCCACGTCCCAAAGCCTGGCCCAGCCTTAGAAAGGGCCCTCAAGCAAAATAGCCATTCCGGCCCATTGAAAGATTAAATCATTTTGAGACTTTCTCATTTTTAAGCAGATAGTGAGTACTTACTTCTCTCTTAGAGTTATAAAAACTATGATTTAACAAGTAAAAATAAATCATGAAGCATTTTTCAAAATAGAGAATTCAAACGACATCAAAGAAGCCCGGCCAGGCCAGCTGGGCTCTAGAACTCCCGTACAGCCTGACGTCATGGCGCACGAGTCACGCAGTTCAAATGAAATGATCAGAATGACTTTGATTACAGAGTGCGCTCCACTTGGGTACCCAGCAAAAGTTTGAATTTCCGATCGATATGTTTCAATATTCATGTTGTCCTAATACATCCTTTTATTCATTCATTCATCATGCCGTGTTCAGATTTGAGTTTCCGCGAAATGCAAAATACCGTCAGAGAAAGGAAAATATCATCTAAATTTTTGGAGAGGTCAGAGATCATTTTGCATTTCGTGATCAAATTGGACAGCTTGTCATCGGAAGAGTGAGGAGATTATTTGGAAGCTGGAGAACTTTGATTACTATCTTTTCCAAGTAGCTAGTCAGTGTTCTCTATTTTTCCTATAGTCTGTTCTTATTTTTAATGTCAACCGCATTCGAAAACGCTCTGTGGATGCTTGAGCAACGACTTGATGCCGTGTTCAAAAGTAATATCGCGAAAGCATAAAATGGTCTCTGTCTCTTTAAGATTTTGGATTTATATTTTCTATCTCTGACGGCTATTTCGTAGTTCATGGAGTCACTTTTGAACACGGCATGAGTCAAATTTGAAAAGCATTAAGTCAGGTGAGACTTAAATTGATAACGCTATGAGTGGATCCACCGGTTGACGTACCGCTAAAGGTTCTAACTGATAATTTAGTTACGCTAGCTAATTATTTCATGGTAGATTGGTGCGCCGAAGAAGTTCCTGCTTTTACTGATTTCAATGTTCTCGTTTGCTCGTGAAAGTAAGTTGTCTGGGAAAATATTGCACTCCTGGATCAAGGCGTATCGAAGACTGACTAATATAGATGCAGATTACCGTTTGCTCGATTGATATTGCCTGTTGCCCGAATAAATTCTCAACGCTGGAACGTAGCAAACATCTCGATCAATTTCGTCTCTAATAAACGCAAAAGTTTCAGAAACAAAGAGTTTCTAGAAAAGTCTGATGTCAAATCAAGTTTTATTGTTTTCAGACGTACTCTTTTCCAGTTTACAAACAAGAGTCAGCCCGACTTTGTTTAGTAAGAATTATTCATTTTTCTTAATAAAATTGTTATTTGCTGACCTTTTGCTTCTTCTGCCTTTCATTACTGCTTTTGCAACAGCAACTATCACAGTGCTCGACGTACACAAGGATTTGCCAAAGTGAGAGAATCTCTTTTCTTGAAGATTATATTGGCGCAAGACGCTTGTTGTCCATTCCCAGCTTTGGTTCAAACTACATCTGAAATCAGGGGCATGACGAGTAGTTTCCTCGTGAGAGAAGCCAGATTCTTTTTATGTCCCAGTCTCAAGGTTCGCCGTGATTTTTGATGTTATTAAGGCTCACCAACTTACTAAATTGGCCCGAAAGTGCCTAACTAGAAAGTAATTTCACTATGCGTTGCATTTCCTTGACACTTTTCATATTTTTAAAATTCAGGTATGTTTTTCTATTATAAATCATTTCATAAATGTGATTGCAGATCGTTTCCCTTGCACTCTCCGATACTCATGAAAGAAATCATCTATGCAGGAGCCGAGTTTGGAAGAGGGAATCGACTTGTATGAACAACAAATCAGTGGGATCGAGTTGGTTGAACGTCACTTCCGAGAATTCCGACACTTTCTTAACGCCATTTACCGAGTCGCTTGATTTTTATTTCTAGTGATCATATTTTGTTTTTGTGCTCCTAATATATATAAATTTCGAGGTGCCGGCGTCGAAGCTGTTCTGAAATTAGCTGAAAAGTACCAGGCGACGGCTGTCCAAAATGCGAGACTTTCTTGCGTTCAATTGAAGGGAGATTGATTTCGTGAGGCGATTGGACTGGGCCACGCGTTTCGGTATGGTGTATCTCCAGGTGAACATTTTACTGAATTTTGAGAAGCGCTTTCTATTTAGAGCTCTAGAAGCTGGGTTTGCTCTCATTTTGATATGTGAATCTGTATATATTGTCAGGTTTTTCTAATTAAAATTACTACATCAGTTTTGTGAAAAGCTAAACTTTTAGACTCAAATTTCTCTCAAATTAAATTGTAGAGATTTGGAAAATGTGACCATATGAGCAAATAATTTTTCAATTTCATCGAGGCAGTATAGTCTCGTTCCAGATTTTGAATGTCGAGTAGACTGACGTGGTTTCAGACGCTCTGTGGATGGCTTCCGCTCTGATTGGTTCATCGCACCATTATGGGCCGGAGCTTGAGCGACGACTTGACATTGATATGAACAGACTATACCACCAATTGGAAACTTTTTAGCATGAGCTGTTCAAATCGCTGGATTCTTTCTGAGAAATTGGCAAAAGTCGGCGAAAATCCCGAATGGATCAACATTGAAACAATAAAACAGTTCATGGTCTTTTCAATCAGCTTTTCCTCCTCTTTGATTATTTTGTTGTCCAGAATTTTATCGCAGTTTCCGTTTTCTCTGTTCCATAGATTCTGGAAAAGTTTAACTCAGAAAAATTGTCCAGTTTTGATGAGACAGGTTCCAAAGATACAAAAGTGGATGATTTTCGATTTTATGTACTTTTGGAAATATCAGAAAATATTCTGTTAATCGAGGCTGAAATTCGGAACCCAAAAATGAGACCTTTTTCTATTTGTTGCTTCTATTTTCACACCTTTTAACCATTACTGTTACTCCCAATTACTCCAAATCTATATGCACATATTTTTCTCACAACTTATATTTACCCTTTTTCAGCTCTTTTCAAAATCACCAATTTTCGTCAAATTTTCTGTTTGCTTCCTGTGTACAAACTGTTACTGTTATTTTTATCAAGTTATCGTTCATTCCTTCACTTTCACATAAATTTTAAAAGCATTTCAATCAAAGTCTCGTACTTTCAAATTGGAGTTACACTCGAGGAAAAAGAACCTTTTAAATATCAGAATGCTCGCCACTTTATAGAAGAAAGAAGATCGGCTGTCCGTCGAACGACCAGAATCATTAAGTCCGATAAAACCGATCAAAATCTTGGACAGTATGACTGGGAGCCCGTAGCTGAGAGAAGGTGTTAACCAAAATTTTGATGAAAATTAGAGAAAGAACAGCGGATCAATATATCGTGAATGAGACTCGAAAAAGCTCTGCTCTCAATTTTTCAGAATTTTCTATAAATTATAGGCAAAAAGTGGCGGGGGCCGTTTTTGAGAGGCTCGCTGGAAATGTTTGAAAACCACGGCTCTCAAAAATGAGAAAATTTTCTGCGCCCGAAAAAGAAAATTTGCATTGTGCAGCGATTGGACTGGGCCGCCCGATACCGTATGAATGACCTTGAGGTACGTAACAATTCTAGTTCTGAAAAAAAATACAGATTTTCTGTTTCAGAACGACCTGTACCAGTCGATGAACGGCCTCCACGAATTGGCCAAGTTGGCCGAAATCCTGAATGGATCAGTTTCTGCGAATCCGCCAAAACGCGATTAATCGACTTTTTCTATTGCCTTGTTTAATTTTCAAAACGCCTTTTGTGTATACTTCGAACTTTTTTTTTCTCTGTTTTTTTCAGACTTCCATGTTTTATAATAATTATGAACATCTCGGAGATTCTTGGCCATTTTTGCTTTTTCGGACTCATAAGCTCATCTACCACATATGCCATCAACTTTCATGCATGGAAATTAGCTCAACGCTTTTTTAAATGTATGATTCTACTCGCTCCACTCCCTGATATTCCTAAAACTTCTTGTCATCCAAGTTTTTAATTTTAATATTTTTTAAAAATTTTTTCTGCCTTTTGATTATAAACTTATTTTTTGTCAAATATGGTTTTTGTTCCTTTTTCGGTTTATTCTCAAAACGTTACTTTAATGCCAGATTATCAAACAGTAAGGAAAGAACTTTTTCTTGAAAAGGTACCGTTCGTTTTTGTAAAATAACACTGTAAACTGCTTTTTGCAAGTTTTAGTCTATGAAAAAGATAGATTGAAACTCTCCGGGAATTATTTCATTGAGATATTCAGAGCTTTATTGTTTCTTTTTCCTTTTCTTTTTGAGAATTAACTTTTGCAGATGCCACCTGCCAACAAGAGAATGAAGGTTGGCCAACAGAATTACTACAGCGCCCAAGCTAAAGATCTGAAAGAAGAAAAAAGCAGAATTATCGATGAACTTCATGATCTGCGAGAGGAAAGAACCAGACTTATTGATCATCACCGTCGTCTGGAAGAGGGAATGGTCGAGACTGAAAGCATTCGAACCGAGCGAGCAGAAAATCAAAACTCTCGATGAAGTCCTGGATCTGAGGAGAGAAAGAAACAAGATTCTCGATCGTACCTACACTCTGCAAGAACAAAAACTTTCTTCTCAATGAAGTGCACGATCTGAAACAAGAATGGATCAAGCCTGACGTCTCCGGCCTGAGAAAGGAACGGATCGAATTGCGCGATCAGCTCTCACAAAAGTCAAAAGAGTGTGCCGAAGTCAAATCGGAACTCAATGACTTGAAGTTGCGTTTCAACAGCTTATTCGGAAATACCGACGTTGTGCAATCTTTGAGAACGTAAAAATTGAAAGGCCACCCTGGAAGAACTGATCAAGTCCAACTCGAACTCAAGGAGAAGCTCGTGAACGCGCACTGCGAAAACGCCAAAATGAACGCGATACCACTGCAACTGAATATGGCCAGAGCGGAGACCAAAGTTCTGCGCAGAAATCTCGAATCTCTGTCGCGTAAGAATGAGCAGCTCCAATCTGAGAATCAGAACTGGAAGGCCGTCTTGTCTGCCTTGGCCGACGCTGCCCGGTTCAAAACAGAGAAGTACGTGATGCAAGCCTGTTCGCCGCTCAAGGTAGAACCCAAAATAAACTTCCTTTTCGAATTTGATTTCCGCCAGATTGCCACGGCCCAAACTCCAGCTCAGAACGATGCCAAATCGGTTCACGTAACATGGTATCGTTTCTGCATTTTTGAAATTTTCAAAGGTTAAAGGAAAAAGTATTATTTGAAAAATCACTGGATATAACTTTAAATTTGCGCTCCGTGATAAGGCACAAAACAAGATGATTTATAAATTTTTACATGTGGTCGAAATGGAAAAATATAGGCGCTGAGGAGGCGTGACCTGTCTGCGCCTATGCCAACCAGGCACTATCTCTTCTTTTTATCGTGTCAGGACCCATTTTTCGATGGCTCAGAGCCAGTCATGAGTCAGCTGGGATGTATTGCAAATTTCCATCATCCATCATGTTTTAAATTTCAATCATTCTTTGAGAAATTTTCTCGAATGCTCTTTATTCATATGACATGCTTGAAAACAATTTCCTGAATAAAGCTTTTCTCAAGTCATTAAATAATTCGGACCTAGAGACGAACCATTGAGCGTGGTGTAAAAATTTGATAACTTTGGGTGTTTAAAATCAAAAATGTCTGAATGCGCGTATAGCTGATTCACGGCTACGTTGGGACGTTAAGGGGCGTGTCTGTCTGCGCTCTCCACGCCAGCTGTCTTGTGCATTATCGTGTCAGGATCCTCGATGGCTCAAGTCAGCCTTGAATCAGCTATAAGAGCTGTATCTCGTAAGACACAATTCTTTACGACCAAAATTTGTTCGTAAAATTCAATTTTGCGTATTTATGTAAATTCATTTCAAAACGAAAAACACGTCCATTTGTAATCGTCAGATAATTTTAAACACGGCGTCATCGTTGGAATGATACGAGCTGATTCACGGCTCGCCTGAGCCATGAGGGTCCTGACGCGATGAAAAGAGACACTGCCTAGTTGGTGGAGCGCAGACAGGCCACGCCCTTTTTCGTCCTCAAGCGAGCCGTGAGTCGGCTATACTCGAGACTTTTTCAAGTGCGGAAACTTAATATATTAAATTTTGCGAGGCCTGGAGCTCTTTCATTTCTGAGTAAGCGCGAACGTTTTTGGATGAGCTCTTCTCGATCCATTGTGGAAACTGCACATGTTGTCCGAAGAATCACTTTGATTATTGGAACGTTAAAGCAAATATCGATTAAATATCTTCACAACAGACTGAATGTTTCCGAAAAACGAGGTTGGTTTGAGTGTCCATTAGTTTTTAAATTGTCAATTCTAGTTTTTCTATCTGACTCGCTCATGAAGAGAGTTCAAATGGTTCTGAAAAAGGTATTCCGTTTCTATTTAGCATGCTCCAGAGTAAATTGTCAGCTTCGAAACATTTTCATTCGGATAGAAATCTCGATGCTCTAAAAAATGTAGAAAACACCAGTGCACTGCAAACTACGATCGAGTTGTTGAAATGGAAGGATTTGAGGGTTTTTCCTTTCTAGTTTGATCCCTTTTTGTAACAGTTGCTTTCAAGAGATCAAGGACCATTTCTAGTGTTCGATTTTTCATCTTCTGAAACGGCTCACGACGAAGTTTTCTTTGTAGAAGGCCAACCATTTTATGTCCATTCGCAGGTTCGTTGTGAGTTTTCGAAATTCGCATTTGGAAAAATTTTCCTGTACAACGTATGAAAAGAGATGCGGATATCTATTATTAATTCGCGTAAACGGATATATTTTTCATGTGCATTTATTGCATATTTACCATAATTACAAATTAATTTTTTTTTTTTCGTTCAGAACGTTTTCGTGCATTCTTCGGTCCTCGAAAGGATTGTCAATGAAAAGAAAAATGAAATGAAAGAAGACAAAATAAAGAAAGAAATCGAAGAAGAACAAATCAGTGGAATCGAGCTGAATGACGTCACAGCAGACGAGTTTCGACATTTTTTGAACGCGATTTATCCTGTTCGCAATGGAATTTGTGGTGAATTCGCTCCCAAACATTTTTGAGCGATTACATTTTTATTTTGAGCCGAAAGTGTTGGAGCTGTTCTGAAACTGGCCGTAATGTACAAGGCGACAGTTCTTTTCCCGAAATGCGAGCGGTTTCTGCGCTCCGAAGAAGGAAAGAAGATTTGCGTCGTGCAGAGGTGGGACTGGGCCGCCCGTTACCGTATGAACGACCTTCAGGTACCCATTCAAACTCTGCAAACAGCAAAAAAGTGTTGATTTTCTGCTTCAGGAAGACCTGTACAAGTCGATGAACAGCCTCCACGAATTGGCCAGGTTGAGCGAAATTCCTGAATGGATCAACATGTGCGAAGCCGCTAAGAATCAGTTTATTGCATTTTTCTTCCGCCTTGAAAAATTATTTTCTGAGCATATTTTGCGTCTTCTTTGAAATTGTTTTTCGTTTTATCTTTGCCTTCGAAGATTTGTATGTCTGCTTTTCTATAGCATCACCAAGATTTTTTGGAAATTTTTCGAACTTTTAAAGTACTTTGAATCTACTCATCCACGCTCTAAAAGAAAAAAGTTCAGTGAATTTTTTCCCATCCGTATTTTATTAACGCTAACTTGGAACCGGTGTGACCAAAAATTATTCAATTTTTCGCGATTTTATTGTCTCGGCTCATTTCCTTCCCCAAAATGTATACACTTTCCGTCTTTTTCCCTGCCAAAACAATATTTTTCCGAATTTTTGTAATTGTGTTTTTTGTTCCTTTTTGTTATCTGTTTTTGTTGTTAGAATATAGTTTTTTATTTTTGGAGTTGTGGTTTTTGTTTTTTCAGTTTTATTCTCAGAATGTTACCTTTACGTTCGAAAGAAGAGGTGTAGATTATAGTCAATTCTTCCCGACTTGAAAGGAAAGGGTTGCGTATAGTCAATGTTTCCCTGACTTGGACTCGTGCCAAGAACCGCGAACGCACACGCTACGCGTCCCGCCCCTTGCCCCGCCTCCTTCACCTTTCAAGTCGGGAAACATTGACTATACGCGAAATTGTCACGTTTTTTTCTTTTCGTCAAAAAATACAGTAACCAAATTAGATCCAATTAGACCAACTTCGCTTCAAGACCTTTTTTTGCTTTTTTTGTAAAAGTAGAATTGCAATGAAGTTTTTTTAGGGTAGCATTTTTTTCTTCTGCTGTTCTTGAATAACGAGATCCACCTCGCGCGGAAGCCGCAAAACTCAAAAAGACCCAAAAACAATGGTCGTGAAGCGAAATTGGTCAAGATAGTTGAACTATTGAAAATATAAAAAAATCATGAAAGTCTTTATTTACTTTCCATGACCTCCAGAATAGTACTTATTTGTTTTCAGATGTACTCACGACCAGTCAAAAGGAAAAAGCCTGCCGTTTTTGGAACGTAACAGACGCGAAATAAAGGATTGGAAAAGAGGAAGTCGAAACTCTGGGAGAGGAGAGAATCGTTATTCTTCGGAATCATCCTCAAAGGGAGCGAGAAATCAAGATTCCATTACATGATCCAAAGGAGGAACCATACGAACCCGCAGATACGAAGGAGCAGCCGAAGAATCTACTCGCCCAACTGAAGAAGAAGTCCGAAGAGTGCGATCGAGTCAAATTAGAACTGTTGACTCTCAAACATCGTTTCGAGACCCTCGTCGAAAATTCGGATGTCCTGCACTTCGAAAAAGCGAGACTCCAAGCCTCCGTGGAAGAACTGACCCAGGCCAACACCGAAATGGGAAATTTACGGAAGAATCTCATAACTTTGCACAATGAGAACACCAAACTGAAAGCCTCCGTAGAAACGCTGAATCAAACGAAATTGGAACCCGAATATCTACGCGAAGAACTGAAAGTTTCCCACTGCGAAAATATGAAAGTGTCGAATATTGAACTGAAAGAGACGTTGCACGAACTGGATTTGGCGAGAGAAAGGGTCAGAACACAACAAAAGAACATCAACTTTCTGTCTCTCCAAAATGAGAACCTCAGATTCGAGATACAAGACCTGAGGTCCGTCTTGTCGGTCTTCATTGGATCCGAAAGAAATGAGTCGCCTCTCACGGTGATGATAATATATTCACTTTGAAATCATTGTATTTTGATTTCAGGTCACCACGAACGAAGCTCAAGCTGATGCTCAATTGGTCAACTTTAAATGGTGCGTCTTGTACAGCCTGTGTATCACGACTTGAAATTTCACCGAACGACATTTCGCTGTTCCGCAGCGTGCTCGGCCGCGCCTCCACTTTTTTATTTTATTTAAGAACTCGACCAACACGTGTTCCCTAGTGCAACAGTCCATCTATCAGAAATGAGAACCAATTTACAGCGAGACCGAGGCTCGCAAAGACCCTTCGCGACGCAGCGGAACAGCGGAATGTCGTTCGGTGAAATTCAAGTCTTAGCACAGAGACTATAATTGAAAGGTTTTGATGGAAAATGAGCAGGACCGTTCAACCAAAAATAAGTTCAAAAGAAATGGTTTGTAGGGCATGTGCGCTCCATGAATAATATACATTCAGGCCAGGCTTGGGCGAGGGCCGGCCTGTCAACCTATCGGCCCCCCGGCCACTTTCCAAGTCCGGCCCTAGAGAGGCCTTTAAGCATAAATGGCCAGCCCGGACCAAAATGCTCAAATTTTTTTCTCAAGTATAATATCAAGCCTTTCTACGTCAGAAATCATTTTTTTAAGTCAAAAATCAACCGGTCATTCATCTCAATAAATATAATAATTTTGACATTAATTGTATCATTTTGAGCTATTTCTTTTGGAAAAGCTCTTTTTGCTATCTTTTTGCGACATTCCATCGGCTCTTGTGGCACCATTCTGACTGCTTCTCCCCTTTCCCTCACTCAAGTTTCGAACATTTCAAGTTCTAGAAATGCTCGATAAAAAGGAATCTTATTGCTGTCTTGTCGCAACCTTTCTTTAGACCTCTCCTTTTCAGCGGCCATTATCCGACATACCGATTTTGCCCGAGTATGAATTTTTTTCCCTGTTTCCAGGCGTGAACGAACATTTTTCAACGAGTTTTCTCGTTGCGTTGTTGAAATTACCTGCCGTCCTAAGAAGTTGTCGAATTGTTGGAGTGTTAGAGCTAACGTCGGGATATCATACGTCTACAGACATGAGAAATTTTCAGAAAATGAAGGTTTTTATTTTTGATTATTTTTTTATCGAAGTTCTTTCATTTTTAGACCTTTTACTTTCAATCCATTGATGCCGACAGTTCGGAATAGTTTTGAACAAGGTATTCATTTTAGCCAAACTCTGAACGGAATTATTGTTTACTGATACTTTTTGATCGGGTTTTTATCCATTTTCTCATATCATCATCTTGAAAATAAGAAAAAAATCTAACATTTTTTTCAGCCGAGGATGAATAGGAACAATACAAGTTCAGTGAGATCTCTGGTTGGAGTGCTTGAGATAGATGGATTTGAAGGGTTTTTTTCAACCCTTATCTTATTCTGGAGATACCCATTTTAAGACTTCAAGAAGAAATTCCAACGTTCGATTTTTGCGAACTCTGAAACATTTCATGACGAAGTATTTGTTGTGGAGGGTCAGCCGTTTTATGTCCAATCTCAGGTTCGTGGTGCTCTTTTATCATGTAGAAAAATGATTTTTTTGAAACATTTTCGCGTTTCTTTTTCCAGAAGGGGAATATTTGCTCGTAAATTTTGAGTGTCAAATTTCAATAAATTACACGTTTTCTGGTACTAATCAGATATTTTTTTCAGAACGTTTTTCGTGCATTCTCCGGTCCTTGAAAGGATCGTCAACGAGAAGAAAAAAATGAAATGAAAGAAGACAAAATAAAGAAAGAAATCGAAGAAGAACAAATCAGTGGAATCGAGCTGAATGACGTCACAGCCGACGAGTTTCGACATTTTTGAACGCAATTCATCCCTTTCGTGATGGTATTTGTGGTGATTTTGTTCTCGAGATCATTTTGAATACTAAAGTTTATTTGAAGCCAAAAACGTTGGAGCTGTTCTGAGGCTGGCTGAAATGTACGAAGCGGCATCTCTTTTCGCGAAATGCGAGCGGTTTCTGCGCTCCGAAGAAGGAAAGAAGATTTGCGTCGTGCAGCGATTGGACTGGGCCGCCCGATACCGTATGAATGACCTTGAGGTACCTGTTTCAACTCTTAAGAGAATAATCGATTTTCTGTTTCAGAACGACCTGTACCAGTCGATGAACGGTCTCCACATGCTGGCCGAGTTGGGCGAAAATCCTGAATGGATTAATTTGTGCGAAGCCGCCAAAACGCGAATAATTGACTTTTTCTTCCGCCTCGAAAAATCATTCGCACAAACCATCTTGCGTTTTCTGTGATGCTCTTTCTAAATTTTTATATTTCTTGCTCACTTTACAATTGTTCAAACTTTTCATTCAATCTCTTGTCAAACTTCATATTTCCCTGAGGAACACATCTGAGAATTTAAAAGCATTCTGAATTTCCATGCATGAACAAAAATCCCAATTTTTTTGAATTCGTCTCTGACATGGAAAAAAATCTTTCCAAAATATCTTGAAAGGATCCGCGAATTTTTAAAATTCATCGGTGATTAACGTTTGTGGACTTATTTCCTTCCTACGTGTATACTTTTTCCTTTTCTCAACCAAAAAGCCTTTTTCTACTCTGCATCATCTTGTTATCTTTTTACTTGTATTTCTTTTTGTTTCTACTGTGTTTTCTGTTATAAATTTTTATTTTTTTATAGAACCATCCATTTTAGTCCTAATCTCTGTTCGATTCTTGAAATATTTTATTGAAACCTTATTAATTAATGAGTGGGATCTTACTTGATCCCTTCAGATGTTATTGTTCCCTGTCAAGAGGAAAAAACCCTCCGTTTCGGACCATAACAGACTCGAAGTCGATGATACTCTCGATGCAAAAGAGCAACGATACGAACTCACGATCCGCAATTTAAAGGAGCAACAACTCAATCAACTCGAAAAACTCGAGAAGAAGTCAGAGGAGTGCGATCGAGTCAAATTGGAACTGTCAACGCTCAAATATCGCTTCGAGACCTTCATCGGAAACTCAGATGTTCTGCACTACGAAAACGCGAGACTGCAAGCCTCTATAGAAGAACTGACCCTGAACAATTCGGAAATCGGAGCCCTCCGCGAGAATCTCATAAGTTTACATAATGAGAACGCGAAATTGAAGGCCTCTGTGGAAAAATTGACTTTGAAGAACTTGGAACTTGAATATCTACGCGAGAAACAGAAAGATTCGCAATATGGAAATTCCGAAGCTAAGCAAGGAGATGCGAAGTTGAGAGAACTATTGCATGAGCTGAGTTTGACGAAAACGAAGGTCAAAGTCCAACGCAAGAATCTCAACTATTTGTCTTTCCATAATGACAACCTCGAATCCGAGGTTCGACACCTGAAATCGGCCTTGTCTACTTTCAAAGAAACTGAACCAATAGAAGATGAGCGACCGTGCCCCTAAATAATTCTCCGTCTGTGGTAATGATAGATAGGAGATAAATATTATTTTTATGATGTCAGTTTACTGCGGCCGACGCTCCAGCTCAAACTGATGCCAAATTGGTTGACATAGAATGGTACGTTCGGTAAAGAAAGTCGACTTAGGCACTGGAGGCGCGTTTTTGTTTCCAAAAGTGCGCATGCGTCGCCTGGGTTTCTTTTTATTTTTCCACTTTTTTAGCTAATTGAAAATTTTTATAAGTTTAGTATTTTCAAGTCTTTGAAAAAAACTTGAAAAATATAACTCTCTTCTAAAGTGTTCGGGATCGCTTTTAAAAAGCACTAGGTAGGTTTCTTCTTGATTTTCAACCTTGAACGTAATGTTGAAATTTTTCGATTTTTTTAATCGGAAACTGCATTTTTTGATTTTTAAAAATTTTTTTGGTCCGTTCTTTTTCCATAGACTCAGTGTATAATTGTTAACTTTAAATATTATTCTGAATTTACATTCAGCAAGAATTTTTTTGTAACGTATATTTGTGTTGCGATTTATTATGAGGGATTTCTTTTTCCTATAGCTGGTTCACGGCTGGCTTGAGGCATCGAAAAATGGTCCTGACAAGATAATGCACTACATAGGGCCTGGCTCGGGCAGAGCGCAGACAGGACACGCCCTCTTATCGTCCCAAGCTGGCCGTGAATCAGCTATATATTCCGAAATAGTAGTTCAATTTTTCAACTTGGAAAAACTGAAATTGTAATTTTAGGCAAGAACGGACATTTTTCGATGGGAATTCTCGTTGTGTGGTGGAAATTGGATGCTGTCCAAAAAATTTCTCTACTTGTTGGGATATCAAAACGAAAATGTTGATTACATATCTTTACAACAAACAGGAATTTTCCGAAACGAAGGTTTGCTGGAGAAAATATTAAACTTTTTACAACTATATTTCATTGTCAGACTTGCTGCTTCAGTTCACAGGATCCGTTAGTTCTATTCGTTTTGAACAAGGTTTTCTGTTTTTCCTTTTGTTTATATTGATATAAGAGTTTTTAAAAGCTCCAAATTTTCAATCATTTTTTTCTATCAATGGCTTCTAAGTATTAAACGATTTTTCAGACATCGATGAGTTTAAAAAAACACAAGTTCAGTGCGATGTTCGATTGAAATAATCGAGATAAATGGATTAGAAAGGTTTTCCTTATAATTTCACCTTTCCCATGATTATTTGTTTTTCAGAGATGAAAAACCGGTTCTTCTTCCAAGATTTGATTTTTCAAGTCCAGAAACGTATCACGACGAAGTTTTTCTTTGTAGAGGGTCAACCCTTTTTGTAAAAATCTCAGGTCCATCGCGAATGTTAAATTTGATTGGAAAAAAAAATTTTAGATGGTTTTTCTGCATTGTCCAGCTCTCAGGAAACTTCTCAGTAAACTGAGAAACGGACGGAAAAAGGAAGTTGACAGGGAATTCGGCGTCAATGAACGACAAATCAGTGGAATCGAGCTGAGTGACGTCACAGCCGAGGAGTTCCGTCACTTTTTGAACGCAATATACGCCTCTCGCGATGGAATTTGTGGTGAGTTCACTTCCAAACCTTTTTTGGCAATTTCATTTTTATTTTGAGCCGAAAGTGTTAGAGCCGTTCTGAAACTGGCTGACATGTACGAGGCGACAGTTCTTTTCCCGAAATGCGAACATTTTCTGCGATCCGAAGAAGGGAAGAAAATTGGTATCGCGCAGCGTTTGCACTGGGCCGCCCAATACCGTATGAAAAATCTCCAGGTACCGGATCCTGCTCTGAAAAGGAGAAAAGACTTCAGGAAGACCTGTACAAGTCGATGAACAGCCTCCACAAGTTGGCCAAGGTGAGAGAAAGCCCTGAAAGGATCAACATGTGCGAAGCCGCCAAGACTCAATTGATCGCATTTTTTTCTTTCGCCTTGAAAAATCATTCTCACATCGAGTTTCACTTTTTCTTTAAGTTGATTCTTGTTGGACTTCTTTTTCTGTTAGCAGATATTTTAAATTTTTATTGATTGTTTTTTTTCTTCCAAAAGAAAAGCTCTGATAGTTAGTTGAGGTGATAATTTTGAGATTTGAAAAATTATTCTCATTATATTACCTTCTACTTCAATTTCTTCTTAATACGCTTTTTTGCTTTCATTGCTCTCAAAGCAGCCTTTTTCAAACTTCCATATGAATATATTGTTATAGAGTTTCGCCTCCTGTATTATTACATTATAAATTTTATTACTTTAATAAGCTGTATTTAATCTTTTTCGGTTTTCATTCTCAAGACTTACCTTTTTGTGCGAAAAGACATTTTGCGACCATTTTTCAGATGACCGAACCGTCCCGCTTCTGTGTTTGTTGATGCTCGTCCTTGCCTCGAATCTTTAAAGGGAAATTTCTTTTAAGATTGGAGACGACCTCTAAGCCCTGCTGCTTGAGCAGCTTTTTATCGTCATAATCTGCCATGGTTGGTCAGAAGAATGATTCATTAATATTAAAGGTTGAAACAAAATAGTTTCAAAAAGGTCTGAGCTGAATAAAGTAAGTCATCAGCGTAAAATAGCTAGAAAAGATCTTTCGTGGTAATTTTCGTTTTATTGGGAGAAAAGAACAATTCAAAACTTGCACTTTTTGGGAAAGCTACAGCGTGTTTCGATGGAACTTCTTCCTATGTTACCGATTTTGTCTTGCTGCCGAAAATCCTTCTGCCTGACGGCACGCTGGAATCTGGAGGCCAGCGTCAAAGTTCAACTCATCAGTAAAATTCTATAG